CCTAGCACCCGCCGACCTAGCACCCGCCGACCTAGCACCCGCCGACCTAGCATCCGCCGACCTAGCACCCGCCGACCTCGCACCCGCCGACCTGGCACCCGCCGACCTGGCACCCGCCGACCTGGCACCCGCCGACCTAGCACCCTCCGACCTGGCACGCGCCGACCCAGCACCCGCCGACCTAACACCCGCCGACCTAGCCGACCTAGCACCCGCCGACCTAGCGCCCGCCGACCTAGCACCCGCCGACCTGGCACCCGCCGACCTTGCACCCGCCGACCTGGCACCCGCCGACCTAGCACCCGCCGACCTGGCACGCGCCGACCTAGCACCCACCGACCAAGCACCCGCCGACCAAGCACCCGCCGACCTAGCACCCGCCGACCTAGCACCCGCCGACCTAGCACCCGCCGACCTGGCACCCGCCGACCTGGCACCCGCCGACCTGGCACCCGCCGACCTGGCACCCGCCGACCTGGCACCCGCCGACCTAGCACCCGCCGACCTAGCACCCGCCGACCTAGCACCCGCCGACCTAGCACCCGCCGACCTAGCACCCGCCGACCTAGCACCCGCCGACCTAGCACCCGCCGACCTAGCACCCGCCGACCTGGCACCCGCCGACCTGGCACCCGCCGACCTGGCACCCGCCGACCTAGCACCCGCCGACCTAGCACCCGCCGACCTAGCACCCGCCGACCTAGCACCCGCCGACCTAGCACCCGCCGACCTAGCACCCGCCGACCTAGCACCCGCCGACCTGGCACCCGCCGACCTGGCACCCGCCGACCTGGCACCCGCCGACCTAGCACCCGCCGACCTGGCGCCCGCCGACCTGGCACCCGCCGACCTGGCACCCGCCGACTTGGCACCCGCCGACCAAGCACCCGCCGACCTGGCACCCGCCGACCTAGCACCCGCCGACCTAGCACCCGCCGACCTGGCACCCGCCGACCTGGCACCCGCCGACCTGGCACCCGCCGACCTGGCACCCGCCGACCTAGCACCCGCCGACCTGGCACCCGCCGACCTCGCACCCGCCGACCTCGCACCCGCCGACCTAGCACCCGCCGACCTAGCACCCGCCGACCTAGCACCCGCCGACCTGGCACCCGCCGACCTGGCACCCGCCGACCTGGCGCCCGCCGACCTGGCACCCGCCGACCTGGCACCCGCCGACCTGGCACCCGCCGACCAAGCACCCGCCGACCTGGCACCCGCCGACCTAGCACCCGCCGACCTAGCACCCGCCGACCTGGCACCCGCCGACCTGGCGCCCGCCGACCTGGCACCCGCCGACCTGGCACCCGCCGACTTGGCACCCGCCGACCTGGCACCCGCCGACCTGGCACCCGCCGACCTAGCACCCGCCGACCTAACACCCGCCGACCTGGCACCCGCCGACCTGGCACCCGCCGACCTGGCACCCGCCGACCTAGCACCCGCCGACCTAGCAGCCGCCGACCTAGCAGCTAGCACCCGCCGACCTAGCACCCGCCGACCTTGCACCCGCCGACCTAGCGCCCGCCGACCTAGCACCCGCCGACCTTGCACCCGCCGACCTAGCACCCGCCGACCTCGCACCCGCCGACCTCGCACCCGCCGACCTGGCACCCGCCGACCTAGCACCCGCCGACCTGGCACCCGCCGACCTAGCACCCGCCGACCTAGCACCCGCCGACCTGGCACGCGCCGACCTAGCACCCGCCGACCTAGCACCCGCCGACCAAGCACCCGCCGACCTGGCACCCGCCGACCCAGCACCCGCCGACCTAGCACCCGCCGACCTGGCACCCGCCGACCTAGCACCCGCCGACCTAGCACCCGCCGACCTTGCACCCGCCGACCTAGCACCCGCCGACCTAGCACCCGCCGACCTAGCACCCGCCGACCTAGCACCCGCCGACCTGGCACCCGCCGACCTGGCACCCGCCGACCTAGCACCCGCCGACCTGGCACCCGCCGACCTAGCACCCGCCGACCCAGCACCCGCCGACCTAGCACCCGCCGACCTGGCACCCGCCGACCTGGCACCCGCCGACCTGGCACCCGCCGACCTGGCACCCGCCGACCTGGCACCCGCCGACCTGGCACCCGCCGACCTAGCACCCGCCGACCTAGCACCCGCCGACCTAGCACCCGCCGACCTAGCACCCGCCGACCTAGCACCCGCCGACCTAGCACCCGCCGACCTGGCACCCGCCGACCTGGCACCCGCCGACCTGGCACCCGCCGACCTGGCACCCGCCGACCTAGCACCCGCCGACCTAGCACCCGCCGACCTAGCACCCGCCGACCTAGCACCCGCCGACCTAGCACCCGCCGACCTAGCACCCGCCGACCTAGCACCCGCCGACCTGGCACCCGCCGACCTGGCACCCGCCGACCTGGCACCCGCCGACCTAGCACCCGCCGACCTCGCACCCGCCGACCTGGCACCCGCCGACCTGGCACCCGCCGACCTGGCACCCGCCGACCTGGCACCCGCCGACCTAGCACCCGCCGACCTAGCACCCGCCGACCTAGCGCCCGCCGACCTAGCACCCGCCGACCTAGCACGCGCCGACCTAGCAGCTAGCACGCGCCGACCTAGCAGCTAGCACCCGCCGACCTAGCAGCTAGCACCCGCCGACCTAGCACCCGCCGACCTAGCACCCGCCGACCTAGCACCCGCCGACCTAGCACCCGCCGACCTAGCACCCGCCGACCTAGCACCCGCCGACCTAGCACCCGCCGACCTCGCACCCGCCGACCTGGCACCCGCCGACCTGGCACCCGCCGACCTGGCACCCGCCGACCTAGCACCCTCCGACCTGGCACCCGCCGACCCAGCACCCGCCGACCTAGCACCCGCCGACCTAGCGCCCGCCGACCTGGCACCCGCCGACCTGGAACCCGCCGACCTAGCACCCGCCGACCTAGCTGCCGCCGACCTAACACCCGCCGACCTGGCACCCGCCGACCTGGCACCCGCCGACCTGGCACCCGCCGACCTGGCACCCGCCGACCTAGCACCCGCCGACCTGGCACCCGCCGACCTCGCACCCGCCGACCTCGCACCCGCCGACCTCGCACCCGCCGACCTAGCACCCGCCGACCTAGCACCCGCCGACCTGGCACCCGCCGACCTGGCACCCGCCGACCTGGCGCCCGCCGACCTGGCACCCGCCGACCTGGCACCCGCCGACCTGGCACCCGCCGACCAAGCACCCGCCGACCTGGCACCCGCCGACCTAGCACCCGCCGACCTAGCACCCGCCGACCTGGCACCCGCCGACCTGGCGCCCGCCGACCTGGCACCCGCCGACCTGGCACCCGCCGACCTGGCACCCGCCGACCTGGCACCCGCCGACCTGGCACCCGCCGACCTAGCACCCGCCGACCTAGCACCCGCCGACCTGGCACCCGCCGACCTGGCACCCGCCGACCTGGCACCCGCCGACCTAGCACCCGCCGACCTAGCAGCCGCCGACCTAGCAGCTAGCACCCGCCGACCTAGCACCCGCCGACCTTGCACCCGCCGACCTAGCGCCCGCCGACCTAGCACCCGCCGACCTTGCACCCGCCGACCTAGCACCCGCCGACCTCGCACCCGCCGACCTCGCACCCGCCGACCTGGCACCCGCCGACCTAGCACCCGCCGACCTGGCACCCGCCGTCCTAGCACCCGCCGACCTAGCACCCGCCGACCTGGCACCCGCCGACCTGGCACCCGCCGACCTAGCACCCGCCGACCTGGCACCCGCCGACCTAGCACCCGCCGACCTGGCACCCGCCGACCTGGCACCCGCCGACCTAGCACCCGCCGACCTAGCACCCGCCGACCTAGCACCCGCCGACCTAGCCCCCGCCGACCTAGCACCCGCCGACCTAGCACCCGCAAACCCAGCACCCGCCGACCCAGCACCCGCTGACCTAGCACCCGCCGAACTAGCACCCGCCGACCTAGCACCCGCCGACCTGGCACCCGCCGACCTGGCACCCGCCGACCTAGCACCCGCCGACCTAGCACCCGCCGACCTAGCACCCGCCGACCTGGCACCCGCCGACCTAGCACCCGCCGACCTGTCACCCGCCGACCTGGCACCCGCCGACCTAGCACCCGCCGACCTGGCACCCGCCGACCTAGCACCCGCCGACCTAGCACCCGCCGACCTAGCACCCGCAAACCCAGCACCCGCCGACCCAGCACCCGCTGACCTAGCACCCGCCGAACTAGCACCCGCCGACCTAGCACCCGCCGACTCAGCACCCGCCGACCTGGCACCCGCCGACCTGGCACCCGCCGACCTGACACCCGCCGACCTGGCACCCGCCGACCTAGCACCCGCCGACCTAGCACCCGCCGACCTGGCACCCGCCGACCTGGCACCCGCCGACCTAGCACCCGCCGACCTAGCACCCGCCGACCTAGCACCCGCCGACCTAGCACCCGCCGACCTGGCACCCGCCGACCTAGCACACACCGACCTGGCACCCGCCTTGGCCGTAGCGTCAGTGATCAGTGTTCTGCATCCACTGATAACCGAATGCAGCTCAAATTGCTACCATTGGACCCCGTCCAGTTCGATGCCCTCACCTTCATCCCCGTCAAAGTCGAAACCCAGGGGTAGCTACGGAGAGAGGATGGAAAGGAAGATGATATGACTGCCACCAAAAAGGGGCATGCTTAGGAGGGTAGGGGGAGGCTCACAAGGGTGAGCGTGATGGGCGTTAAGGCAACACGCACATTGCCTGAATGGGGAGGAGTTTGAGGGCAAGGACGCTCATTACGCCAGGAAAGGTTAACGCTCCGTGCACAGCAGCAGGTCAGGACTCACATTACCAATAAAGTAATAGTAGGCCCCCCTTCACGTATTCCATCTACAAGGCGGCTAACCCTCGGAGCCCAGGCATTGGATGATTTGGATCTTTGGGTGCAGTGTGAGTGTACGGCCAAGAGGCTTGTGTACGACAGCGACCAGCAAAAAGACGAGCTTTTCCTTGAGCGACGAAGGACACAAACGCAAAATAATTAGTTTTACGTATGCAATAACCACCTTGCATACCTATTCGGCAAAACAAGTTGCCTACCGGTAATTTTCTAATTTGCTTTATTTGCAACTGCGACGTTTAACGCAAGGCGAAGTTTGCGCTGAAGGAGCATAAGTTGTCATCTAATCTGCCACAACTTAGGACATCATGGAACCCTGCAACCGCTCGCCGCCGGAAGAGGATGCTGCGACAGTTGGACCAGCCCCTCCACCTTGCTATGTAATAACACATTCCGTATCAAAGCGACACAACATTGGAACCATTGTGCGGAGCGCCACAGCTTTTGGCGTTAAAGAGGTAAGGGCAATGCTTGCAAACACACCATCCGCCCACGGGCTGCACGTTTCGCGTCGCCGAAGCGGACTAACAATGCCCTAACAACTCACACAATCTAACGCAAGTACCCGTACCAAAATCTACCTTCAGGCCTAACCAGACATCTACCCTCTTCTCCATGGCCCCAGGTTTGCCTTGTTGGATCGCGTCAGTTCAATACATTCGGTAGTCACGGCTCAGATGCGCACGTGGCTTTTAAACACTTCAACACCCTGCAGCAATGCGTCCAGGTAAGCGAGCCTCGAATCCCCCTTGGGTACGGTCTGCAGCATCCGGTAGGAGGCAAAGCTCTCAGCACTTGGGGCACCAGAACGCACAGCAGGTCCCTTCCTGTCCCCCCCCCAACGCTCCTTACTTTCTCCCGCACCTGGCTCCGCCTCCCTCCCTCCGTTGGCGCCCTATTACCTCACGTTAAACCGGGGTGTTCAACTTCCATTACCAGTTTACCACTTTTCGTCTCCTTATCCAACGGCCCTACTGACATGGCCGCGGTATGTGTTGTCACGCACGAGCCATGCTCTGGTTACGCTCTCTCCCTCCCCCTCCCCTCCTCCTATGGGATTGGGACTCGTTGCTGCACATATCATTATTTTTCTCCCCTCCTCCCTGCCTCCACAGCACTTGAAGGAGGTGGAGGGCTGCCGGGTGCTGGGCATTGAGATCTGCGAGGGGGCCCTGCCGGTGCAGCAGCACCCCTTCAGCGGTGAGGCGGAGGGATGAGGAGGGCGGGTGGCAGGAAGAGGCGGTTGCCCTGACCGCCTTGCACCTCCCCTGACCCCTGCACCCCCGAGGCCTTGCTGCGTCAAGAATTCGCACCCACCTCACTGCACTTGGCATTTGCCGCGGGTGGGGAACCTGGGCATTGCCCCTTCCTAGCACCCTTCTAACCCGGACTCATCTCCGTCCCATCTGCGCTCCACATCCCACCCCTCCCTTCTCTCTCCTCCCCAGGCCCCACTGCTTTCCTGCTCGGAAACGAGGGGCAGGGGCTGTCGGAGAAGCAGATGGCGCTGTGCGACGGTTTCGTGTACATTCCGCAACACGGGGCGGGGACGGCGTCGCTGAATGTGAGTGGGTGGAGATCAGGGAGGTTGGGAGGGATGAGGAAAGGTGATCTGCAAAGGGTAAAGGGGCGGGGTCGTACACCGTGCCAGGACATAGTATAGGCATGTTTGTCGAAGGCAGGAGCAAGAGGAGGAAGCCAGGAGGGATAACCAAAGCGTGCAGGAAGAGAGGGAGGGTGAGGCATCATTATTTGCTTCCTCCCCACCCACCTTGCTCAGGTGGCGGTGGCCGCGTCCATCGTGCTGCACCACTTCGCCATCTGGGCCGCCTACTCGGAACGGGAGCGCGAGGGATACAAGTTCAAGGTACGCGCTCTATCTCCTCGTCTGCACCCCTGCACCCGCCACTCCTGCATCAGCGCATCAGCGCCATTCCGTCAGGGCTCTGGTGCAACGTTGTCATGGTGTACTTGACCCTGAGCTGCCCGGGGCCTTACAGGGGCCTAGGTCGTGTCACGAAACCACCTCCTGACACATACCGGTACTTTCAGTCCACGCACTTGCCAGACGTGATAGAACGCACCACCCGTTCAGTCCTTCTGCTATCTGAATTTCGGGTTGTGCCAGAACTTAACCGTGGAAATCTTTCGCTCCACCCAACTCGCGGCGTCCGTACAGGTAGCCGAGCGGCCGATGCGGACCACAGCGAGGGGTGTCGTACGGGAGAGTGATGACGTGGTACGGCAGCAGCGGCAGCAGCGGCGAGCGGATGCGGCTGCGGAGGAGGAGGATGGCGGGGGTTGGGGCGAGGGTCTGTTTGATGAGGGCGAGGATGGCGGGGCGGAAGAGCAGGGGAAAGAGGAGGAGGGTGCTGACCGGGCAGAGGAGGAAGGGGAGGGGAAGGAGGGTGCTGAGGTAGGGGCTGCAACAAGTGCTGCTGGGCAACAAAGGAAAGAAGTTGGTGCGGCATGTAGCAGTTGAAGGTGATTCAATGTGGGACGGGTTGGTGGAGAGAGGCGCCGGTGAGGAGGGGGGATAGCTAAGGGGTAGATATGGAAGGAAGTACGGTGTTCGTATTGGAGTGGCAACATGACGTGTCCTGCTCCTCTGACTGCTAACAAACTGCCGGTATGGAACGGTGACACCACAGCGGTACGGCTGGGGAGGACTTGCTTACATCAGATCACCTGACGTCTCATTAGGGTCATTACTCATGCTTGCAAGCCTGTCTCCCAGTATGACGTACTCCTCTCATCTCAGTTCCTCCCAGCAGAAGTCGCACGAGCAAGGTGTATTTGCAGCCGCAAGCAGCCCGCATACGCAGCCGTGCCTCTCACGTTCCCACCCGCGGCCAGTTTTGTAAACACACGGCAAGCCATGCCGCACACATGATACTGTACACAAGGGGATCCGCCACCCTAACACAACAGGGCCGCCTCGAGGGCTCACACACATGCGCCCCGACGTAATTGTCTCCTCGTGCTCCATGCCCTCCCAACACATCGGCCCTCCTGGGCTGCAGCTTCATTTCAAGAGAAAACAGCAGCACGCCACGAGGGTAATAACCTGTGCAGCATCGAAAACACCATCGCCGTACCTAGGGAGTAGGCCGTGCAGTTGTATGCTCCAGGATTATTCCCTATGAAACCCACTGCAAGCCATTGGCGAGCATTCTTAGCTTTGAATGTCACTTGCACGCTGTCTCATCCACCCGTCTGCCACATCAGACCTCCAACACGCATCGCCTTTGGCAACCAGCCAGCCAACCTGTCACACCTTCTCCTGCCTCACTGTCGTACCTCCGACCGCACCACACCTAGCTAACACAGCTTACAGACACAACACAGCACCAGACGAGCCGGCTGAAAGTGTGAGACGCCCCACATGCGGCGGAATCATCCACTTGCAGCCGACCAGCGACCAGGGCGCACGGACAGCCAAGCGGGCGGCACACCAGCACACCCAAGCAGCTCTCCAGCAGCCGCAGCTTTCCACCCCATTCGCCCATTCAGCGTGCAAGTCCTTTGCAACTGCCACCACTCATCAGTGGCGAAACATCATCGGGGTTTCGGAGGGTGGAGCCTCCTCCGGAAATCGCCGTACAGTGGCAACAGCATAAACTGTAACAGCAACAGCAGGTTAATAGTTTTGTTCGGTAGATGGGGTTTCTTATCATATCACGATTGTGCTACCCATGCAGGAAGGGAGTAACCGGCCGCAAACACGTTGGCAGGATAAATTCACAACACAACGGCAAGAAATATAAGAGCATCGTACAAGCCACTGGAAGGAAAAGCGCACAACAACAAAGGTGCGTGGAAGAAGATCTCCTCACTCTTTCTTCCTGTCACTGCTCTTTGCTGGCAGCAACACACACGGAAAATACTCAAAAGCCCTCAAAGTCCAACCGCACTTCTCCTCCCCTCTTAATCCCACCTCTCTCCTCGAGCAACAGGCCTAGATATTTCGGCACGCCACATCATCTCCTTCTCCCTCCTTACCCCACCAAGTGTCTTCTCAGTTCAGCTCACCTTATCCCCCGGCTCACCTTATCCCCCGGCTCACCTTATCCCCCGCCTCATTATCCCCCGCCTCCCTACCTCCCCCTGCCCCGTCCGCCCGCCTCCCCCCTCGCCTCCCTCAGCAGCCCCCGCAGCCCCCTCACGTCCGCCTCCAACGCCACCACCTGTGCCGTCAGCTCGCCCACCCGGCTGCCCCGCTCCGCCAGCAGCGCCTCCAGCCCCGCCAGCTGCCCGCACAGCGCCTCATGTGAGGAGGCGGAGGCGCGCAGGCTGGACTGCGCAGAGGAGAGCTCGGCACGCAGCTGGGTGACCTGTGGTATGGGGGGGGAGGAGACGAGAGGTGGATGCGAGGGGGGAAGGGTGAGGGGGAAGAAGGTAGGCGAGAGGAGCGGGAAAGGGGCGCGCGGGTGTGGGAGAGAGGGAGCTGCACAGACCGGGAGCAAGGAGTGTAGGGTTGTAGGGACGGCGCGGAGGGAAGGGAGCAAGAGTGAGGAGGACCCGCACCTGTTGCGTACTCGCAGCCAGCGCCGCCGCAGCCCTAGCCTCCGCCTCCGCCACTGCCGCCCCAACCGCCTCCCTCAGCCGCGCTTCCATCTCCGCCGCCTCCACTGCCCCTGTCGTCTTCGCCACTTCCGCCTCCTCCACTGCCTTCCTGCTCGCCGCCTCCGCTGCCGCCTCCGCAGCTTGTGCCCTGGCGCTTGCTGCTGCCGCTTCCGCCTCGGCTGCAGCTGCCCGTGCCTCCGCCTCCGCCGCCCTCTGCCTCGCCTCCGCCGCTTCCGCCGCCTTTTGCCTAGCCTCGGTTACTTCCCCCACCTCCGCTGCTGCCACCCTCTCTGCCGCCTCCGCCTCCGCCGCAACTGCTACCTCCTCCGCCGCCGCTGCCGTCGCTGCCTCCTCCTCTATCTCTGCCGCCGTCGCTGCAACCTCCGGCGCTTCCTCTCCTGTCGCCGCCTCCTCTCCGGCCGCCGCCACCTCCTCCTCTGCCGCCTCCTCTCCTGCCGCCGTCGCTGCAGCCTCCTCTGCCTCTTCAGCTGCCGCCGCTACCTTCTCTTCCGCCGTCTCCTCTCCTGCCACCACCTCCTTCTCCTCCGCCTCCTCCTCTCCGGCCGGGGTCACCTTCTCCGCCGCCTCCTCTTCTGCTGCCTCCACCTTCTCCGCCGCCTCCTCTCCTGCCTCCGTCGCTGCAGCCTCCGCTGTTGCCTCTCCTGACGCTACCACCTTCTCCTCTACCGCCTCCTCTCCTGCCGCCGCCACCTTTTCTTCCTCCGCCTCCTTTCTTGCCGCTGCCACCTTCTCCTCTGCCGCCTCCTCTCCTGCCGCTGTCACTGCATCCTCCGACGCCTCCTCTCCTGCCGACACCTTCGCCTGGGTCGCCTCCTCTCCTGCTGCCACAACCTTGTTCACTGTCGCTGCCTTCTCCACTAGCTGAGCCCCCCGCAGTGCCGCCTCCGCCGCCGCCCGGGCCGCAGCAGCAGCCTGGGCCGCAGCCTCAGCGGCGGCCTCCGCCCTCGCCTGCGCCTCCTGCTCCGCCCTCTTCCGAGCCTCCGCCTCCGCCGCGACAGCTTTCACTTCCGCCGTCGCCGTCAACGCCGCCAGCGCTGCCGCCAGCTCATCGGCGTGCGCCGCCGCCGCCTCCGCCGCCGCCGCGGCGGCAGCCTTCCTCATCGCCAGCTCCGCGCTTAGCTCCGAAACCTGGTCATCCCGCTGTACGACTGTCGCTTCCAGCTGCGCGATTCTGGCGGCCTGCTCCTGCTGCAGCTGCTCCGCTGCCGCCAGACACTGCTGCAGGTCTTGGAGCTGCTGTGATTCCTGTACCTCTGATGCTGGCGCGGGTACTGGTATTGGCGGGGAGATCGCGGAGGCAGCTGCCAGTGCGTCGGAGAGGGCGGACAGTTGGTACTGCAGGTCTTGCACCTGGGGCCGCGGGGGAAAGGGAGTGAGGGGCGGTGGTTGGGATAGGGTTGGGTTGGGGGAAGCCAGATCTAAGTAGAGGCTGCAGCGCAGTGGGGTGGCGGTGGTGGTAGGGGCGGTGAAATGCAATGAGCGGTAAGACGGCTAGCGCGGGACAGCTAGGCGCACAAGGTACCAGTATAGCTCTAGCCTTAGCATGCGGGCGAGAGAAGTGGAAGCAATGGGAGGGGGCATGTGAGACTCAGAGTTCCTAGCACAAACAAAGCCCTCTTCCAGCATCCCCACAGGCCCCCCAACACCCCGCCCCGCGCACCTGCGCCTGCAGTCGCCCCTGCACCTCCTCAGCCGCCGCCTCCTTCTCCGCCAGCTGGACCCGCAACCTGAGAAGGGAAAGGGAACAAGAAGAACCATGCCATGAACGAGTGTTACAACCCTTTGGTGAAGGTCGCTGGTAGAAATGTATGTAAGTTAGCCGAGCTCAACTGACAACCTGAGCGGGGGTGGGCGGAGGTGTATGAGTGCAAGGGAGGCTGCAACTCTGTACTCTCACCCGCCCACAACACCGCACATGCGTGATGCAACACATCCACTGGGCCGTGCGGTTATCAAGGTAAAGCATGTGCGCGCGTGTGCCAATACCCTTCTACCTTCAAAAGTAAAGCAAACAGGACAGCCCACACGCCAACAGCCCCAACCATCCCCCACCCCGCACTCACCGCTCCGCCTCCACCTCCGCCAGCCTCACCCTCGCCTCCACCTCCGCCAGCCTCACCCTCGCCTCCACCAACTGCTGCTGCTGCTGCTCCGCCTGGGCACCTTCCTGCTGCCGTATCGTCGCCTCCACCAGCTGCTGCCGTACCTCGCCCAGCTGCCGCTCCGCCTCCGCCGCCCGCTCCCGCTCCTCCGCCAGCTGCTTCTGCAGTGCGGCAGCCGCTGCGGCCGCCTGGGTGCGGCGGAAGGCCAGCTCGCCCTCCAGCCGCCCCACCACCTGGTCGCGCTCGGCCTAGCAGAGGGAGGCAGAGGGAGGCAGAGGGAGGCAGAGGGAGGCAGAGGGAGGCAGAGGGAGGCAGAGGGAGGCAGAGGGAGGCAGAGGGAGGCAGAGGGAGGCAGAGGGAGGCAGAGGGAGGCAGAGGGAGGCAGAGGAGCGTCCTCAGTTTGCGGACTGCTACCGGTGGATTGGTAGCGAGTGTGGAGCAAGCTTGAGGGTGCAGCACATGCACACAACGGAAGAGGCAGATGTGTAACCGTCATAACAGCACCCAACGCACATACCCATCAACCCCCTTCCCTCCCCCCTGCCTCCCGCCTCCCGCCTCCCCCACCTGCACCCACACCAGCCGCTCCTGCAGCTCCCCCAGCCGCGCCTCCACCTGCGCCGGGGTGAGGCCGGGACCCAGCAGCGCGCCGCTCTGCCCCACCCCGCCCCCTGCCGCACCCCCTCCGCCGCCCGGCCCCCCCGCTGGGCCGCCAGCAGGGGGGGAGAGCTTGGACTCCAGGGCGCGACTGTCGTCCAGGATCTGGTTGAAGTGAGGGAAGGAAGAAGAAGAAACGTAAGTTCCTATTGCCCGAAAATGGAGTGGAAAGGGAAAGGGGTCACGAAGGGTGGTGGGTGGGGTAGGTGGTGGGTACTCCAGCTGCTGCGGGGTCAGCGGCTGACCGAATCGTTGCAGCGTGTGAACACCTCGCCCCCGCCACCCAAATACACACACACACACACGCCCGCCCTACCTGCATCACGCGAGCCTGCATGGGAGCTGCTGCCGCCCCTCCGCCTCCCGCTCCTCCTCCTGCCCGCCCGCCCCTGGCCAGGCGGGGGCTGCCGCAGAGGGCCCGAGAGCACATCTCGTCCGCGCCCTCCGCACCCAGCAGCGAAGCAGCCTGTGGGTGGGGGGGGAAGAAGACCATACCACTTTGTAGGAAATCACAGGTTAGGGCAAAGCAATGGGGTGAAGACGACCCAATGCGCTGAATGACAGTGGCAAACTAGAACAAAAGCTAGTGGAGGAGGTCGGCGGGGAAAGAGGAGGAGATCAGAGGGAGGTAAGCAGCGAAGGGAAAAGAGAGACAGAAGAGGCTGAGCGGGCAAGCACAGGGTCGCAGACAGCACGCTCACAGCGCACAGTATGCCGGTTTGCTGCTTCGGTTTGCTGCTCCTGCCTCCTCCAACCGATTGTGGGTGCGGCCTGTCTGTCTGCTGCATTCATGCCTACACGCATACGCATACGTTCTGTGCATGTAGCCGTGGTCCCGCTTGAAAACGCACACCCATCCCACTACCCTTAATCCACCTGACCTCCCTACCCCTACCGCCACCCACGCCAGCCTCCTGCCTTGGTGCCTACAAAACCCCGTATTCCCAACCAGACATCACTTCTCATGGCTGGGGCCACCCCCCACACTAAAGCGCGCCCCCGCCCCGCACCTGCGCCAGTATCTTGCGGAGCACCGCCTCCAGCCGCCGCTTGTTGACAAGCAGCAGTTGCTGGGGGAGGGAAGCGGGGAGGAGGAGGGCGGTAGGGGCCAGGTGTGGGAGAGGGGTTAGAGGGCCGCCAGGCGGGTGCATGCGGGTGCGATAGATACGGAATGGTGGCGAGTGGGGGAGGATTTTAAGTATTGCCGCAAAACAAGTGTGTGGCAAGTGGGGCGGGAGCGGCAGGGGCAGGGTGCCGGTCCGGTTCCGACCCCCCCCCCCCAACCTTACCTTATCCGCCGCCAGCGCGTTGCGCTCCCTCTTGAGTGCCACCACCCCCTCCGCCAGCGCCTCGGGCTCCCGGGACAGTGCCAGCGACATGACGGCGTTGGCGAACTCACGGGCGCCGTACTGGGCTGCATGGGGGGAGGAGGGCAAGGGGTGGGGCAAGGGGGGGGAGGGAGGTAGAGAGGCAAAGTTGGGGATGGAGCGGAGAGGGGAAGGAGAGGGAGGGAAGTTGCAGTGGAGCGAGAAAGGTGTGGAGGCGAGCTCGGGTGTTTAGGCATGTTGTCGTGTCAGCTCCAATGCCAGCCGCCACTCACTGTCAGGCCGCACGCCCCGGAGCTGCTCGTCCACTGGCACCCTGCGGCCAGGTGCGAGAATGGGAAGGGGCGAGGAAAAGGAATGGATGGGAGGCAGAGGAAGGAAAGCCCGGGGGAAATTGGGGGAAAGGGAAGAACTTGGGGAGGGAGGGACGGCGATCGGCGAATAGGACAGGCGGGTAGGCAGGCCGTAGGTAGTCGGACAGAGCTGCGTACTCACCGGACGGAGCTGCTGAGGCCCACAAATGCGGATGATGGCCGGTTATGAAAGCCGCCGTTGTTAACGCTGGGGAATCCTCGTTGCTGCGCAGGGGCGTCAGTGTAGTTGTTGCTGCTGGAAAGGGCAGACTTGCAAGGCGGATTCGGAGCCATGTGTGCTGGCAGGGCGCGAGCGTCTGTGTGCGAGGGCTGTCTTATGGCAACGCCTGAACTTATTGACCGTTGTGGATGCCCATTTGGTAGGGAGCTGCGGCGAGCTGGCTGCAGCCATGACGCCGTAGACGCGGACATCGACATGCGAGGAGGTGCTGCACGCATAGCTGTGAGCGAGACCTGAAGGTCTTCCGAGTCCATCATGTTTGCTTTTGAGATGGCGCCGTTGAGCGCCAGAAAGTTTGCCCCAGGCGGAGCTAAGCAGACGCGCTGGTAATCAAAGGCGCTCACTGCCTATAGTACTCCAAGGTCCAGTTAATTGGAAACGCGTTAATATTGTGTATCGCATAAAGCATTATGACCCGCTTGGATTCCTTGAATGTCTTGACGGGTTGATGCCATCATGCGAATGTGGTAACGTTCCTTAAACATACTACCGTACTATTGAAATCTGGTAGTAGAAAAGCATAGTTATACAATTGGTCTATTATATGATGAATGCTGCGAATATAAGGATCACCTCCAGAGGTTGCTGCCGAACTAGTCCTTCGTCGGTCTTTCTTGTAATTTCTTATTAATCTGTCACGTTCACCATTATTTAATTAGTACAGTTCATCAAGAGCGGCGCAATGTGTCCTGCGTGTAACCGCCCACGGTAACTGCCTGGCTAATCGACGGCCGTACGGTAGTGAATCTCACGGCGACAAGACGTGCGTTCACGGAGCGCTCTCGACGCACTCCCAGCTTAGGTAAGCAGAAGCTGCATACCGTATCAGTATAATGGAATGCACCATACGCACCCTGGGCCGCATTCCCCTTGCACACTAGCTAGTGACATCCAGCTAAACCTACGACGCCATGACATGTCATATCCCGTTGATCTGCACCTCATTGCCCTGCCGACGCAAGCATTCCGTGAAGCTGTCAGGGCCAACTGCTGTCGCTGGCTAGCTGGTAGTCCAGCAGGAAACAGTCCAATCAGTCAGGAAATGGCGGGCTGACTCAGCTAGCTGTCACTTCATACACTGCCCGTGTATGTCCCACATGTCTAGCCTAACGCAGGGCCGCCTAGCGTCCCAGTCGCCCCAGAGCCGGGCTCCCGGCCAACAGCTGAACAATGTGCGGGAGGCCCGTAGAATTGAGTCGATGCTGTTGGTTGCTGCTGCAGGAGCTTGTAGACAGGCTAGGCAGCAGCATGGACAGCAGAAAAGGCAAGGTTGAAGGGGCACCGGCAGACCTCGGGAGCCTGGGGGCGCGATGAGGACCGGTGCGGCGAAGAGAGGGTGTGTGAGCTGTGAGGTGGACTGGCTGATAAGGTCAGGTGCGTTGGAATGTGAGGCCGGGAAGCTGGTGGTGGTGGGTTGTCTGTACAGATGTACATGCAAGCTTAGACTGCTGACTAAGATACTGGTAGGGTATAAATTGCTGCTGCTGAAGCGGCGGCACGAGGGAGGTGGTGACCAAGTGTATGCAGGATTTGAGGCTCAAGGAGTTCAACTCCAACCAGTTTGTACCGTCATCCTTGGACCTACCATGTAGTGCTCTACGCGGGTCGAACGGAGCCAAGAAGAACAGTCGCGGAATGAGCCGCAGCAGCCAGCAGCCAGCAGCAGGTGCGCAATGTACGGGCCGATGCATGTGTGCGGGAAGCCGTTCACCAGCCATGTCCTGCGGGTCGCCCTGGGTACGAGCGTAAAATCTTTAACTGGGTGCCGGGTAGCTAGGGCTGTAGGAAGCTGGACAGACCCGCAGGTTTGGCTTAGACACGCTTCCCTGGGCTATATGCAACAGCACCGAATAGTGGTCGCAGTGCACTTTGCGGTATGGCAGCAACCTCGGAGGAATGGCAGCACTTCGACAAAGCTTACAATTTGGTTGACCAAACGTTGACTGACCACACGTTGAACGAGCACAGATGTACATACGGACAGCGTATGTGTCGATGGCACAATTTTGTATCAGAAAGCTAACCGGCATCTTATAGAAAAAAACAGGCATGCGCAGATTTAGGCAGCCAAGTAATAGCAGGAAAGGTCGGTCGATGGGGCGTTACTGCTCAATAACAATGCAAGGGGCGTTAACCCATTGATCCCCGTTATTACACGTACACGTGTTGCCCCGCCACCACCATATAAACAGCGGAATTACGGTTAAATCGACATCTTTGGGGGAGTGCCAAGTAAACCCGCGTCAAAAGTCATCAGCCAAAGGATGTGACCGACCATAGGAGGCCATACAATGCAACAGCAAATTGCTTTGCGATTGTTCTACAGTACATGTGTCTGTCGTACTTGATGCACGACGTAAGTAAGGATGTGCTAGGTTAGAGCGTAAGCAAAAGTGACACATTGATACATCCTGCTGTAACCAGGCTTAACCAGCCGCTTACCTTATTTTCCATTAGGACAAGCTATGCACCGCAACCACCGTATTGAATGCCATAAAGGCATCCGACAACCCGTGCATGTGTACTTAAAAATCTCCATATCAAAGCAAGGTATGGCACGGTGCCCCTCATAATCACTCCCTCAATTGAGTGGCAATTGTGTCCGCTGCATGTCAACTGTACCAAAACTTGGAACCGAATTGTTCTGTAGCCGTCAGGACCCACCCGCATCAAAAAGACCATTTGAAAATTAGGCTTCCTCACACGGCGGGTCACGTTGCCATACTGCACGGAACATCTCTGTTCCCACAACATGTGGACTGGCGGACAAGGCGGTGCCTCAACTAGTAAGAGCGGAAAAACGTCCAAAGAGCCAACGAAACAATGCAATCCCTCTATGCTTAGATTTCTGAAACGTGCCTGGGGCCACGGTTTGACACCGTAGCACGAACAAAGTCTCCGCAACTCAACAGGCAGGAGGAAACTCGCGGCCAAGGCTAGTCATTAAGAAACTTATAGTTTGTTAAGGAATGCCATCCCGCTTCTTATACAATCCGCCCAGTATGGTACGATGCGGTATGTACAAAAATTAGTCATGTACGGTAAGGAAAAGCAGTCATTATTTAATACCAGCAAAATTGTCATACTCTATGTTACCATCAGTTTGTACAGTTCAATTCCAGCTTCGGCCCGCGGAAAGACGCGTCCATTTCACCTCGCACCCCCTCTGCTGGCATCGGTTAAAGGTCACAGCCTTTCGCGGCTAATACACAAAACGTTATAAGTAAATTACCAAATCACCAATATGTGATCTCTTAAGGGCGCTACTGGCCTATGCCGCATCCCTTTCGGGGGACTGTCGGCAGGTTGCAATCGAATAGCATCCGTTGATGACTTCCCGCAGCCCTGCCCCTTCTCGTTGGCCATCGCCTCGAGGCACTGGTACAGTAAAATTCCAGTCACATGTACATTGATTACTACCACAAAACGGCCTAAGAGGTAACAAAAGGACAGTAGCACAATCGACGACTGGAAGCCTTACTGTATGTAAGTCATCAAAGCCCTACACCAAATGCAATTTGCCAGTTTTCCATTCGTATTAACTCAGTCCATCCATGTGAAGGGCAGAGAGGTGACAGATCAGTCTCATCACAGCTACTCTCACAGCCACTTCATAAATGTTCCCCTTCAGCCCACCCTGCTAACAGGGTGTGTCCAACCCCGGACCCCTTTTCGCGTAGTTCTCAAATCACCACCTTGTGTCCCATCCGTTTCCTGCTGCAACACCATCGGTCCACAACATCTTCTTCGTTAAAACCTTGGAGCATTTCGCGCGTCCCCTGCGCCCCAACGTAGCTATGCACTTTCACCACAGTATCATTGTACCACACCAGGCTGTAAGCAGTAGCAAGGAGGCGTGAGCGTGTAGCTCATGTTCACATCATCACGCTTGCCACGGCCGGCCGCTGTACACGCCTTCGCGCCAAGAGCCTCGTCCTCTGCTGCAGCTGATGTAGCAGGTGTGTCTCTGCGAAGCGGTGTGGCTCAATTGGTAGCAGCGGTGTGATAAGCTGGGGCGGCCTTGGTAATGGCAATGCCATCATCGATGGTGGCTCCGGCAAGGTCTCGGCCGTGGGCTGTGCGTTCAAGGGCGTGCTCAGGTGGGGCTTGTGTTGCGAGAGCTGAAGGCCATGCAGCGACGAGGAGGTCTGTGAGGATTTGGAAAGGCCGCCACTGACAACAGCAGTTGTCCCTGACAACTGGAGCCGTTCAACTCGTCGCTTGTATACTTGACGCGACAGGTGCAGCTCCGCTAGCAACGCACGCTCCTGGTGGTCCAGCATGCGCATTTGGCGATGCAGTTCGGGTACGGTAAGCCCGCTAAAGAGGGCCGAAGCGAGATTCACAGGAATCCGGTCCGAAATTGGTGCGGTGCTGGAGGAGCCAACGCTCCGAGCGGCGTTCGGCTGCATCATTGCCATGTTTGCCACATTAAGGGCATATGCTGGAAGCCTCGGCGTTGCAGCTGTCGCAGGCACGTCCGGCGGTTCGACTGCCGCATCAGGCCGTTGACCAGAGAGCGTGTAGCCGCTGTTGTCTGACCGCCTTGACTCAGACGTACCCAATGGCGTAAAACAGGCTTTTTGGGTGGCGCAATTCAGGTTGTCGGGGCTTCGCGTGCGGTTGGCTTGCAGTTCACCAGGGGGAATCGACGAAGACGTGGTATTAATGTCCCGTAGACGTTTCCGACTTTGTATAGAGTTGTAAGCTACGGCTTCCATGGAAGATCTGCCAGGCTAAGCACGTCTTCTCTTCGGCTCCGATAAACTTCTCGACAGTTGAACTTCAGCAAGTTGCAACTGGCCTGAATAAATCCCCCTTGACCGTAAATTGACTTATATATTCACTACAACAAAAAGCGACTTTTTATGGGCAAAACAATGGAGAAAAGGTTAACGTGGAGGTTGGAGATGTAACCGCTGGAGCGGATTGCTTCGCTAAAGGCAAGGGTATTTAATTTGTCACAAAGTTATAACAAACTGGGTGTGGTGTGCTGCCTTTCTGTGCCAGCACTCAAACATCCGCTCAGGACATGTAGTACAAGTGCCGGATCGAGTCGCCGAACGGTTCACCTCTTCAGGGACCTCAACATACTCCCCACAATTCATAGACATCTCTTAATAAATACCAGCATCAGCCTAGCTATGCGCGCGGGGGGCTTGCTTTTATCCTAACAAGTTCCAAACCGCCTATCTCTCGCTCTTCCAGAAGCAATAGCCATTCCAGTATAGTAATGTCAAGTGAAGCATAACTTGCAAACCGTTAGCGCACGGCTGTAATGTGCGTGAGCAGCGAGGCCCGATTTACTAACCGCGAGGTTCGAAGTAGCTGACTGTAGCTGTAGCCACCTAGCAGCGCAATGTAGGCCAATTGCCATGGCAACGTTCATTTGATGCAAATGCCATCTATACCAGGGTGATTCCGGATTCCGTTTGCCGAAAGACAGCGGATTGCGGAAAACCTAAAACGGACAGCTCAGGCGCAGCCACGGTTGCACTCTTGGCCTTTAGCTACGGCCTGCCAATGCACAGCCTGTCCTCAACTATCTCTGCTTTCTCTAGCGACATCAATTATAAACAGGCGCCTGGCCGTATGCCTTAGACATGACGTCTGTCACTCCAGGTCCTCCTAAAACGGCGGACAAGATATGGCTTTGGCCCCACCGCACGAGACACGGCCACGCAGCTACACCCACTTCCACCCATTCCGCAAACAACTAGCAACAGTTGACAGGTCCCAATGGTGCGGTAATCAACAAGCAACTGTAGTTTGGCGCATGGTGACACAATGCACGCTTCGCAGTGTTGGTCGAGGTTACACCATCTGGCCCTCCATACAGCATCCTTAACTCTTTCTGCTAAGCGGACAACACAGCCTTTCCTATATACAATGTCTTCCCCATCATTAGACGCACATGCAAGCCTACCGGGTTTCGCGCCACTACCACACTAGGCACTACACACCCTAGCCCAACCGCCATGGTCGACCAATAGTATCCGGTGCATGCAGATACGATGAATGCCTCAGTGCCGTAATCACAGTACGTCCCGACTCGCGGCCAGTTTCCTTAACTGACAGGAGGGGAGGAGCCGCATGCGGCAGCAGTGGACTCCGAGGGTCTCCCTGGTCTGGAGGGTTGCAGCAGCGGCGGCGGGATTGGGTGATCACTTGGGGGCGAGTACGGCGCCGTAAGGTGATGGCCGTTAGGCATTGCTGCTGTTAGCAAGCGCAGTAGCTGCTGATGATGATGATGATGTTGCGAAGTGCTGCAGGCAAGATGCAAATCCTGTCGTTGCTGGTGCTGCGGATGTTGCTGTTGCAGCTGCGGCGGTGCTACTGGTTGAGGCGGTGGAAGTGCGGCCCGTGTTGCCGCCGTCAACACAGCTGGGATAGCGACGCCGGCTGCTGCTGATGCTGCAACCGGCTGTGACGCAGCGGCAGCCGCAGCCACCGCCCCTGCAGCTACCGCAGCAGCAGCTGGGCTTACCGAAGCAGGAGGTTCCACAGCGAGGGCCGCCATGCGGGCATCATACTCGCGCCGCAGGCTGCGGAGCCCCTCCAATAGCGCCTGCTCCTCCCGGTCCAAGCCGCTGAGCCGCTGCTGCAAGGCCTGCAAGGGCAACACCGAGAGCTCGCTGGTGCCCCGCATCTGCAGGGAGCGACGGAGCCCCATGGCGCCGCCGCCTGAGCTCGGGTGGCCGCGACTTCCGGTGTCAGCGCCTTTACGTGGTGCGGGGGCCACGTGTCGAGCAGCAGGCGCGCATGGAGCATCGTTCCCGGCAGCGCGTTCGGATGTGCTGGTTGGGGTGATCAGCATGTGGGCTTTACCGGCAGTGTCCCTGCCTTGTAATCCACCGCAGCTGCCGGTGTTGCCGGAGCAACGTGTGCCAAAATGTGATGAAGGGCACTCCGTAACACGGGTGCCTTCCAAGGCTTCGGGCAGTACGGGAAGTACCGAGTGTATTCGCTCGAACTCAGCCGCATCGCTGTTGCATGTGCTGTCACTACAGGCCCGTCGCATAGATGGGCGTCCTGCTTCCACAGCATCCGCTCCAGGTCTGCCCCGCTTCATCGGTCTTTGAGGCGCCAAGCCACCCGACTTCGCGTAGTCTTTATGACGTCTATCGAGCTATAATGCTGACTTGGCCATTACCGGTATCGTGCTGCTTTTTGATAAAATAATTCATGGCCTGCAGATGAGCATCCAGACGATCAATTCAATACACATTGGTGCATCTTGTAATATAGTAGGACTAAGAGTAGTAAGGGCGGCACGCTTATAGCGAAACAGCTCGCGTAGCCTTGCCTGCTGCCACTTGCATACCGGTAACCTTTATCGGGTGGTGCCCGCGTTAATCACAATAACCCATAGATGCAGTAGAACTAACGCTTTTTCAAAATCTTAATGCTGTAACATAGCCGATTGCTCGTCAGTCCGACCTAGCTAGGCGACGCACTAAGGCGGCGATGACCGCGGTGTAGCTGCACTAATAATAGTTAGGAAGAGTCATAATAACCAACGGCTAGTTAAGGGAATTCATTGTTCCCTTACAAACATACTTGTACTGCTGAGGATGTTGCCGTGCATGTTGCAAGGCAGCGTAACAAGCCTTGTCGCTCGCGTAGCATAGAACGCGACACGCTTACAGCTACAGCCAGCTCGAGCGTAGTTGCACACTGCGTCAAACACATTGCTCAGGACTGCCGACGGATGGCCCCTCCAACAGACGCGAAGCAGACAACGGAATCCAAGGCCACCCATTCCACACACTAATAAGCGATACATGGTTTGCTGCGCCTCCACAGCTATCCCTTGTGACCTCGAGGCAATTCCACCCAGGCACATGCATCCCTCCAAGATTCTACTAACCTGTACGATAGTACAAACGTGGCTTTAAATAGTCTACTTATGGCGGCGAAAAATAAGAACAAATAACGTGGTTGACCGCAAGCACCGGTACAGGCAGCCTGGCCTTGAAAGTATGCACGTACACATGTACACGGCTCGACTGGTTCAGCCGTGGAGTTAGGGGCGCCAAAGACCCATGGTTCACCTCCGTTATCGTGGTCCCAGCAACACAACCTGCATGCCCGTTCGGATGTATACCAGAATCCTACATTTTGTAACGCACGTAAGTTACCGGTAAGCAAGCACGATGGGGCCACAGAGAGGTATGTGCCATCCAACCAACCATCAGATCCAGGACAATTCAAAACCAACACCTGGACCGCATCCAGGACAGTTGGTACTACAACTCGATAAAGTGACATGCTCGCCCGCACTCACCTGCTGCATAACCAACAAGAACCCGCACGTACTTGGATGCGCGTCAGTTCACATGTGTCGTAACGCCAACAAGAGCAAATCCATCAGCCCAGGAACGTACTCCCAGTCTCAGAAAGGTTATCCATCACAACTACATCACTGCGTGAAAACTGCAGCCTTCGCTGCCCCGTCGCTGCCGTCACGCAAGCTTTCCCCTCCTCCCAGGGATACTTGCCGCTCCTGTGTGTCGCCGATCCTGCGTGCCTGCAGCAGCACTTGCCACTACTTCTCCTCCTGCTGCATTGGCTGCTGCAGCTGAAACTGCTGCTGCTTCTCTAGGTGTTGTTGCTGTTGTTGCAGCAGTGACATCTCGGCTCGTTGTTGCTGCAGCAGCAACGCCCGCAACCACTGCATACGATGCTCCGAGTGGGCAGCGGCACCCTCCGCCGCCGCCGCCGCCAACGCACCGCCACCGCTGCCACCGCCACCGCCGCCACCGCCGCCACCGCCATCTTCCCCCGCACCTTGCGACCTTGCAATCGCACCATTGCACCTACCATCACCACCGCCATCGTCACGGCCGCCGACGTTACCCTCTACGGCACCAGCAGCACCAGCCACAGCTTCAACGGCCCCGCCACAGCCTCCGAGAACGGCATTGAGAAGTGCTGCCGGGTACGGCAACTGGTAAGAAGGTAATGTTTCGCAGCCCTTGCTGACGCCTTCAGCATTTCGTTGGTCCTTACTTTGCGTCGCCGTCACCGGCGCCGCCGGCGCTGGCACGTGTGTAGTGCATTGCGGCAGGTCGCAGTCCTCCGGAGGGACACCTTGTCGACCCGGTAGCTTCTGCGGCTGCTGTGACTGCCGTTGGGGCGGCGGCTGTGCCAGCCCTTGCGTGCCTCTCGCTTGCGGCGAGCAGGAGGCCAGGTGGGCAAGATAGCACAGCAGGCGATTCGTCGCCATTGCATCACCACCGCCGTCATCGCCACCACCACCGCCGCCGCCGCCGCCGCTGCCGCCAAAGGGGCTAGCAGCGGCAGCGACGGCGGCGGCCCCAGCGTTGTCATCGCGGGTGCTGCTCGGGATGCAAGCAGGAGCAGCGGGCCGCTGGTCGGGCTCCTCCGCTTCGCCACCGGAAGCAGTTCCTCCCTCGGCAGGGACCTGCTGCATGCAGCCGCCTACCACCCGCTGCGGCTGCGGCTGCTGCTGGTGCGGCTGCGGCGGCTGCGGCGGCTGATGAGGCGGCTGATGAGGCGGATGTTGCTGTGTACGTCCAGCCGCCTCCCCTTGCCATGCCCCACCTGACACCGGCATCACAGGTCGACGAGCCTCCGCATCATCCGCCTCCGTTGCTGCGGTAACCATCACTGCTTCGTTGTCACAGCCCTCGTTGACATCCTCCGTCGGTCCTGGCGCAACATCACACCCCCCATCACGCTCCGCCAGCACCGCCGCCTCTTGCGCCTCCACATCCGCCCCCGCCCCCGGCCCCGCCCCCGCCCCCATGAGACCCACACCCGTGTCGTCGACGTCATCGCCACCAGCGGTGGCGGCGGCTGCGCCCTCAGCAGTCGCGCCCTCCTTGCATCGCATGGCCTCCAGCACCATTTGCTTCATCTGTTTGACGTGCAAGAGTTGTCGTAGCAGCCGTACTTGCTTGAGTTCGTACATCAACCGTTCCTCTTGTAACCGCAACTTCCGTTCTATGGCGGCTAGCGAGGAAATAATACGGTCGGGTCGCTCATTGCTTGCAGCAGCACTAACACCAGCGCTAGCGGTGGTTGCTGCGGCGGCGGCAGTTGCACCACCGTTGGCGACGCCACCGTTGTTATCGGTGTACGGCAACGCGTCGCTGCCAAAGAAGGGTGCATCGTCATCAGCGGTACTGCCGTCGAAAGGTATTCGCTGACCTTGACGGTTAGCCGGTTCGTTATGAAAGGTACGGGTGTTAGCCGTCATGTGGGGCAGAGTAGGTGGGCGCTGCTGCTGATGCTGCGGTGCCGATGCCAAGGGATCGACCTGCAGGGAAAGGGCCGGTAATGCGTTCCGGGACGGATGTCACCCATCACGTGTCCTATCTATTGACTACCAGACGGTTATCGAAAGCCGGCAAAAGCTACCGATATGAGTCTATGAGACGTACCCATCCCGCCAGCATGCCGCATGCACCTCACCTGCATGGCATCTCCGCCACCCGCGGCAGCAAACGCAAACTCCGTGGGTACCCCTCTGGGACTGTACAGCATCTGCCGCCGGAATGCCGTACATGCCCCGTACATGACGTGCCTTCCCGCCGTCACATGATGCGAGAAGGGCTGCAGGCCGCCCACTGGCGGCTCCTGTTGATTCCCCTCTCGGTGATGCTGGAGGTAGGGCGGCTCACCAACTCCCCCACCCTCAGCAATGTCCCTTGCGAGGGCTTCTGGACCATGGCTGACCCGTGGGTCGCTCATCCTCGTGAACCGTGGGTCGCCTGGGTAGGGCTGCTGATAGGGGTGATGGAGGACATCTGCATGCTTCTGCTGCACATGGCCACCGTTGTGGTGATGAGTCTGATAGTGATGATGTTGATGGTGCTGGGGGCCGTGTGGGCCTGGGTATCTGTGACTTGGCAGACCATGCGGCTGGGGGCCCGGTTTGGGAGCGGGTGGCCCTCCCACACCGCCGGCAGGGGCGTGTTGAGACGGCAGGCGATGCTGAGGAAGCGTGTGGGAGCTGTGATGGTGTCGGTGCGTTTGTGGCTGGGGGTGCAACGCGTGTTGGCCCCGGGGTTGGTATGCTTGGGGATCATGGTTGTGGGTTGCAGCGAGTGCTGCTACTGCGGAGGAGGGCCCGTGGAGGGCGGCTGAGGGCGGCTGCTGGGGGCAGCCAGGTTGCGGCAATGAGGGCGGAGCGGCAGCTGTGGTATCGTCACCAGCAACAGCGGTGATGTGCCCGTTGTTGGTGCATTGAGTACCTCGTTTTGGACTACCATGGCTGCCGTACGGCTGCAGCTGCTGCTGATGATGGTAATGATGACCATAATGTTGATTAGGATCCTGGTCTGGGGGCTGATGTTGCCGCTGTTGCTGAATAGCAAGCATGTGGAGCAGCGAAATAACCGACCCCGCGCCCGCGCCTCCAGAGCCCAGGGCCGCAGCTGTAGCAGCTGCCACCGCATCAGTGGCAGGGGCAGCAGCAGCTGCAGCTTCCCCCACGACGGCGCCTACCTGAGCAGCCTCCCCACTGGCACTCCGGTTGCTACCGCTGACCGCAGCCCGGCCACTACCACTGCCACTGCCACTGCCACTGCCGCTACCGCTGTGCCCCGCAGGCGACTCCCCGCCTCCGCCGCCATGGCTCCCGCTGCAGCCCTCTCCACTGGCGGTCGGGAGCTGCCCCTCTGAGACCGCCGCCGCTGCTGCCGCCGACGCTGCTGCCACGGAAGCAGCTGCAGCCGCATGAGCGGCGCGGGAGATGGCCTGAGCTGCTCCTGCCCCTGCTGCTCCGCCTGTTCCGCCTACTGGCCCTGCTCCCACCATAACCGACTCCATGGCTGCCCCTGCTCCTGCTCCTGCCCCTGCTTTAGACGCTGGTGGTTGTTGCAGCAGCGGTTGGTGCCGCTGGGGAACAGCTGCGGGCTGCCGGCTGGGTTCCAAGTGGGCTCGTTTGGCGGAGGGCGGGGCAGCGGAGGCGCCGCCGCCCCCTGACCCGACCCCTGCCACACCCTCGCTACCGGACGCCGCCGCAGCCGGCTTGAATCCGCCCCTGCTCCTGCTAACAGTTTCCCTGCCGCCCGCGCCGCTGCCCCCAGCTGGGCCATTCCCCCCGCCGCCGCCATCCCGGCCCTCCAGCTGCGCGAGTGCGGCTAGGGGCAGTCGCTGTCCGGCGTGGAGCAGGGGCTCACTGCAGACACGCTTGGCAGGAGGGCGAGTTGGGGGTAAGGATCAGGGGCGGCGTTGGTGGGAAACGTTGGAGGGAAGAGTGGGAGGTAAGAGTTGGGAGGAAGGGTTGGATAGGGACGCTATTCTGGTAAGAAACAGCAGGTATGCAGGTGTAAGACACTCAGGACAGTGCCTGGGCGATCTATCTGGCTGTTCCTGACAGCATTTCCCACGTACTACACAGCCCTCCTACCCACCACACGCACCAGCCACTGCCCCGAAGCGCCTCCGCAGCGCCCACAGCCGCCGTACCGCCGCCAGCCACTCCTGCCAGCGCCTGCTGCAGGCCCAGCGAGGCCTCTGCGGCAGCCGCGCTACTCAGTTGCTGCTGCAGCCGCAGCCAGGCGGCAGCTGCACTAGCCGACGCCGTAGCTGCAGCCGCAGCCGTGGCCTCATGCGCTTCTGCAGCTGTGCGGAGAGAGCCCAGCCTGCCGCTCCCATTGCTACCCTTGCTGCTGGGGACATAAGCAGCCACCGCAGAAGCGTCTGCTTCCTCACATGGCGAGAATTCAGAGGCCGCAGGTTTGCGTTTTCTGCTAAAGCTGTTTGGCCGAGAGCAGGTAGCGGTGGCACCTGGCGGCGGTGCTGTGTCCCCACCGCCACTGGTTCTTGTGGAGGATCCAGTCTTCGTATTCGGAGCAGCCTGGGATGTTAGCTGTCGTGCGAAAGCAGGGCCCGCGTTTGGCTCGTGCAGAAACCCTAGGCGAGTCGGATGTGGGTCGCCAATGCTTGCGCTCCTCGTGGGCTGGTCTGGAATAATAGCACTAGGTGGTTGGGCGCGTCCGTTCCCAGAGTTGCTAGAGGTGAGTTGGCGTAAGGTGAGAAGCGACTCAACGACATCTGCCTCAGCATCGGTATCGTCTTTCGCGCTCCGTTGGTTGCTCCGGTGCGCGGCACCTTGGGAAGCATCTAGACGACTGCGTCGTATTTGAGATTGTTGGGACTGCTCAAGGGGTTGCTTTGTTCCGCTATCTGGACGACCCATGGCGACGCCGTGCATCGGCAGCGACGTACTCGCGGTGAAGGATGTCTACTGCCGTATCAACAAGCGGATGGCGACCACTTTAGTCGGACGGTCGTAGGAGGGTAGGACGCATACAGGTTGCGCCGGACTTCCGGGTATTCTCTACCAATACACTGACATATTCATTGGCCGGCAGGTAGCCTTGCCATTAATAGCTGCGTCTTTATGTACCCTGGCAATCGGCTAGACCTTGCGCAGCCTTGATCCCTTCCGTCTCTCAGTCCAGCTAAACAGGAGTTCAGCGGCTCATAGTTGTCACAAAGATGCCCCAAAACAGCTTAGTCCTATGCCTGAAAACTGATATTGTATGTGACATGTTGCGCCCATTATGCTTTCGCGATGCAAGCCAATCGTTTCGTGCACCGTACAGCTCCCTCGCAAAGCGTGCTGCTAAACTAAATGCTACTTGCTAACCTACTTATAAAAGCAATAAACGTTTAATGAAGAACGTTGACGCCGGTGAGCGCCTGCACGCAGCGGTTAGCATCGGGAGGGTTCACCTTCCTAACTTTAACGCGGGTGATGGCCAGCACTCCTTCTGTGCATCGTTGGTTTGCCTTGTAAAAAAGGTTTCCGGTCATATCTATCCATCTACACAGTGCCGTACAAGCTCGGGAAACCTAGCAACCTCCGTCAAGAAGTACATGGAAGTGTTTGTAGCGGGACTGTAAATGCTTACGAATAGAGAGTATGTAGGCGTTCTTGGAGCTTGTCAAAGGCCAAAATGACATTTCAAAAAGCGCGTTGGAATGGAATTTCTTCGACAGATAGACGGCTAAACGAATAGCATACTCTTTTCCCACCGTACTATATAACTATATTGCCAAATGGCTTTCGCACGTTACAACAAGTGCGGCTTAAGGCGAGGATCACCCTTGCCTCAATGCGTTCCCTCAAGCGCCCCTTTCGCGTTGATGGCTGCTGGCTAAGTCGCCGTCTCGAAACTTCCGTTAGTCCAACTTGAGAGTAAAACAGAACACCAGAATGTCACCCACCTGGCACGCCAAGGTGCGCCCCACCGCAGCCCTCAAGGGGAGGCGCCTTGCGGGAAAGCTCCCAGGCCTTCAGCCTTTTCCCCGCTCACTAGTGTTCCGATTCCGATTTTTGTGTTGCTGCACCTTCCTTCCCAGCATCAACACCCAACCAAGTAACTCCGAAAGCCCAAACCCGCTACCGTCAGCAACATGAGAGCACGGTGTGGGCTCCCAGGCGCCCTACCATACAACCGTATAATACCCGGTACGATAGCCCTTACATTCAAAACGACGCCGGGCAGCCCTGAACCAGCACTATGGTGACCTGCTCCTTTAATAGCCGCTCATCCGCCGCAACTGTCCCCAGCAGACGCCGGAACTATCTCCTACCCTTCCCGTAGCATGCCCTAGTCAACTGGCCTTGGATAGGAACTATCGCCCTTACCACCCCAAAGCAATGACCGCCGCTGCCGCCGCATACCTCCTCCCTATCGCTGGATCACCCTGGCCCCTCTTCCCTCCATCTCCCGTCAGATATCTAAACAGCCTCTTCCTCTTGCTCCACTCCACCTGCTCCCTACAACTTCAACTCCCCCTGCAACTCCCGGTCTCATCCTCCTCCTCTCCTCCTTCCTGGCCGCCTGTCCCTCCTTCCCTACTGCTGTATGATCCTGCTGCGGTAGCGCTCGATGTTGTTCTTGGTGAGCACGGTGATGGCCTCCGCGTTGAGGGGCTGCTTGGTGAAGGGGCAGCGACCCTGGGGGGTGGGAGACAGGGAGGCAGGGAAGGGGAGCACAGGTTGTGGTTGGGAGGGTTGAGGAGCTGGGCGAGAGATGTAAGCGCATGCGCGGCACAGGCTCTTTAACAGTGCCGAGGCCCTCGTCCGCGTTTAAACGCGCAAGTCAAAAGCGCATAGAGGTCAGGGGGACAAGCCCCACCCACTCACATGCTCCGCCAGCACCGCCTTCCACGTGGCCATCCCCATGACGTGGCCGTACGGCGAGATGCCCGGGTTGACCACCGGCTCCAGCGTGATGGGGTCCAGGAAGCCGGGCAGCGGGTTGTCGGCCTGCGCGGCGGACAGCAGCGCCGCGGCGTCCTCGCCCGCGTCCTCACAGCGCTTGCGGTAGCGCTCGGCGCGGGTCACCGCAGACCACCTGGCGGGGAGACAAGGTAGGAAGGGAGGGAGGGGGTGGCATGAGGGATGAGAGCACAGTGTATTGTTGAAAAGGGACGCAATGGCAAGGAACATACCTTCCAACCGATCCGTCTCACTCTCCTCTCCCTGCCCCCACCTGTTGCCCGCGTATGTCTCCTCCGGGTCCTCCTCCTCGCCGCCCGCCCGCTCGCCACCCGACTCCTCATCCGCGTTGCTGCCGCGCCGCCCCCTTCGCCCCCGGCCACCTCCCCCAGCAGCCCGGGGGGCGCGGGGAGCTCGGCTGGAGGTGCCTGCTCCGCCTCCCGCCGCCCCCGCTACTGCATCGCCCCCTGCGCCGCCACGGCTGCCCCTGGCGGGGACGGCCTGGCCCCCCCTGGCAGCCTCCCGGTCCATCTTGCCCTCCCTGTGGGTCGGAGCGACAAGGGAGGCGCGGTCCAGGAAGTGTTGCAAGTTGCCAAGATTGTCGACAACACGACACGACGTCTGCTCAGAGAATCTAAAACACGCACCCAAGGGTCTCCCTCCCTCGCCCTCCCTTTCCTGTTTTCCTGGTGGTCTGCACTGAGCCCTCTGCCCGCTGCTCCCCTCCATCTGTCGTCCCCTTCTCCCTTCACCATCTGCCCCTCTATCCTCTGCCTCGCAACACTTCCAGGTCACAGCCCCTTTTGAACACCCCCATGCCTCACCAGTAAGTGGAGCACTTGCGCTCCACGTCCAGTGCCTCAATGGCGGCGCAGATCTCCGGCTGGTTGAGACCAAAGTACTCGGGACCCGCGATGGCGGTCTTGGGGGGCGGCGGGAGCGGCTCGCCCGCGGCGCGGCGGCCCTCGATCTCACCGTTGATGCGCTTCAGGACCTGAATGCATGTGTGCGTGGGTTGGGGGATGCTGGGTGGATTAGGCTGTGAGCCAGTATGGCGGGCTAGCCCGCTTCTGGCTCTACAAGCCAACCCCACCCGGCAGCTCGCCACGGCACCTCCCGATTCCCTACAACCCTCCAGACCATCCAACCCATTCACTATACCCCTATCCCTCATCCTCTTCGCGGCTCAGTTACAATGTCCCCCTCCCTCTCTCCCTCCTGCCTCGTCCGTTTCCGTATGTTTCCCCTCCCCCCCCCTCACCGCCGTCCAGCAGCCGGTGCAGCTCTTCGCCACCAGCGGCTCGTCCGGGCGGTCCGCCGCGGTCACCACAAAGGTGGGCGCCGGCCAGTACTGCCCGCTCTCACCCAGCACCTCGCACGTGTGCACCGTCAGCGCGTCCAGGTCCACGGAGGAGCGGAAACACGTCTGCGACTTGAAACCGGCGGGGAAGATGTAGCCTGGGGGTGGAGAAGGAGGGTGTGGATGCGGCAGGGAAAGCAAAGCGAGGTGGAGAGGGGGTCAGGAGGAGTATTTGCTGCAATGGCGTGTGTACTATCGGGAGGCGGGAAGGGGTGCCTGGTTGCTGAAACCGGGAACACTGGTCCGGCGAATAGGGCGGTGAGATTGCAGCGGCCGTCCCGCCCTTGACCTCCCATCTCTCCCCACCTGCATTGTACCAGCCCGGGCGGGCGACGAGGCTCCCCACCGCCAGCAGATCCGCCCGCTTCACGCCCTTTTGCTTCACCCGACCGCGGCAGGTGTGTCCGCTGGCGCTGATGGCCGCACCGCCGGCGGCAGCAGCGCTTGCAGCAGCCCCCGCAGCGCCTCCACTCGCTTTCGAAGAACCCCGGCCTCCTGCCTTCCCCTTCTTTGACCCCTTGCTCTGCCGCTGCCTCGCCGTCCGAGACCTCCCACCACCGCCGCCTCCTGGGGATGACTCATCCTCCGTCACGGTCGCCTCAGAGTCCTCCCCACCGCCGCCGCTAACCGCAGGTACGGCAGCAGCTGCAGCCGCAACCGTCGTTGCGACACATGAAGGGCCTGCCGCGGTATCGCTACCGCCGCCGCCGTTAGCAGCAGCAGCGACGTCATCATCGCCAGCGTGGGACAGCTGGAGCGGCGCCGCAGTAGCAGCTGCCGTACGAGCCAGGGCGGCTGCAGCCGCTGCTGCAGCCGCAGCAGCCATAGCACTGACGGAGGCGGCAACGGTGACAGAAGCAACATTGTCATGCTGCTCGGCCACTGCCGGTGCAAAAGGCGCCGCAGCTGGCGGCTGCTGCTTGCCTCCTCGACTCGCGCGAGCTGCAGCAGCAGCTGTTGCTGTCGTACCGCGTTTGCGCGGCTGCTGTCGTGATGACGCAGCGCCTGCATGGGTTTGCGCGGTCAAGCGGTCAGGTAAAAGATAATGCGAATTATCATGACATTACCTCTTTTGAGTTCAGCCAGCATCAAACGGGGTCTTCTCGATACAGGATCGTACGCCCAAACCCACCTGCCCTACGCTTGCGACTGCCAGGCGCCACGTAGTCCTCCTCCTCCTCTTCCTCCACCAAATCCTCATCATCGCTGTCGTCGTCGCTGTCGCTTGCCTCCATCGCGACACCATTTGACCGCTGCTGCTGACCCTTCTTCCCACCATCAGCCTCAAAGTCAGAGTCCCCGCCATCGCTAGCAGTCTCCTCTTCTTCGTCGGCTCCCTCTTCGCTAATCGCCTGCCGTACAGCCGCTGCCGCCTGCTCCGCTGTAGCCCGTCGCGGCCGAAGGGACACACCACGACCTGTGGCTGTTAGCTGCTGCGATGCCGGCTGCTGCTGAGAGGGCTGCGTGGAGGATGGCTGCGAAGCCTGGTCCGGCTGCTGTGGCTGCTGCTGGGAGGATATTGGTTGAGAGGATGGGCCTGTAGCTACAGACGCAGGCTGGGACTGGGGCTGAGAGGCAGCCGCCGGCTGCTTCTGCTGGCTGCCACTGCGCTGCAGCTTGGAAGGCCGGTCTGCGGTGGGTGGACTGCTGACCTCGTCGTCATCGCCCGCAGGAGCCACATCCGCAGCTGCCGCAGCAAGAGGCTGCGGGTGCTGCTGAAGCTGGGGCTGCTCCTGCCCCTGCGTGGCACCTTCCTGCGCCCGCAGGAGGCTGTTCCACTCCTCGGTGGCGACCGAGTGAACGTTGCCGCTGGAGCCCTCAGCGACCAGCCGGTAGCGGAATCTGCGGCGCGGAGACGGATGCCAGAGGGAAAGTTGGGTTACGAGAGGCATATCAGCGTAGCGATGTGCTTCCTGGAACGTGTGACTGCTGAGATGTCGTACCAGTGAAGGCCGTGCACCATGACTGTAGTAACGATATGGGCGACTGCGATATGGCATTTACCAATAGGCAAGCAACTAGTCTTGAAAGTCTTCACGGCGGAAGACGACTTACAGTGGCGACTGGCCGGGTACAGCCGCTGTCATTCCTCCAGCCACGCCCTGCGATGCGAGGCCCGCGGGTACGTGCCCCTCTTCCTCCTCCTCCTCCTCCGCAAGCTGCTGTTGGCGCTGCTGGAGCTTCTTGGCCGCCTCCGCCAGCGGACTCAACACGGGCAACACGTCGTCCTCGTATTGCAGCTCGTTGTCAGACAGGTCTGCAGCGGTGCAGGAGGGAGGGCGGAGAGGAGCAGAACGTACCAAGGTGAGAGAGAGAGCAATCATCGTACAGCAAGAGCGCCAAGCGTTAATGAGCTCCTCCTGTCTCCTGCCCAACACAACTGCTTTTAGACCACTGCAACCAGACGTCGCAGCGACAAGGTAGGCCCTGCCACAAGCCGAACGACTCAGTTAGACGGCAATCCATGCACACCACCGCGCAGTGATGCAGTGACGCGGCCCGCAACTGAGACCCACCCACACACCCTCTCACCTGCAGAGTTGGGGTCCAGAGCCATCTCATCCTCCTCCATTCCGCCACCCTCCTCCCCATCCTCGTCGCCATCTCCAATGGCCGCGTCTGTCAGCGGATCACCACCCTCGACGCCCCGCTCCACAGCCGCATCGGGAGCACCCGCATCCAACATCTCCGTGTCCATCGGGTCCTTCTCCTGCTGCTGACTCTCGGTTGCGGCTTGGGTCGCTGTTGCGCGGCGACTAGACCTCCTGGGAGGTGGCGTGGCTGCCACATCAGCAGCAGCGATGGCTGCGGCAGGTACGGCTGCTGCTTGGTCGGCTCCCGCTGCGGCCGTTCCCTGCTCTTGTTGCTGGGGTGTTGTGGCGGCTGCCGCGAGAGCTGGCGATGCGCCACTGCCATCCCCGCCGGCGTTGCCCGCTTGGTTCCCGCGCCGGCCCTGAGAGGATGTCGCAAAGGGTCCACATTAGTGATGGAACGGGAAGATGGACGAGGGGTTAAATAGTGTCCAAGCAGCAAGCGTCCAGTTGTAACCGGTTCGCAGTAGCTACTTCTGGGTGATGACCGCGCATTCGAGCACTGGATACTGCAGGAAGCAGGAGCACGACAACAGACGCCCCGATACGTAGGCTAACCAGACCGAACCAGCAGCCACCGTCCCCAAAACAAACGTACCGCAGCCGCCGCCCTGGAAGCTCCGGCGCCCTGCTGCTGCTGGGGCTGCGGCTGGGGTTGGCGACCCATGGCGCTGATCTGGTGGGGACCCAGCCGCGACTTGAAGCGGCCTACAAACACGGCTCCGACCTGCGGTTTGTGAAACATGCCGCAGCGAGACTTGGTGAGACGCGCCAACACGGCTTCCTGTCAGTCCCTCGTACCTAAGCGCGCTGGGAATCGCTGCCCTAAAACGCGCGTCCTCTGTCCTGTTCCTCAAGTGCACCCATACGGCTCAGCCACCCAATCCGCGCGTGCCCCATCGCCTGCCTCAATCCCCGCCCTCGGAGCCTCCTCGCCATCACTGCCATCCGCTCACACTGCTCTCGCCGGAGGCCTTCCGTGCGGGCCGCATGCCTCCATTACCCACGACACCCCACCAAGCCTATATGCCAGTCAGTGCGGAGAATCCACTTCCAGTTAAAACCCACCAACCTGGCTCGGGTCCACTGCCTTGGGTCTAGGCCCTACCGCCGCCCGACTACCGCCGCTGCGCTGCCGTTCCGTCCTGGGGCGTTCTACAAGACGAGGAAACGGGGGAGGGGGAGGAGACGACAAGTGGGTCATAAGGGAAAGTGAAGGGGAGATGGAAGAGCGGACCCCAGACGGAACAGGTAAGTGAAGAGATACAGGGGCGGAGGCCAGAGGAAGCCAGCATAGGAGAGGGGCAAGGGAATGCTGCTTTCGTTAGGATTGGACGACTTCCCATACGCAAGATGCCCTTACCCGGGGCATGGTGCTCGGGTGCCGCCGCCGCCCCGCCCGCCTTCACCCGGCGCAGGAAGGCAGGGTCCGAGCTCACCCGCTCCGCAGCTGCTTCCTCCCTGCGCACATGCACCCATACCGGGTTACTTGAGGGGTAAGAGGAAACGACTAACTGACCGTGTGATAAGGCATCATCATGGTTTGCAACATGTGAGCCAGCCCGACCCGCCCAGCCCGAATTAGCCAAGCCAGTACGTGGGGGAAGAGGTTGCAAGGGGCACCTTGCGACTATATTTAACTTACTTCCAGTTGCAGAGCTCCAGAGCCCTCGTAGCGGCCTCCTCATCGAGGTCCGGGCAGACCTCTTGCAGCTCACGCACCTGTACGACACCGCCCGTACATTGCAGGACACCGATAAGTCCCGGTAAGGAGGCAAGGACATAAACAGGCTGGTAACGCGTTGGCATGCTGTCATAGTTGAGGCGGGCACCGTCCTTTTGGGTTAGCAAGTTCGGGTAGCCGCTTGCAGCCTGGTAGCTGTTTAGCAGTCAGCCTCACCCCAGCCCGGTTGGCTTGCTTTTCACAACACATCACATCATGCTTATGTTATCCATCCCGCGCACCTTGCGCTGCTTCTCGCGTCGCTCGTACTCCATGAACATCTTGCGCTGCAGCTCGACCTGTAAACCCCAAGGCGGAACATGCTCAGCGATAAACGTCATTAATGGATGGTAGAGGCTGTAGGGTAAAACCGCTGTGCTTACGCCGTCTTACCCGCTGCTGAATGATGGCCTGCTCATCCTCTGTCAGCTGCCGCTCATCAAGTTGCTTAAAAAGGTTATCGGTCCTACATGCAAAGCCAACACAAAGAGTACATGAATAGGGCCATTAGACCAGCGTCCCAGCGTCCAGCGTCCAGTCCTGCACTACGCATCGAAAAACCAAGGCCGGCGTAAATGCCCACCTTCGGCGCTCAATACAGTTTTCGCCGGTCTGAAACAGGTCAACAAGGTTGACAGAGCTGTTTTGCGCGTGGCCTTCAGAAGCTTGTGACTCGCCCGGGTCCGCCATCCTTGCTATTCCACCAGGCAAAGAACTGCCCAGTTACAGGTGTTGAAAGGCTTCCTTTTTATAAGTTTACAGCATTATCATACAAGGTCTGAGGAAGGTCACGTTAAATAATGGGCTGTCGCTCACAGTTTGCATACAACGTGGAAGACTTTAACAGCAAACAGTATGTTAACACACATATATAATTAGTGGGTGTGTATGGGATGTGCACTAAGGCGTCTCTGTCTGCGCGCCATGCCCATGCAGTTAAATTTTGGTTGGTTGGAACCGTGCATCCTTGCATGCATGATGCCCTCGCCCGACGTCCTACCCAGAGTATCAGCGACTTTGTGTATAACACCGCAAACACATCGCACTGGAACAGTAGCTGAACTTGCTTGCCTTGGCGTTGCTATACTCGCTCCTCTAAACCATCGATTTTTACAGCGTGTACCAGAGCCTTAACGGCTCTTTAATCTTTCATCAGATTCCATTATTGCAAGACAGGGTAGGCCAGAATGAACGGGCAAACAGAGCCCAAGTGGGACTTCCTAAAGGGTAGTGGCCCCTCAAGTGCTCTATACTACTACGCTCCTCTTCAAAAAGAAGGAGCTTTCAAGCCTGGTTGGAACACGAAGCGGCCGCAAGCCGTTATTCGGCAAGACGCTGAAAGAAAGGACTTCGATGCTTACAAGGTAGGTGCGGATGTCTACCGCTGCATGAGGGACACAATAAGCATGCACACATCCCTCCTTTGCAGGAACAACGCAATGCAGCGTGCGGCCAACTACGCAGCGAGCGATTAGGCGAAGTGTAAGTCTTGCGGTCCTTGTGTATCGGCTAAGCAACGCTGTGCGGTATAAGAAAACAGTCTTGTTTATATCCCATGGGCCGGCACTGCGCAATTACTCCAGCTTTTGCCACCACCGTTCCCGGCCATCCAGTAGGCGCAACGTGCACTTCGCTTTACCACGTGATGCATTCCTTACCGCTTTATCGCTGAAGGTATCAGTCCTACCTCAGCTACCGACCACTTCAGCAGGATGGCTAACGCGTCCTTCACATGCCTACTCTCCCATCCACTACTAATACCAGCCTTCCTTCCGCCCTTTGCCACCCTTCTCTCGACCCCTCCCTTTCCCCAACCGCAGGCTAGGAAAGAACCGCTTCAACCCCATCTCCCACCAGGTCCGCTGCCAGCACACTTCAGGCTCAGTCTCTCCCGGCATGATGTGGCTGTTCACGCTGTGCACAACTTCTGAAGGCGAACTCAACGTCACCTTTGACTCACTATACTCTCACCCCAATCTTTGCGTCTTCCATTGTGCCCACGTCGGCGCCGTTCCATGACATTCGCGCAAGTCATGTCCGTTTGGCCAATAAGGGATGGATAGCGCACCTTGTTTACAACTCTCCGCATCGTGTTAGAACGAGCGTTTCCCGGTCTTGACGCAGCTGGTTGCCTTCTTTCCTTCCTCCCCTGACAGGCGCACGGGTCAGACGGCGCGTGGGCTCCCGCTACGGACGCCTGGCAGCACCAGCGACTGGGCATCCGAGCCCAGGTAGGGGCTAATGTCAGTATGCTCTCGCCCCTCCTGAGCACTCTGAATCGGCCATTTTCGCGAGCACTGTTCCCAGTCGCTCCCGACCACTCCTCGCCGCACCACTGCGTTGCAACCCGCCGTTCTCACTTTTACCCCCCTCTCCTCCTTCCCCCTTCCCACCGTGTGCCGCCAGGAGCCTCGCAATGCCGCTTCCGACACGCTGCGGCAGCAGGGCGAGACGGCGCGGCGCAACATCAGTGTGACGGAGCTGCGGAAGGAGCGCATTGCACACGGAGGTGCGCGCTTGCATCGTTGCATGTGCATGGAGCTCCCCACCTCGCCCCATGCCCAGTGTTACCTGCGGCTTACGCATTCCTTCCGAGCTCCGTAGCTTAGCACGCCGCACCCTTCCCCCCTCCGCCCTGCCTCCTGCCCTCCCGCTGCAGGCCTGTCCAGCCACCCCGGGGGAACCATGAAGGAAGTGCTCACCTGGGGTGGGCAATAGCAGCATGACTGAAAGGAGGAGGAGATGGAGGAATGGGAGGAACAGCAGCAGCCCGGGCCGGGCGGAGCAGGGGGGATGGGGACAGCAGCGGCAGCAGTAGCGGCAGCCGTTCAGGGATGGAGGGAGATTGGACGAGCCGTACCCAGGCCGCTCGTGATTAGCAGGTTGTTGCAGGAGGCGCCGCGATCAGCAGGAGCTGCAGCAGGAGGTGCGTCCAGCCATGCAGGACCTAGTACGGGCCTCCGAATTCGCTTTCCATGCTGGGTAGCCGTACATACAAGGTCGGGCTCAGCCGATAGTTGGCTGCGGCGGGATGGGCTCGGGTGTATTTTGCTTGTAGGAGCATGGAGGGGCTTCCTACGTGCAGGGTCATGGGTCGAGGTGGTTACTGACAATGCGGCAGGGGTATTGGCCTGTTGGCCCCTGGCGGCGTGCGCCCCCAGGAACAAGGAGTATAGTCCTCCTGCAGTGCGTCTTAGCTAGGGCGGTGGGCTGATGATGTGATGTGAAGATCCGGTGGTCCTGGTGGATCTGATGGGGGTTCTGGCTGGGTGGTGTATTGGCTAATGCTTCTCCTTCTGCTGGACTGGGGCTTCGTGGCCGAAGCAGGTGGGCTGCTGGTCAGCTGCGAATGTAGATATATCCAAAGGGAGCTCTTGTATGTGGGCATACGGGTTCTCGTGTGTAGGGTGTTGGCCGGTGTACCTAACTGGCTATCATTTGACGAATGACGACCGATGCATGCATGTTTCCTTGACGTGTTTCCCTTGGGCAGGTTACCAAGTAACGGTGTAGTTACCAAGGAAGCCCCCTGTCTGTCGCGCGGGGGTTTCAGCGGGACGGCAAAACACCACAATCGTGATAATTGACAAAGATGGCCTTTTCCTGTGTGTCGCAAAGGACTCCTGATTCATATTCCATGACTTAAACACAACAAATACATATTGAATGCTCTTGCAGGCGTGCGTGTGGTATTTAGCCGCTTGCGGCGCTCGGTTTCCTGTGGCAGGGTTGGTACCACTGCTGTCCTTCCGCTTGTGAAAAGGAAAGGAAGGTGGTGGGGAATTGTGTATTTCGGGGCGCCTGTAGTATATGTACATTCTGTTTGTGAGCCCCGTGTGCTGGGGCCAGGACAGGTGGCCTACCAGACAACACCTCGCCTGCGCACGCAGGGAACTCCCTTTATTGTACTGCTTGCAAAGCGTGCGTTTCAGTGTGCTAGGCATGAAGGTTGTATAATGAAAGGACGTCCGACAAATTACCAAGCTATGTAACATGCCTACAGAGCCTGCTGTAATTCCCGAGGCGGCAACTATACCGCATGGTTTCCCACGTATCCTCTGGGCTCGTCGGTTAGAAGCCAGCACAACCACCTCACTTAACTTCTATAGGCGGTCTGCTTGCTCTCGACACTCACAACGTGATCCTCCTGCACCGGCCCCGCGTCGCTGCTCGTACCAGCAGCACCCTTCTACACACCCTTCAGACATCTCCGCCGCATATGTACTCGCCTCAGCATGGCGGCTCATTGGAAAGAATGCAGTTTCGCTCACCGCACGCCCCAGCACGTGAAAGGCAAAAGTGCAGGGGGTGCACAACCCATGTGGCCACTCCCTCTCGTACATCACTCCCCCCTCTCTCTCCCAACCCACGGGACCGCTAACGCTACCCCCTGTTGGCAACCTCCACCAATAACAACCACCTTTAACCGGAGCGCCTAGTTCCCATTCCTGTTGTCCCTTAACGGTGCTAGCAGTCTAGCACAATACCACAGCCTGTACAAGTCCAGAAGCTGCAGCAGTGGCAGCTGCCTTCACGGGAAGACCGGCAGCCACCCCCCCGCGTGCTGCCCAACCGCCCCGGCAGCACCACCATCCAGGTACGGCTCCACGATGCCGTACAACATCTCCACCAGGGCCTCGTGTACGGCACCTCCCGTACCCGCGTTGTTACAGTTCACCAGCCGCGGCGTGCTGTTGACCTCCAGTAGCCAGGGCTTCAACTGCTCGTCCAACATGTAATCGAATCCAAAGTAGTGAATGGCATCGCGGCCATCACCTTGTTGTCGTAGGGCAGGTTGACTTTGTACGGCTTTGTGATGATGTTGTACTGCTTCCTGAGGTATTGTTACCGTTGTCGTAGTTGATGTCATCGTCGCAGCTACCGGTTCCGAAGAAGGGCCTGGTAGGATGTCGTACGTTGCCCCAATGACGTCCCTTGTCGCATCACATACATTGCGCAGTACGACATCATACTCTGGCAACAACGACTCCCCCTCCAGGTCAAAACCCGCACAACCTACACCACCCCCGGCTCCTCCCCGTACGGCATGTACGGCGCCGCCCTGACTGATGTTCGTACACTGGGCTGCACGCGAGAGGTCTGCGCCCGAACTGAAGGGTGCGGTTGCGATGCGCAGGTAGAGGGTGCGGTGCAGCCAGGCTCTCCGGCCCGGACCCACAACCACCAGCACACGCAAGTCGAACTTCCTGCCGTCCGCACACAACAGCATGCGGGGGACTTGCTGCTGGAAGATGCCGCCGCTGCCGCTGCTGCAAGCGTTGCTGTTGTTGCCAGAAGTAGCGGTTGGACTACTCGCACCACCACTCGGGCAAGAAGCGGCGGCTTCCAAAGTAGCGGCAGAGGGAACGGCAGCAGCGGGGGCAGCGCTGCTAGCCTCAGCAACTTTTGCTGTCTCCGCAGCTGCGGCCTCGGCTTCCTGCAACTCCTCAGGTGGCAGCTGGTCTAGGGAGGTGATCGGGAAGACGCCCTGGCCGCGTGATGCCTTGGCCTTCTTGTAGAACCATACTGTGCCCGGGGGGCTGGCGGCCATGGCTTTGCGAGCCTCGCTTGGTGAGAAGACGGTGGGTGGGATACAGTCAACACGCGCAGCCGTCAGGCGCCTGAACAAGCGGACTTTGTTGTGAAACGCGCTGCGAGTCGGTTCGTCAAACCGCAGAAGGACGCGTCCTCCTCTGAGGCAGGCAGGCAGCATCGTGGGGAGGTGAAGGACGGAATGCATGGAGAAGAGGGAGAGGGGAGGAGTAAGGGTTGCATTGAAGCGGTCGCCTTAACAGTCTTTTCAAACTTAATGGTCCCAGAATGCATATGACACGCGCACACTGCTAGCTGTTTTCTTTCAGGAATTGCATGCCTCTTGCGACATGTTACTTACGGTCCTGCTTGTCGAAACTCCAAGCCGTATTCTCGCACTTCCCGTTCTTGTGTAGCAGCCCATTTTCCCTCTCCTCGTGCGGAAAATGCGCCGACCCAAAGCGAGTAGTCATCCCAATCGCTAGGTCCCAGCACTGGGTTGCCGTTTGGCCTAACCGGCAACGCATACAGGTACGTAGAAGCGCAATTCAACATAACATTGGCTGTGCTTATACTTGCAGCGTGCGTGGATATCTGTTTGCGGGGACTGACAACGCGGCTGGCCCAGGCATGCGACCGAAAGAGGACGGCGCGCATACCGGTACCGTTGTTAAGCCCAACAACAATAATCCTGGTTAGGTATACGTAAGCAGAATTTAAGCAGTTTCCATGTGCAGTTGTACCGACACAAGCACCAGCTATGACCCATGGGTGTTCTTAACATGTTCTTGTACGGAGCTTGTATTCCCCCATGCCGCCATAAGCGGAACGCATCCATAGGGTGTGAAAACAGGTTAAAGACAGAAAGGCCATGCAACAGAGGCTAGTGGGACTATGTGCAGGAAACGCTTTGTGCCACATCAAGGGCCTGCGTCCGGACCTGCCGAATGTCGTCCATCTGCTTTACAAGGCGCGTTACGTCAGCTGTCGTACACAAAACACATGAACACAGTGGCAAGAGGATCCTTGCCAGCATCAGTAAGCGTAAACGGAGGTGCGGCATTATGTACGGCACTAGTGTACACAGCCTCTTATGTATGTTGGCAGCATCCGCCTTAAGCCCCTTCAGGTTATCTTCAATATGCAGTTGTTGGCAAGTTCGTCATCCTTCAGCAACAGGTAAATACGTTCGAATTTGCAAATGTTAATGCACAAAAACTATGTACCCCTTACGAACTGCAGCCGACGCTAGTCATATCTACACATTGCCCCTTCCAAAGCTTCCTCTACCTACCTAAGCCGTGTATGGCAGGCCCGCATGCCTATAGTAACACCTAAAAATCGGCCCCCGAGCGGTGGAGCCTTGGCCACGACTAACACGTAACCTACCCCGTCCGCAAGCCCACACCCTGAAACTTTAACGCGCTTGGTGTCTTAGTAACTTGGTATGTACACCCCGCCACCATGGCTGGATGAGCTGGCAACCCTACTGCAACCCATGGCGGATAGCCTTGTCATACGGCAAGTTGCTCCCTCTTTGCCCCCATCACGGCGACCGCACGGCGCCGCTGCCACGCAGATGCATGCTACTGCCTGCACCTGCCCCGCCCGACAGCACCCCCTGCCGCCCCCGCCTCTCATCAGTGTCCACCCTCATCGCCGCTGTCGTCGTAGAACAGCGGCCCCATGTGGGTGATCTGCCGCCGCAGCTTCATGTTCTCATTGGCAAGCTCAGCGATGCGAACCTGCGCAGTGCAGAGCACTGTGGTGAATGATGCGGTGTGATGTACCGGTAGCGGAGTCAACTGAGCAACAATATGCACGACACCCGAGCCACCTTGCTGAAGAATCGTTCCTATTCTGGGACGGTGTGTACTACTATGCATGCAGGGTAAGCAACGCAAATATTGGGTATGGAACTGGTACACCCAGATGGTCCTGCGTCGTACCTTGGCTTCTACCAGCTCCTGCAGCAACGACCCATCGGTTCGCCGCCCGAGCTCGTCCTGGTACTGCCGTAGCCGTACCTGCGGCAATGCGCACCAACAGCGACATGCCCAGCAAACAAGTCGCTTGCAAAGGTCATACCCAACAATTACAGATCATTCTGTGCTACAGGCACTCACACGCGAAAACACCCTTCATTACACAACATCACCCATGCAAAAGAACCTAGTACTCGCTGACGCCCCAAAGGCAGCCCACGCACCTCCAGTCGCTGTGCCTCCCGCACCGCCGACCCACGGGCCGTTTGCGCCCGACCGCACGCATCCTGCGCCGCCAGTGCCCGGCTTCGCCAGGCGTCGCGCTCATGCAGCATGTCCAGCGCCAGCTCCCGAAGCTCTGCGGCGTCGGTGCAGGATCCAATGGCGGTCTCCAGCGCAGCGGAGGACTCCGGCTCGCCCCCGCCACCTCCGCCGCCCCCGCCGCTGGGCCCGCCATGTAAGGACGCCTGGCTGGTAGAGGTGCCTGTCGCCGAGTGGTTGGAGGAGCGGCCCCAGCCAAGACCGCCGCGCAACCATGCGCCCCAGCCGTTACCTCCGCCGCCGTTGCTGCGGCCGACGTCGTCGCCACCGACGCTGCCGGCGTGTCTGCTTGCGCCCACGCCGCCGCCGGCCCCTGCGCCGGTATCGCTGCTGCTGGCTCTGCTGTTGCTAACACTGCAGCGCTCAAGATTATTACCGGTAGTGCGGGCGCTGGTGGCGCCAGTGGCGCCGCCGTCTGCGGCGTGCAGGTACGGCGCCGACGATGCGGATGCCAGGGCTCCGCTGCCGCAGCGCCGTGTTGCCGGGGAACACGCGCCGGCGGTAGCGGGACTGCCACCGCCGCCGCCTCCACTGCCTGTCGGAGCTAGTGTCGCTAGCGTCACGCGATCCCATGGCACATTCGCCGAGATCCCGCTTAGCTGCGCGCTTTCCGACTTGCGGTGTCTCGGTGCCTGTTGGGGGCTTCCGGTACCGCCGCCACCGCCGCCCCCAGACGTGATGTCAAGTCGCTGCTTGCTGCCGGCCCGACCCATGCGGCGGAAGAAGCCTAGGCCTTCGGAGTCTGAAGGCGGCAGCAGCGGCGTCGGCGGGGGCGGTCGGGAGCCTGATGAGGATGGCAACTGCTGCTGCCGTACAGCACTGCTGCGGGATGGCCGGTCCCCATCCTCTGAAGCGGCGTCGCCACCCCGCCCTGGCGTCCCTGCCACCGCTGCCGCCGCTGCGGCGGCCGCTGCTGTCCCCGTGAACTTGCTTGTCGTACTTTGGTTGCATTCGCCGCCTCCTAAGCCACCGGCTGCGGTGGAGACGGCGGCGGAGGCGCTGTGCTGCCTTTCATGCTGGCTGCATGAGTGTCTGTGGCTGCTATCCTGGGGCTGCAGCTGCTCGTTTGCGAGGGCCGTGCTGATCACAAAGTACAGCGTGCCACATGGCCTACAAGCCCGGAGGGGGGGGCGGTTGGGGAGCCCGAGTGAAGTTCTGAGAGTTAAGCTGGATGGGCAAAGGATGTGCATCAAGGTAGCCATGCAGACTACGCGAGAGATGAGCCTGTATGGTTGAACCAACCATACAGGTAAGTAACACCTCCCTATCCATGTTAGCTCTGGCTACGGTAAGTCTACATTTTTTGGTAAGTCCATTACACGGACTGGCTTGGCTCATTCGGGCTGGGCGGGTCGGGCTGGCTCATATGTTGCAAACCATGTTGACGCCTTATCACTCAGCCAGTTAGTTGTTTCCTCGTTTCCCACCTTCAGACCCCACCACCGCCACCGCCATCTCTGTCCTCTACTCCTGCTCCCACCCCAACTACCGCACCCGTACTCACGTGAGAGGCATCGCCACACTCTGCTCCCGCGCCAGCCCCGCATCGCTGCAATACTTGGCCAGATCCAGAACGGCCGTCTTGGCAATGGTCTTGCCGCGCTGCTGAACTTTGAACTTGCACTCCTTGGGGCGGAAGCTGGAGCCCGGGCCGCCGCTGCTTGAGGGCTGCAGCGTCACCAGCTGCGGGGAAGGGAGGCGGGAAGGCAAAGATGGCCTTGGGATGGGGGAGAAGGGGGAAGTTGGGGTGGGAGGTAGGTGAGGGTGACCTGGTCACTCGGCCACCGCCCACCTGTGCAAAGTAGGTGTCTGACCAGCTCAGCACTTTTTGGCCAACGCTCTCGTCGGTGACGTGTATCGTTTCGCCGCGAATCCACATAAGGACGCAGGGGTAGTTTGTGGAGTGGTGCTTTGAGTTCATGAGCTCTGCATGACGGGTTGGAGGAAAAGTAGAGGTTGGGGAAGGGCCCGGGTCGGTAAGATTGTAATTAACGTTGGACATGAAGGATACTGGAGCCATCGGGGCCGAATATGGGATGCCGCAGATTGGGAGCTTTAGCAATAGTACTTGGTCCGGCCCTGGGTCAATCGGGCCTTTGCAAAATTCTGCACAGCACACGCAGTTACCAGGGCAGGCACGGGGACGCCACGCCAAAGGCAAGGCCACCCGCCTACATGACGCCTTACGAACTGCTACAGTGCTTAAACGCCAGGGCCTACGGCCACCGTCAAAGGCAAGACTTGCCTGCTCGCAGCTCTGATATAACGACATGGAAAGCCGCTTGTTTCTTGTTGCCAAACAGGCTGCTGCGATCGCGAAGCTTTGACTGCTTTTGCACGCTCCCGTGGCCATCATGATTTGATCGAATCGAAAGCCTTTCAAGCATTCGGCTTTCCAGCTGGCTGTCCGAGTTGCCTCAGCTATGAAGCAAGCGACTACAATACTAATGACCTTTACAGGTTTGAGCGCACGAAAGCCTAGTCACAGGGTAGCTGGGGGCGGTAGCTGCCACTGCAAAGGACAATTAAACCGAGTAGGGTCTCTGGTAGCGACTTTTCAATGCAACGGTCAAACGTATTGACTCGATGAACAAACACCTGCAGCGACAAGGAGAAAGCAGCGTTTGGAGAAATGCCAAAAGCGAATCCCTAACGTCGTACTGTACAAGAAAAGGGTTAACGGTATCGTCCTTTCACCTTCTTGTGATTCCCTGCAAGGCGTAGCAAGGCGTGAGCCAGGACGTAATGTAAATACGTCAAGCGCTAAAGATTTCGGGCCTAAATGTTCCTTTGTTTTCGTCGGTCGCCTCCTAACTGCCCGGCTAGACTCCCTGCGGCATGCCAGCTGCCGTCGCTTGCTGCCATCTCCGCAGTTGTTGTCGTCAGCCTCTAGCCGACAGCTAACTAGAGGTATTGCTGTCCGTACCATGCCATAGGTGACTTTTATCTATGCCTATCAACCATCGTCCCCGCGACCCTGGGAGCTTAACATGCTAATCCGATGAAGGGATGCCAAGGGATATCGCATTTTGGTCAACAAAGTAGCGGGGGTCCTCTCTTCGCCACTCAGGGCCCTCAGCACCCCAGAGCGCCTGTATCCACGTTAGCTGTGGTTCTTGAGTCCCAGCGACTGACCCGATCGTGTGTTGAACTGCTGGGCGCATTTTCACCATTTCAACGATGAGACTCTCATCACTGGGTTCCGAGGCGTCCTTCCATTACCCTACCGGGGTGACACGCCGTGCCCATCCTATGGTGTTCGGGAGGTTTGCAGGGCATGGTTAGGTGCCCTATCCCCTCATGCCTAATCCCCCCTAACATTAGCATGTCTGCTTGGGGTCACATTGCTCATCGTCACGTGAGATTGCTGGAGTACGACATGAGCCTAGTACCCCCATAGAAGCTTCTCTACTGGAGACAACCGTTGTCACTTCACGAACGGGAATACTAGTCGCGTTATGGACTGCAGCTTCCAGCTGCGGCTCTACCAGCTCTCATGGCATCGACGCCACTACAAGGTGGTATAACTCCCGTCAGTCCTTGCTCCCATCAGTTGTTGGGCACTGTTATGCGGGGAAGTGACCGGGGTAGCACTTCCGGACAGCAAGCTAGGAGCTGCAGCTCAGTCCAAACTATAGTGATCGCCGTAACAAAGCCAACAGTCCCTCGGGCACAGACCTAACAAGTAGTTGGCTATATCTCAGCAGTCAATGTCCTGATCGGCTACCCGCACGCTGCACCACCATAGGAGCAGATCATCCGTCGACAACTCTGTACAAAACGGATAGGCCGCTGTATGGACAGCATGACAGACGCTTGTTAGAAGACTGACCCTACTGACCCTACAGTGGGTAGAGCTTAGGGTAGGCCTCCACACCTGAGTCAAGCGAGCGTGTACGATTACGTACGGGCTGCGGCGCAATCTATTGCCTTTGTAGCGTCCTACTACTATAGGAAGTTGGTAACAATACCTGAAGCAACGTTATACTGTGTAGGCCCGTTAACTGGCAAATTTACCGACTCATAGACTAATTCAAGCCTAACAGCTGTCTCCTTGGCAAACAACCTTTTCATACGTAGCCTATGCAATGCTTCCCCTATCACTCTTAAAGACTGCCCAGCGGCATGCGGTGGTGAGAATTTTGCGCGCACCACAAGTAGCAGTTCTTTCACAGCCCAGATGTTACATTATTGTCCCCCGTTATGTACAGCTGGTGGAGCTAAAAAACGGCGAGACGTATAACGGCTATCTGCAACAATGTGACACATGGATGAACCTTCACTTGTCGGAGGTGATCTGCACATCAAAGGTGCGGGCTCTCGCGCTTTAGTGACAAGAGTTCTGGTTATGGTTGTATCCGACCGCGGGCACTCGCCAAACTTCACAGGATGGCCAGCGCTTCTTCAAAATGCCGGAGGCTTACATTCGCGGCAACACGATTAAGTACATCAGCGTCCCAGAGGAGGTGGGGCTTACAGGGGGATGATAGGAAAGCATGGGGTGGCACAGGTGCCAGTTGCTGTCAGCAACTGAGGGTGGGTTTGGTCAGCGGCTGAGGGTGGGTTTGGTCAGCGGCTGAGGGTTGACATCTTGGCTTTCCCTGGAGGGTCAATACATGGACTAGGGGCTTGCTTTCTTCACATCCCCTGAACTTCGCACTCCCTCCGCGGCAGGTTATCGACAAGGTACAAGAAGAGAACCTGCGCAGGGACGGTAAGTGTGCAGTTCCTGCAAAGCATTGGGTAGGCAAATGTCACCTGAAGAGCTTGGAAGGCTCAGGAGGCGATATAGAGTGCAGGTTGAAGGGCAGGCGACAAACCAAGTGTGCTTAGCGTGCTGCGTCCTTACATGCCCTCGGGATGAAGCGGGCCCATAGGTCGCCCTCCTACCCCTGGGAACCTTGTACACTGCGGTAGAGCACACACAAACTCCCGTCTATGCATGTTCTACCTGGCTCCTCTGCATGCAAGAAGCCCCCTTGGCTCAAACCATGTTGCTCGATGGAGTCACCGCGCTTTTACTTCATGTCAGCGAGTGCAGCTGTCGCTGTTATCCTTGTCGTGCTGTCAACACTATTGTTGCTGCTGTCCCTGCAGAGAAACGGCCAGCGGGCGGCGGTCGTGGCCGGGGCGGCCGGGGTTGGGCAGTGGGCGGCCGGGGAGAGGTGGCTGGGGGCACGGCGGGAGCAGGCGGCGGCCGCGGCAGGGGTGAAGGAGGGAGAGGTACGTGCTGGGGCCACTTCGGCAGCGGGTCTCAGGAGGATAAGGGGAAGGGTACAGCATGCTCGTCCGCGCGCGTTGATGCGCCGCCGGCTCATGTAGTGATCGACGTGGTCCAGCGAATTCGTGTAGAAGTGAAGTGCTGGTACCCGGTCGAAGTGTACAGACGTACACCTGCTGTTAAACCAGTTAATCTTCAAAGCAATCTAACCTTTGAGCAGCAGCACAAGGGTAGCTGTTTGTTTGCATGGTAGCATGTGGGTGCCTTCAGGACGCCCGTGATTGGCATGCGCATGCAGTCTTGGGTCACCATGACCCTCGTACGACTTTTCTTATTGCGCCGCTGCCACCTGACCAATGCATGCAGGCGGCGGGAGAGCGGGCGGCCGCGGTGGTGGACGAGGGCGGGGCTAATCGCTTGCGCAGCGGGTGCAGGCGACAAACTTTAGGAGTGGGTGTACAGAGTGCTGCTATCCTGTGCAAACGCGCACGGAAGGCAGCAAACCGCATGTAAAGGTCGTATCGCTTTAGGGGTGTTCAGGCTTGCATACTCCTGGGTTCGACCTTGCTGGCATGCCCTGCTCTAGCAAACACCGGTAGCAGTCTGACGGTGTTTCAGTCCGGCAATGTACCCCCCACATGCTTCAATTAGGAAAATGCACGGGCTACTGCTGGCAAGCGCTACGCCCGGTCACCCTCACCAGGTTGATTACAGTGTGGAATACGGAAGGACGTCAGTTTGGATGTGCTGGGGGCAAGGAGGGCTGTTGACCTGTAAATGGCTTATTGCACTGAGGGATGGTAATGCGTAATGTGTTGACGAGGTGCCGCGTGGGTGGAAGGGGCCTTACGCAGCCCCGTGCGGCCTTGTAACAGTGTTCGATAGCACCTTCAAGAAGGCAGCGCGCTACGGGAGATACGTAATTTGGCGCTTAACAGAGCATACAAACAGGTTGGATGTGCTTAAGAGTGGTGCGGGATAGGTGGCGCAATTGCCGCGCAACCTTCGCGCCTTGTGTACGTAATCTGGCCATTCCCATGCCCGGAATGACAAGATCAGGCCGAGTGCTGTGCTAGTATTGAAGATCAAGTGAAGGTTCTGCTGATCACTGCAGGTGCGTGTGGTGCCGCATGACACATAGCTGTTGTCGTACGTCCCATAGGTTCGCGTCCGGTTCCCTTCACAGTGCCGACCCTAAGGTAGGCTTGGTTTGTTTGGCCCTCTATTTGCTTACAATTGGAGATGCGTCTCCTGTTTAACTTTGCGCTCGGTGACGGACGACTTGTGGATACCCTGTGACTTCCTGTTTAGAAACTGTGAGCAAAACGAATTTTCTCAAAATGTCTGAGTGTATTAGACACTTTGTCTTCACAATAGGCAATAGACGAGGACTATGCCAGAACAAGTGCGACAAAATGCCGGAAAGCACATAGACGGCATACAATGCGCAAAGCGGCCCTGCAGCTTTATGTTGGCGCTTTGTTGGTTACCTTCCAGACGCTCCTGGGCGCCGCCGTAAGAGGACAGCTGTCGTCGTTGCATTAACGAACCATGGAGGTACCTAGCTCCTTACCGCTAACGTGATTCGCAGGCATCCACAATTGCATTAGGCGACAAATGTATCATTCAGGATGACTGTCCCGCTGGCAAGTAAGTTATTGGGTGCGGCCCAGGCGATCAGGTCGGCATGCCGCGTTGCCAAGCATGCCCATACACAGTACGTACCAACAGCTTGAAAGTCGATGAAGCCTGAACGGCGTAAGGGAAAGACGGCACAGAACCGGGTTGATGGCATATGCTCGTAAAACCTAGATAACGCTCGCACGCGAACCTTAGACCCAGGCTCGCCCTGGCCCAACAGTAGGCAGACCACGTGCTCATCGGTTGCACAACGGTTTGGGAAACGTTTAGACGCTGAATGGATTGTGCTGAAGGATGGAAGTTCGGCCTGGGTTGGTCAAAAGTGACTGGTCGTTTCGTCTGCTGTGTGCCGAAGCGACAGATGGACGATGGCAAAAGCAGTGTCCCACTACACTTATTGGCGCGCCTCAGTACACCCTTGCCGACGCAACCGTGTATAGTGTTACACCATCCAACCGCTTCCCAGATATGCAACCGCCTAGCAACTTTCAGAGTCCCTATATACCAAAACATTCTCGCATAGCCCCTTGAGGTGCCACCCCTTACATGGATGAACCAACTACGCCATGCCTTCAAACCTCACCTCCCACGTGCTCCCCACCACATCGCACCCCGCCCTCACCCTCCGCCCTCCGCTGCAGGTTCTGCGCCCAGCCGCCCCTCAGCCACCTGCTGCCCGGCTGCTGCGAGAGCTGCTGGCGCTGCTGCTTGTTCCCGGAGGTGTACGGCACAGCAGCATGCAGCAGCAGGTGGGGTGCTGCCCACACGTATGCGTGTGTGTATGCCTGCAGGGTGGTTTCCTCGGGATCAGACTCGCATGGCGTACGGATGTTGCGGTGTTTCATACTCCTGTTCCCACGCCCGCCCTGCGTCCTCCCCTTCCCTCCCGCGTCCTAGCAGGTGCTCATGTGGCCAGGCCGCCGCCTGCTACGATGACGCGGAGTGTGGCGAAGCGGAGTTTTGTGGCGTGCTGTCATCCCGACTCGAACTACCCATCTGCCGCTCCTGCGCGCAGTGCCGCAGCGACGCCCAGGCCACCTCGGTAACGCCCAGCGACGGCAGAAGCAGCAGCAGCGCTGGTAGGCGTGCTGGCGGCGGCAGCAGCAGCAATGGCGGCAATGGCGGCTGCGCCGCCGCCTGTCCCTCCGGTGCTCTGGATGCCAATGCAGTAGCTGCGGGGGTGCAGCGGCATTACCTCTATGCGGCGTTTGCGATTGCGGAAGATGAGGGGGCGGCTGGGGGGATGGCGGTGCGGCGGGACGGTGTGGTGACGGTGACGCTGGTGGGTGGAGTATAGGGTGGAAGGTTTGGGTTTGGAAGGGCTGGTGGAAAAGGCGGGGAAAGGTAAGGGTAGCGCAGCAGGGAGTAGGGAGCTGCAGGGGCAGGGGGCATGCACGACACCTGTGGGCTGCTCTGGGAGGTGGGGAACGCGGAGGGGTACGCGGAGCAGCAGACGTGTCCGCTGGGGAATGTGAGAGGGAGGGTGGCATGAGTTCAGAAGGGGGGACATCTAGGAGGAAAGCGCACGAAGCTGTGCTGCGACGAAGCTTTTTGCCAACCGCACCGCCAGACAATGCTTTCTAAGTTCCCATCCAACCCCGTGGTTCCCCGCAGGACGCCCTCCGCTTGTGGCTGAACCATAGTGGCGTGGCGCCCACCCTCTTCCCCGCCTTCCTGCAAGGCCTGCCGGTGCTCCGTCCGGCAGGGGCGGCAGCAGACCCGCGGGTCACTCTAGCGGTGAGGAGGGGCGCGCGGGAGGGGCGCACGAGGGGAAGCGTCGGCAATAAAACAACGACAACCCGTGTAGTTGCGTGTCAAGATACGTTTGTGGGGCTGGCAAGTAGCGGTGAGCGGTAGGACATTCATTGAGAGGTAAGGGAGAGGGGGACTAAGTCCGGAGTCCTCCTCAGCACCGCTATCAGGATGGCAGACCACCGTTGTACACAGCTGTAGCATGTAACACCACTTACGTTCCGCCTTCATTTTCCTACTCCTCCACATTCCCGCAGGCCTTTGCCACCCGCCTCGCCGCTCTCTCCCCGCCCTTGGACCCCATGTGCCCCCGACCTTTCCTGTCGACTGACGGCCAGGAAGCCAGCAGCAGCAGCGGCAGCGATGGAACGTCCTTCCAGATCTCCTCGGTATCCCTCCCAGATTACGGTGCCTCATACGAATACGAAGCTTCTTCAGCAATGCCGGCAACAGGAACAGCCGCCGCAGCAGCAGGAGCCGGGGTATGGGAGGGAATGCCGCCACCAGACAGCGAGGGCTTTGACAGCGTGTCCACGGTCGTAACAGCTAGTTCGGCAAACGGTACCGTAAGAGTTGTACTGCCGGGCTGCCCCTGTGCGGCCTCGCCTGCAGCTACGGAGTTTAGGTGGGTAGAGTGTGGAGAGGGAGGGGGGGCGCTAGGAGGGATGGAAGTAGTCGACGCCATGGACGTCATTAGGTAACCACTGGGCTGAACCCCCCATCTTGGCTCCCGTGTCCTTTCCTCATGTTCCCCGCACCCGATGCATCCCCCCATTTGACCTCCAGGTGTCCCGTGGGTCACCGCTGCTCCCGAGCCGCCTGGCGGTCGCTACCCGGGGACGTGCTGACACTGGGGACTGCTGCGCTGATGCGGGTGAGTGAGAGGAGATGTGCATGCAACCTTTTACACGTGATACGTTAAGGGAACGTCGTGCTGTGTGCTTCACGGACCTAGCACATGGCGACGTCACATGGCGACGTTTCATGCGTTGGTTGGGTCCTGGTTGCCATACTTGCAGCATACAAGCCAGCGACGAGATCTTTGCTTCTCAACACAATGTGACCTCACGCGTTTGATGCATAAGTCGTCTGCATCTGAGTGGGCCTGCCATCATCACCAGCTGGACTTAAAAGACCAACACACAGTAGCCTTTGGGAGTGTTGCATGTGGTTTTTGAGGCGTCCGTCGCCTCCCTCAACCGCCGGCTGAGTTGTTCCATGTACCTCCCCGGCACAAACAGGCTCGCTGCGTCGATTGCGGTCCCGGGTCCGTTTGCCCCGAGGGCAGCTACGTGGAGGAGGAGGAAGACCCACGGGTCATTGCGGGCTTGGACTGTCCCGCGGGTCAGTTCTGCCCCCGTCCAGCGCAGCAAAAGGAATGCCCGGCGGGGTTCTTCTGCCCGCACCGCGCGGTTCAGCCCACCACGTGCGACTTCACAGTGGCATTTTCAAGCAAGCAACAGGTGCGCTGCCGTATAAGCTAAACAGGAAGGGGTATGTGGGGACTTCCGTTCGTCTTCCCACTCCCTGCGCATCATCACCATCATTCTGCGGATCACGGCAAAGACAGGTGGCAAGCATGACTGGAAGCACCCGTCTATTGTTGGCGCTCACCTACGCTTGCGCAACTTGCCCCCTCCTCCCTCTCCCTGCGATCAGGCCTCCCCCTCCTCCTCCGCGTCCTCCTCGCTGACCTCCGCGCAGCAGCAGGAGATGCTTCGGCGGCTGCGAGATGAGGGGCAGCCGCTGCGAGGCAACTACTGCCCGCCGGGCTCCGACTCGCCTAGCACCCGGTGCAGGTGGGAGGCCACGTAGACCAAACCATAGGACCAAACCACGAATAGCAAAACTATGGGGGAATGAGGTGGGGGGAAGGGGTAGTTGTTGCAGTTGTGTCGATGTTGTTGTCGGTTGCAAGGCGAAGTAGGCATGTACGAACATGTCTCTGCCCGCCAAGTGCTTCCAATCGAACAGAACATAACTTTAACACACGCGCGTTTTTGCACTCCTCGTTAGACGTTGCCAACCCGAAGCGCACATGCACGTATCCAGCGTCCCTTGTCCAAATCAAAACCCAGACCACCTTTAAAAGCCTTACCTTCTTCCGCCCCTCTGCTCCTCTACCCAACACCCTCCTGCAGCCCCGGCCACTACTGTCCCAACACCTCCCTCCAGCTGCCATGCCCGCAACGCCATTACTGCAGAGCGGAAAGCATCGCCCCCACACCCTGCCCGCCTCTCACACTCTGCCCTGCCACCGCCACCGATGCCCCGGCCGTATGGCCGGCGGCAACAGCAGTCATCGGCGGTGTGTTGGCGGCAGCTGTGGCAGTCGCAGCGCTGCTGACGTGGCTAGACAACGTCTGGGGCGGCGGAGGAGGTGGTTTTGGAGGGTGTGGCAGCTGCGGTGGCAGCGGCGACGGCGGTGGCGGAGGGGGTATGGGCGGCCGAGGAGGAGGGGAGGGTGCACGGGGTGGTGGTGGTGGCGGAGGAGGCGACGCGCTGCATGGCCGGACCGTTCCTGAGCAGGACCGCCGGGCGCGTGGGGAGCGGGCGCTGCGGGAGGTCGTGGGTGAGTGCCGGGGGTGGGGCGGGGGCGAGGCATAGTACGGCATGTGCTGCTTAGTGGGGCTGCTTGGGGCCCGAGGAAGCCGTGTGTCACAGCGGTGTGTTGGCGTCCAAAACCAGGACAGACGTGTGGAACAGCCTGAATGCTTGTGTGTTTGGTCCAACCGGACCTGCAGTCGCCTCTTAGGCATGCCCCGTTCGGGCCCTTCACATCCAGTGCAACCCTTTTACTCCTCTCCTTCCCTCCGCTCCCATCCCCTGTCGCCCCGCAGCCTTCTTCCACGGCCGGGCCGCGCTGCCCTCCCTGCAGTGGTTCGCCGCCGGCCCCCGCCAGGAGCTGCGGGTGGAGGGGCTGGCCTGGCGCCTGCCGCAGCCGCGCCACCCGGGCAGCAGCCGACTGGTGCTCAGCGGGGTCAGCGGTGAGGCGGGGGGGGGGGCGGGGGAGCGGGGCCTAGGGGGGGGCCGTGTATGAGCTGAGTCAGTGGGGCGTGAGTGGCTGTCAGTATGAATGAGCTTGCTTAATCGGAAGGCACGCCGCCGCCGTTGGCGAATTACATGTCGACCAATTTGCATTACCTTGCTGGTTGGCTCCTAGGCAACACCCTATTTCCGTCTCCGCTATATCTTTTTAACACCACAAAGTCCTGAAGGTGATGTCGCACCCCTCCCCCCACCCGCAGCCCGCTTCCGGCCCAGCCAGATGACAGCCGTGATGGGCCCCTCGGGCTGCGGCAAGACCAGCTTGCTGGGCCTTATGGCCGGCCGGCTGCCGTACTGGCCGCCCTCCGACGGCAGGCTGCTGGTGAACGGGATGGAGGTCACCGACCCACGGGTCCTTCAGCGCATCACTGGGTTTGTGCCGCAAGACGACATTGTCAGCGCTGACCTGACCGTCAGGTAGGGAGGGGCTGCTGCTGCGGTTGGGAGAGCTGCTGTGTGCTTCAGTGAAGTGGCGGAGAAAGCAGCTGCACTGTGGGTTATGGCTGCCAGAACAATGCGGGGAAACAGCCCTGTCTGTCCATCCCTCCATACGTCGGGCCGTGTAGAGACCGCACGTTTGTTCATCATGCATGCGCATCACCAATCTTGCTATCCATGCATGCGCTTAGCTTTGAGCCCGGGCTCGGCTCCCAATCAACATGTACCGTTGTATCCCATGCACCTTCACATGCAGGGAGAATCTGGAATTCAGCGCCGCGCTGCGCATGCCCCGTCGTGGCGGCCTGTCATGCGGCAGCTCGTCATGTGGGGGCTGCGGGGGCGGCTGCGGCCCCAGCAGCTGTGGGCTGTCGTCCTGCCTGCCCCTCCCCTCCACCCTGTCGCTTTCCTCCTGGCCGCTGCTGTCGCAGCTAGAGCAGCTGCACCTACCGCAGCAGCAACACCAGCACCACTCGCAGCAACAGCAGCAGCAGCAAGCCCTGATGCAGCAACCGCTGCAATTGCAGCAGCAACACCTGACGTCACAACAACCAATATCCAACTGTCGTGACCAAGAGGGCGGAGGTGGTGTCGGTGTCGGTGCCGTTGGTGGTAACAGCGCAACCGCCAACGGCCCTGGTCTCTTAGAAACCCGCGCTGCCGTACAACGGCCATGTCGACGCCCCAGCGATGGCCTCGCTTCCGCCAGTCCTCCGCCAACATGTGGCTTCAATGGCAGCGGCGATGTAGGCGGTAGTGGCGGAGGCGGTGCCGGCGCAGGCAGTAGCAGCTGTGTTACTGGATACAACAGCAGCCTCAGCACCGCTGGTGGCGGCGGCGGAGGCGGCGGAGGCTCCTCAGTGGCTTCATCGCTCCCTGCCTTCAGCAGCGGCTTTGGGAGCAGCCCGCTGACAGCCTCTGCCTTGTCTTCTGCCTGCTTGGACGCGACGGCAGCATCTGCTACGGTAGCGGCGGCGGCGGCGGTGCCGACGTCAGAAGACCGTCCTAGTACGGCACCCGCGGCGGGTACCTCCGCCGCTGGCGGCGGCGGCGGCGGCCCTACACACCTTTCAAGTGCCTCAAATGTTGTCGCTGGCGGCCGAATGACGCATTGCTCTTCGGCGGATCGAGCGGCGGCAGCCGTGTCGACGCTAGTGGCGGAGCCCTGGCAAGCAAGAACCACTGCTACTGCCGCCGCTAGCAACTACCTAGGCGTTGGCGCCAGCATCGTGACCCGAACGGGCAGCCGCAATGCCCCCAGCACGTTGACGCATTGCTCCTCCGCGTCCTCCTCACTTCCCGCAATCGCGCCAACCTCCGGCACTTACTCCCGGACCGGCAGCCGCAACCCCCCGCCAGCGGGCATCCTCACGCATTGCTCCTCCGCATCGTCTACCGTTCCGGTGCCGGATCGCGGCGCCGCCGCCGCAGCGGCGGCGGCGGCCGCGCCGTCATCATCTGTGTCGGTGTCGCTGGCGGCAGCGACGGCGATGACGGTGTCGGTGGCGGCGACTGCGGGTACGGCAGCGGCGGCGGCGGCTGAGCGACGGCGTGTGGTGGAGTTGGTACTGGACATGATGTCACTGAAGGGGCTGCAGGACGCGCGAGTGGGGAGCGTGGAGGCGCGGGGGATCAGCGGGGGCCAACGCAAGGTGGGTGGATGGGTGGGTGAGCTGGGCAACGCACGGTACCGTTTCCAGCATCTACTGCATCCTGGTGGATGCTTGATACGGTATAGCATAGCTGGATATACCGGTATGTTAGCTCCCCACCGGTTGCTCATGCATGGGCCCTATGGATGTCGTACTGTGATATCTTGGCCGTTACCACGATCCAAATCCAGACTGTTGAAACGTTGAAAGCTTGATACACTCCCCGACGTTTTCGGTGCCGACCACGCAGCGCGTCAACATTGGCTTGGAGCTGGTAGCTCGGCCCTCCCTGTTGCTGCTGGATGAGCCCACAAGCGGTCTGGTGAGCGGTTAACAGGGCAGAGGGGGGTTAGGGCCCTCTGTCGCGGGCAGGCGTCTCACTTCCCCCCTTGTCTGGCCTAGCCGCTGCCGCTTACTAACCTGCCGTATCGCGTCCAAAGTGGGTTTGGTACAGGTACCAGCCGCTACGCGCCCTCTCCTCTCCCTCTCTCTGCACCCGCCACCACACCGGGTTAGCTAAAACTGCGACTTACCTAGCACTCCGGTGCTCCTCCTCCTCCTCCTTCCCGGTGCTCCTCCTACTCCTCGTACTCATCACTCCCCCCCAGGACGCCTCCTGCTGCTCCGACGTGTTGCGCTCCCTGTCAGACCTGGCTGCGGCGGGCGGGGTCAATGTGGTGGCGGTGGTGCACCAGCCGCGACATGCGACCTTTATGATGTTCGATGAGGTGGGGGATGACCCGTGGGTCGGCGAGAAGGGAGATCGCATGGGTGGGGGTTTGGATGGGGGCGCGATTCCGGTGGATGAGGAGTGGGGACCGGTGGGATTGCGGTAGCACAGCATGGGTTACAAGGGATGCGGCAAGGCATGTAGGAGGGGCGTGTCATGTGACTCATGTCTACTAGAGTTCAGCCAGGGACCAGCTGCTTTGGCTCATCTCACCTTTCTAACAACAACTGCCCACGGCTACTGTTCCTTCCGTTTGCAGGTGCTGTTGCTGGGAGTTACGGGCTGTACGGTGTACCACGGACCTCCCAACGAGGCAGTGTCGTACTTCACCCGAGTGCTCGAGTACACCTTCCCGCAGCATGAGAGCGTAGCGGACACCCTGCTGGACATCATCGCAGGTGGGGTCATGGCCTGTTCCTGAGTCTGACTGGGGCCGTTCTTGTCCTTTGCTATCCGCCTGAATGCTTTGTTACCTACGTGAGACCTGCTTCCGTTGCATTACCGCATGCTGCAATCCCTGGGCATTCCCTGTTTGCTTGGAAGGAATACCGGTATCAAAGGTGGGGTTCGTTGCAGGTTGTTGAGGTTGGGGGCCGTTTGCTGCGTGTGCTCCCCCGTTGCAGGCAAGCGCTGTAGCGCCCAGTACTCCGCCTCCCAGCTTCCAGACCGCTGGGCCCGGGAGGGTGAGGCCTGGGTGGCCTCCCTGCCACCCCGTGACCCCAAGTGCAACAACCGGCGGGCCAGCTGCAGCGGCGGCGCCTGTGGCGGCAACGGTAACGGCAATGCAGATGGTGTTACACCGCCAACACCCGCAACTGCAACGACGGGGCCGCTGTTGCGACCGCCAGACCTCACTCAGGAGGTCCGAGAGATCATCGAGTCGGAGTTTGACCGATTGCTTGCCGCGACGTCAGCCAATGTGTACGGTGCCGGTGGCGGCGGAGGTGACCGGGTTGTTCCCTCTGCGCGGCCGTCTTCCAAGGCAGTGAAGTTGCCGCCGGCCTCGGGTAGCGTCTCCTTCCGAATCCGTAACGCCGCAACAAGTCCGGCGCTGTCGCCGGCGGCGTCGCCGTCCCCGTCCATGGCCCGGTCGCTGCCGCCACTACCGCCGCCACGCCGACCCATGGGTCTTGCGCATTCCCAACTGCTCCAGCTCTTCCGTACGCTTGGCCAGTACGGCAGCGACGCAACGGCACTCGTGAATGAAATTGTGTACGACACATGGCAGCGACGTCAGCAAATGCCCAACGCGCCTGCCGAGGCGGCTGTTTATGCTACTGGGTCTTCGCTGCCCTGGCCGCACCCGCCACCCACTTCCGGGGGACTCGGACCTGTGCTCGTGAGCAAGGAGGAGCTTATCCAGGCTCTGCAAAGGGTGGCTGACGGCGAGTTGATGCCGCCGCCGCAGCCACGGATGCTGTCGCCAGAGGTGTTGCTCGGTACGGCACCCTCGGCTCCGAAACCGTTGGGATCGGTTGCGAGTACGATGCTGGAGGTAAGAGTAATGTGTAATTCAGTATTGCGTGATACATGGTTGTTTGGCGATGGGCGGTTCCTGGCAGCGCGCCGTCCTAAGATACCTCGTCACGTTAAGTGAGGCGACGACGTCTGCATTGCAATGGCGTTCCTCCGAAAGCCATGCACGCAACTTCTCTCTCCTTCAGCAAGCTGCTTCTCATGCGTCCCTTGCAGTCCCTAACCGTTTCCGGATCCTAAACCTGTATGCCCCCAACCCCGCCATCAGGCCCTTATCTCCGTCCCAAGGGCTGCAGCTCGCGCCCTGGTCCATGTCGCCAGTAACGCTCGCTCCGCTGCCACCGCCGCCGCTGCCGCCGCCGCCACAGCCTCCGCAGCAACACCCACTGGCGCCGCCGCCGCCACCGCAGCTGCTGCCGGCGCCGGCATTGGCAGCGTTGGCGGCGGCATCCGCCCTAGCATGGACTACCCAGCCAACCCCAGCAACAGCAGTCGGCTGGTTACGACCCTAACCAGCATCGTGTCAGCATTCGGCAGCGGGGCAGGTGGCGGCGGCGGCGGCGCTTCTGCCACCGGCATGCTAGCGGCCAGCCCCAGCGGTCACATGGATGGCCAAGGCTACTCCGGCGGCGGGATGGTTGCGGCGCGGCCCAGCGTGCGGCGGAGTTTGCTTGGGTTGGTTACCCAACTGGGCTCTGCTGCTGGTGCGGGTGGCGGAGGAGGCGGGACCGCTGGCAGGTCGCCTTTGGGCTTATCCAGCCCGGGGCCCTCGCATGCGAATACGGCAACGGGCATGGTGGCCGATGGCAACCAGGTGGCCGGGTGAGCGGTGAACGGAGGGGCGGGCAGGAGGGGCGGGCGGGATGGGGCTGCATGGGCAGAGCGGTGTATAAGACGTGCATTTGCCGCATCTACGTATGTGAGTACCGGTAGGCTTCAGCATTGGAAGAAGGCCTCCTTACATGTGTCCTTTGTCATTCGTTATTTCCTCATGGGCAGATAGTTCTTCTGTGACTGCTCTCTTGCTAAGCTTGCTTCTTGCTGCCTTCTGCTGGATCTGCAGAGCTCAGCAGCCCGTGGGTCTCGCCCGAGTCGGCATCCCCGCCTCCTCCTCCACCGCTTCCAGCCCCTGCAAGTCCAACACGCCACTGCTCTCCCCCGCCGCACCTCACCTGCTGGCGCAACTCCTGCACCCCGCACCGCATGCTTTCGGCAACCAGCACCACCACCCACATCGAGAACCCAAGCAACACCAACAACAGCAGAGCCCGCTCCCCATGCATCCCTTCATGCACCAGCAGCATCAACACCAGCTGGTGACCCCAAAGGACCCGAACAACAGGAGCTTTGGCTCCGGACAGGGAGATCAGCAGCAGGACCAAGTTCGGTTGACAGCAGCGCTGCTGTCGCCTTCCTCTTCCCTACAAATGACGCAATCAGGGCAGTCCGCCCAGCCCGCCCTATCTGACCAGCCCACGCCAATCAAGAGCCCACACAGCACCATGGGACGCACTTGCAGCACAGCCAGCGGCGTCGTCGACATCGCGGCAGTCGCCGCCGCCGCCGTCGCTGACATCGGAGCCGGCAGCGGTAGCGACGGCGACGGCGGCGTCTCATGCGGCTGCACTGGGAGGCTGCTGTCCAGAACCTCCGGCAGCCTTCGCAGCCGGAATCGGAGTGGAAGGCGGAGGAGTGAAAGCGGCGAGGCCGGCGACGGCGGACGTGAGATGCAAAGTCGTACGAATAGTCCTCGCCGCAGCTGCCGTTCGCAGTCGCCAGTGGCGGCTCCTGGACGGTCGCTTTCGCCGGCAACGGCGGCCGCTGCAAACCTTAACGCCGCTGCCGCATCGGCTGTAGCGGCGGCGGCGGGGGCGGCAGCAGCGCAACCGCAATCTTACGCACAGCTTCCAACGCTGTACATCCAGGGTGGCAACAACAGCCATAACAAGCGTCAGTCGCTTGCTCACCTGGTTATCATCGGTAACATCCCTGAAAGCGAAACGGAAACGGAAGTGGGCACACCAACCGACGGAACCGGAACCCCCGTTTACTCCTCCTCTTCCATCTTTGGCTTGCCGCCATGCAGCCCGATGCCCTTTGGAAACCCCGCCGCGCACTCCCACATACTCTCGCCTACCGCTGGTGGTAGTGCTGGTAGTGCTGCTGCTGCCGCTGCTGCTGCCAGCACGCGGGAAAGCCTTCCGTACGGCCGAGGCGGCGACGGCGGCGGTGGCGGCGGTGCTGGCGACCAGGCCGGGCCTCGTCCTGCTGGCTTCGGCAGCCTGCTAGGTCCCAACGCCGCCAGTTTCCTAGATGAGGGGGGCGCCTTCGGGAGCTTCACGGTGGGAATGGTGGATTCCATACCGTCCGATTCGGCAATGGGTAGCCCGGCGGCGGTGGTTGCGTCGCTTACCCCGACGATTGGGAGCCCCAGCTGGTCCATGACCCGTGGGTCGGCTGCATGCAGTTCCTCAGGGGGCAGCCGTGATGGGGTGTTTCAGAGCGCCAGCCGGCACTCCGCATTTCCGGAGCGGCACTATAACCCGATTCACGGTCGTTCCCGGCTGGGCGGCGGTGCGGGCGGGGCTGTTGGTGGTGGAGCAGGGGAGGCCGCGGGGCGAGCAGGATCTACCCTTGACGCTGCCGTGAGGAAGGCTGTTGCTGAAGCGACAGAGTCAGAGCAGACAGACACAGCTGCGGTGGAGAGTACGGCAATAGTCGGTGCGACAGCCACAGCAGCTCCTAGCGACGGCATCGGCCCCACAGAAGGCGGTATCAGTGACGGCGGCGGCGGCGGCGGCGCTAGTCCATTCAGTCGTCCCTCCGCAGCCAGCGAGATCCTAGCGCAGCACCCGAGCATAACGGTAGCCCTACCGGACGCTCTGATGATGCTGCCTGCCACGGCCCCCAGTCCCTTCTCGGCTGCCACCGCAGCCGCAGCCGTGGAGGCAGCGGAGGGCGCCGAGGAAGCAACGGTGCTACTGCTGGCTGCGGCCCCGCCTGCTGCGTTGCTGGCTTCGCACCATAGCTCGTCTGAGGTAACAACGGGCGGCGGAAGCCAGGAGGCAGTGGTCCTCCGCGCGCGGCCGGCATCGCAGCCGTCACTTGTGGCGTACCCCTCGCAGCCGCCGCCGTCGCTGCAGATCCCCGACTTTGCACCCAGTGGCGATGAGGCCTCTCCGGGGACGTCGCCAACGACCAGAAGGCCCCTCCCGGGAGTAGCAGCGGCGGAGTTGACGGCGGCGGTAGCGGCGCGTAACAATGGCGGCGGCGGCAGCGCTGAAAGCGGCGAGGAGGGCGACCTGCTGCATGGCTTTGGAAGCGAGCTGCCGCGCAGTGTTAGTAGGAATGATGGCGGCAGCGGCAGCGGCAGTGGCGGGCGGGTAAGCCCAGCGCAGGCCGCCGCGAGTTGTACGGCAATGCCTGGTGGAGGTCGCGGCGGTGCTGGCGGCGGCGGCGGCGGTGGGTTAGCTATGTGGCATGGCGTTGGCGCTGCGAACTACGGCACGCCCCTGCCGCCGTCTCCGCCTGCCAGCCCGGCGCAATTCCCGACGCCGGCTCCACACCAAGAACAGCAACCGCCCCATCAACCGTTGCTGTTTCAGTTGCCCCGACCGAGCAGTGCCAACAACGGTGCTGCAACGACGACAACAACTGCGTCAACAACCATTCACGGCGGCCCACCGTACCAACGACCCGGCACCCTTGCTCCTCGGTCGCCGTTGCATGCCATTCGCCTGTCCGCCGGAAACTTCGGGTCGCTGCTGGCGGCGGCGACAGGCGCCGATGCGTCCTCTGTTCCCGCCACACCCAGCCGCCTGGGCCGCAGTACGGTTGCGAATGCGGCAGTACGGCAAAGCGGCGGTGTCGTACACAACGCAACCGCGCATGGAGCTCCCCCGTCGCCGCCTCGACTGCCGCGTCAGTCTGCGACGACGGTACCCGGCTTGGAGGGTTTATCTGGTGGCTTCGCTACGCAACGCATGGCTGGGACATCCGGTGTCAGCGGCGGCGGCGGCGGCGCGGCCGCGGCGGTGTTTTTCAATGAAGGTGGTGGCGGCCGGAACCTCCGCTTGACGACGTCCGCCAAGGGCTTTTTTGGTGGTAGTGACGCTAGCGGCGAGCAGCATTCATTACCATTGGCAAAAATAGAGGCTCAGTATTATGCTGGTGCCGCCGCCGCGGCGGCTGCGGCCACCGCCGATGGCATAACCTCCGCCTCCACCGCTGATGCCGCGGCCGCGACGCTCGAGCCGCCACAGCAGCGGCGTCAGAGCCATAGCGGCCCGTTAGCGACGCCGTTTCGAATTCCGTTAGAACTGACCAGGAAGGTATTGTACGGCAACAGACAACGGAATGCTGCGGTGGCGGCGCAGCAGCAGCTACAGCGGCAGCAGCGACAATCGTCACAACGCCAGCAGGACGAACAGTCATTGTTGTACTATTACGACATGGGTTTTCTGGATCCGCTGATGTCGTCATCGTACAGCGGATTCCGTACGGCGGTGTGGCCTTCCTGGCTGTCGCAGATGCGCACGTTTGCAAGGAGGGCGGCACTGCAGGTAAGGAATGCCTAGCTGCCTGCTCCCCTTTTCCGGTTCGCAAAAGGGTAGTCTGGGGCACCAGTGATGAACTCGATATCTAAAGCCGGCTTGGAAGGTTTGCCTCCTGTGAGGCCCTTGTTGCTCTCGGTGCAGGCCTGCTGGAAGTGAAACCTGCCATAAATACCCCATATCATGATTTCTGAGATGATGGCTACCGAACCGGAGCAAAAGCTCACTCGTTTTCCCTCCTGCTGAAACCGCACTGCACCCTGCTTGCCCCTCTCCCCGCTCCCCGCAGTCCATTCGCGCCTGCTGGCCCCTGAGCGTGTGGGAGGTCTGCCTGCTGCTGCTGGCGGCGCTGGTCATCGGGCTTAACCAGGGGACACGCTGGGGCCCAACCTCCGTACCAGGCCACGTCATCATGGCCATGCTTTGCCTTGCCGTACTGGCTGTCGTACAGCACCTCCGTACATTCTCCTCCAACCGCCTTGTATTGCACCGCGAGCGCAGCGCTGGTCTGTCCGTGACCGCCTACACCACAGCTCGTTGCCTTACGGACATGCCTTGGGTCATTATCGCACCAGCCGCCTTTACTTTGCCGTACTACGTGCTTATCGTACCACGTGCGCCTTTTCTGTCGTACTACATCGTCAGCCTGGGCGTATGGTGGTGGGCTTCAGGACTGTCGTACTTGGTAACGGTTTTTCCGTTTATGCCACCAACCGCCGCTCCAACCGTCGCCGTACTCATCACGCTCATCTTTGGTGCGTTCCTCAACGGTGCCAGCGCTCCTTCTCTGGCGTCAGCTCGCAACGGCAGTTGGTTCCTAAAGGTCTTGCTCGGCCTCTCGTACAACCGTTGGGCCCTTGAAGCCCTTGAGGTTTCGGAGCTTGACCGTTACATGGAAACCCACCGCAACATCATTGCGATGATGTATCGAGACAAGGGCACCTGCGGTATCGACAAACAGCTCGTGGACGACGGCAACAATTCAAAACTCTCAGCTTCTGAGGCGTTGTCATTCGTGCAACTTTTTGAATCCTTTGGATCCGGGTACTGCAATGCAGCTTGGAGGGCAGATCTCATCGCGTTGTTCGGCTTGGGTCTGGCGCTGCGGGTGCTTGCATTGCTCGCGCTCAAGTACGACAATCGGATCCGAAGAGCCGCAGATCTCGTTGCGCATGCCTGGCATGTGGTTTCGGAGCTTGGCAGCAGCAGTGACTGGCGACAGCAGTGGCAGCAGCGTTGGGGCTCCCTGTGCGGTGGAGCCGCTGCTTTGGATGCAGCAGCAGCTGCTGCTGTTGGGGAGGTAGGCGAGGAAAAGGGTGGGTGCTGTGAATTAGTTACCAGCGGTGGTGGTGGCGGTGGTGGCGGTGGCAATGACGGTGATGCTGGCGGTGTCGCCGCCGCGGATTTAGTGGTGAGTGGCGGCGGCAGCAACGTGCCATATCAGATATAGCGCCCCTGGGAGGGCAGCAATGCCTTAGCAAGGTCAGCTTCATGTCAGGGGCATTGTGAGGGTTTTGTGCTTGGGCGGCAGGAGGGGCGACTGGAGTGTCCCGTCGCTGGCGTTTAGAGAGCAAGGGGTCGTCCCTTCAAAAGGGAGCTGCTGCACGGCGAGCGTGGAGAGGTTGTTGGGCGAGATGTTAGGGTTGCGGAATTGGCAATTCGAAGGCTAAATGGTGCAGTTACTGCTAGGTTACCCCAAATAGCTTATGATTGTTAAGATACGGGGATTCAAGTACCGGTAGCGGGCAACCGTGGGAGATTGAAAGGGCGCCCTTTCGGTTCTGGGACGAGGTTAGAGCTTAGTGTCTGCTTATTGTAGGTTGGTGGTATTGGAGGAGGGCTGGTGGGTACGATGGTGTTGGAGTTGGGCCTAGTCGATGCCTATATACTTGGGCCTAGTAGATGCCTATATAGGCATGAATTGTACCAGGAACGCGAGTGCCCCTTTTGCCGTGGTTACTGTTTCGCTTTTACGAAGAACCCTGGGAGGAAGAACATCATTGTTTTGCAGCCGTCTGTCCTGCACCAAACAGGACTTATACTACACGTACGGCACCTGCCGTACATGGCTTTCACTGCCTTCGTTACACAATTGCCTGCAGTACGTATTGAGCGGCCCGCGATTTGGTTGCATTGAGTTCCCTGTTTCGAATGGATGCTTCTGCATGCCGGTGATTAAACACTTGCCATCCATTCCGCGTGTCTGTGCTTATTCACCACGGCTTTGTGTGGGATGTATGTATCAAGCAGTGCGGTTTTATTGGTTATATAGACAGGTTGGCACCGGGTGTTGGCTATATTTAGTCCGGCGGTGTTTCCCGTACAGGCAGGCATGCATAAGGCACCGCTTCCTTCCTAAAATTGCATGCATACTTGGATGAACCGGCTTGATTCCGCTTTGCTAATCTAACAAACCCCCTAGCTAGACCCAAACGGAAGGCATGGGTTGCACCATCCGTATCCGTTTGACTATAATGTGTTGTTTGCTGGTGCGTCTGACACGTCCTGTACATAAGTGTGGGTTTGAAGATCATGCATGCAGGTAGTTGTGTTGCAATGGTTCATTGTAAGGGCGGCGTTTGCTTCCCTATCCCGGTGACTACAATTTGCACTAGACACTATTCCCGGAGGTCATGGGTATGACTTCGTCCGGCTCCTACGGCATTGTAAACCTTGCGTTTGGGGGTTCCAAGACTGCGAATACCGTGGAAGGCAAGGTTTTGCAGTCGGAGCTGCACTTAAATGTGAAGCTCGAGTGGTACTACAGAAGGCCTTGTCTGGTGCGGACATGGTTAGATGGATACACGGCGACCCCTATCAAGTAAGTGGCAGTAGCACTTGACCACTCCCCCTTCAACCCAACCCGCTTCAGCCCGACATAGCGCATGGCAGGACGCTGTCCAAAACCCAGCGTACAACATGGCGCAGAGAGGAGAAAACAACAAAGCCAACTGCTTAAGGATCGGACATCCAGGCCACTGCCGTGGGTGAAACAATGCCTTGTCATGTGGCGCAAGGTTCCATGGCACATTTAGGCTGATTGAATTGGTACATCCTGCGCCATGAATCCTGTATAGTATCGTAGGAAAGCAGAGGTCGGCTGTCGACTGTCGAACATGAGCTGAAGCCCAGCTTGTTGTCCCCTTGCAAGCGTAAGCTAGTAGCAGGTTGGTGCGGGGTCGGGGGCCGCCTCGCAGTGCGTCGATGCAGGACAATATAGGTGCGGGGTGGTCCTTCCATGTTGTTCCTTTCGGATTGAACCTCTTGATGCTGTATCTGACTAAGAGGAGCGCACGACAAGCTGCCAGTATGCATAGGATGAGGCCAACGGCTCGATCCATCGTACAACCGCGATACAAGCGCCCGTCAACCGTTACCGCGGCTCAATGGTTCAGGAAATGGATTCTTGCAGCTCCTTAACCTTACATGGACTTACAGGCTGCATGTAAACGCTGTACACCTCAGGCTGGTTTATATGAGCGGAACTGTCCTGCCAGCCAATTGCAAGCGCATACGACATAAGACGCATTCATCTGGTATGACAAACTCGTCTTGGTTCCTAATCAGTGAACATCTAACATTACTTATGCACTGCTTGCGTTTTCGATTTCAGGCTATCAGCTGGCTCGGCAGAGCACTAATGGCCAGCAAACACGTCAACAGTGCCTTAAACGATTTCTAATCGTAAATCTGCTACTTGTGCTTTATGCATGGAGCGTGATCGAGGCGAAGCCATGCTCGCCAGGATGCACCAAGCATGGGACTTGCAATCATGAGCTTGGAAGGTGGTCATCTCTTAGCATAGCAGTTTCCGATTTTGCATTAATCGTCTCTGCTATGAAGGAAAGCACTTGTTGCCTTGCTACCGTGGGGTGCATTGTACGACGCGAGTGTCAACGTTCTTGCCTTGCTGGCAGGTGTGATTGCCCCCGAAATCTGACCGGCGACAACTGCGATGAGCCCATCAAGCCCCTGGCGCGCGTCTGCAAGCACAACGGCTTCCCCAGTCTTGAGGAGTGCGTCGCGGAGACACCACTCCGATGCCTCAACGCGTGCAACAGACGGGGCAGATGTTACGGGGGCTGGTGCCACTGCCATGAAGGTGAGCGGGAAAGAGCATATATGGGCCTTTTGCTCGACGGAGGGGTCACATTCGATGTCAGCTTAGCCCCGTAACCAAGCCCTCGTGACTTCATCGTCTGACAGTCGAGTAAAGCCGCACCGGCTTGCCGTGTCATGGAACGCACATGCACCTTTTCTTTCCCATTCTCTCCTCCGCGCTAAGCTCCCACTGCCTTACCCTCCTTCCTTCTTAACGCGGCCCCCACCAGGCTACTACGGCGCAGACTGCTCCCTCTCCCTAGATGCCAACGGAAGGCAAGTCACACGAGGGAATGCGCCGCTCCTCGCAGACCAATCATGTGTTCCTTGTGCCCTTATCCCTCTCCCTCTTCTGTCTTCTCCCATTTCTTCCTTCTGGAAAAAAGTGGTTGACTCTCTTCCTCGACCCCACCGCACCCCACGTTCCTGCCCCTTCGCCCCCTCTTCTCCCAGGCCTGAGCAGCTGGCTGGCATGGGCTTCAGCGCCGCGCCGGGCCCCCCCCGCATCTACATCTACGAGCTGCCTCCGCGCTTCACAACACAGTAAGGAAGGAGGATGTAGCACCGCTCCTGCCTGCGCTCGAATTCCCAGGTGTGCTTCAGTAGCAGCTGCCGCTGCTGCTGCTGCTGAGTCTGGCGTTGAGGCCGTTGAGGTCGGCTGCTGCGCAGAAGGCAAACAGCTAGCCAGGCGTCAACACCTTCCTAATCCCACTCTTGCGCACCCACATTACGCGCCCACAGTCATGCATGTCCGCCGGCGCAGACCGCCCTTCCGCCGCCGATCTAGGGCGTCTGGGCTCTCGTACTGCGCTATGCAGCTGCTCCCGCAAGCACACTCCGGACACGCTCGTGTCATTCCCGAAACCCCCCGTGCCTGATCGCCCCCATCTCCCCCATCCCTCACCACCACACCGCCCGCCCACCCACGCCCACCCGCCCCTACACCTACACGCTACCCCACCCCCGCCTCCGCCCGCCCACCCGCCCTCAGCAAGAACCTGGACCGCTTCGACCGGCCGCTGTTCGCGCACCTGTGGAAGCGCATCATCAGCTCCGGCCACCGCACCACGGACGGGGCGGCGGCGGACTACTACTACGTGCCCGTGGACTTCAGGTGGGGTGGCGGGTGGCTGAAAGGGGCATGCATGGAGGTGTGGCGGGGTTGGAGACCTTGGGTGGACACAGCGGGCTGGGCGTTCCGACTGGAGGCCAGCTTTCTTAGCACAGCGGACTTGACCGGCTGAAAGCAGCAGGTGTCTTATTACCGGTACATGCTCATGATGATGGTTGTCATGGGAGGGTTAGTGTCGTGCAGATCAGGTTCGCTAACTACCTCCTCACCCCCTTTCAGGTGCTTTTTTGCTCAATTACGACCCATGGACGAACCCTCCTCCTCCATCCAGGTACATGTTTTCGGAGGCGCTGCTGGTGCTGCAGTACATCCAGCAGACGTGGCCGTACTGGAACGCCACGGGGGGAGCCCGGCACTTGCTGCTGAGCACCAGTGAGCACCATCGATAGTAGGGAGGGAGGGAGGGAGGAAGGGGCGCAGGGTGGGGTACGGTGCGGGAACTGCTTCACATGGCCACAGCCACCACCTTGACCACTCTCCGTGACCCCTCTACCCCCACCGCTCCCAACCCACCGCTCCCCAACCCATCCGCCTCACCTACCGCATACCTGACCACCAGCTTCCTCTTGCTGCTGCTCGCCACCTGCTCCACCTCCCCATGCGCCCTCCTCCGCCAGGCGACCTAGGCGGCTGCGAGGGCAAGCAGCTCATGCGTATCCGCAACCTCACGGCGCAGGCGGTGTGGGTGACGCCCTGGGGCCTCACACGCAAGCACCCGCGCGTGTGGTGGCCGGGCTGCCACCGGCCCGGGCTGGACGTGGTGATTCCCATTCCCGCGCAGACGAATGGCATGCTGCGCACGCCGCTCAACCCCAGGGTAGGTGCTGGGTGTTGGGTGCGTGTTGGGTGGGAAGGGGAGGGGCATGCGGCGTGTGGGGGGAGCATTGGTGCGGGATTGCAGCCTTGGTGGGGAGGGTGTGCATTGGATTGGGAGAGCTGTTATGGGAGGACGGTCGCCTTTCATTCCTGTCCCGTCTCATTCTTATTGCCACATCGCAGCGTTCGCGGTCTTGGTTGTTGTCCCGGATTACCCTTCCGGGTTCCATAGGCTTGCTAACCCTAGCCTCGACCCTACCCACGAGTCACGGCCCTAACGGCTTCACCCCCGCTAACAACCCTTATCCGCCCTGGCGGTTCAGGTTACACCCCTGGAGCGCAACACCACGTTCTACTTCTCAGGTAGGTCACATTCCCGCCTCTCAGGCATTGCCACTTTGTGAGCCGTAATATTGTGAACTCCGTAGCTGATGGCGAGTGTGTCCCAAGTCCAGGCAGAACTGCGCCGAGGTTTACCATGCTTACCCCTCTTCGCCCTACCTTAATTCTTTCGATCTCCTCGCCGCTCTCACCGGCCGCCCCGCTCCCTCTCTCCCGCACCCCTCTCCTCCACCCAGGCAAGATCTGCGGCGACAACCGGGACCCGCGCGCCGACACCTCCTCCTGGCCCGTGTGCCAGACAGCCACCAACCCCCTCTACAGCGCTGGTGAGAGCACTCGCGGCTAAGCTGGATAGTCTGGTCAAGAGTGTCTGCATGCAGTCGCCCCTTAACGGGGATCGCCCCAGACGGTTTAGTGCCGTCCTCCCCCTCCAAGAAAGAGTTTACAGCAACATAGGACGCAGTGTGGTCCTCACCTTCTTGGGCGAAGCTTGTCGCATTCTGCACGCTTGTGTGCTTCTCCAGCTGCGCCAACCTTGCATTGTTCCGCACTAGCACACCCCGTGGGCCCATCAGTTGCTGCTGCTGTGCTTTGCGTTGCATGGCATCTGGGGACATGTCCGACTCTCCTTATGTATCGGTATCCTTGTTCGCTTTCCAACCGAATCCGCATCCACAGGTGTACGGCAGCAGGTATACTATCACCACTCCAAGCGTCCGGGGTACATTGTCGTACCGCGGAGTAGGTCGTACGTGCGGGACATGTCGACTGCCAAGTTCTGTTTGGCGCCAACGGGAGGTGGACACGGGAAACGGCAGGTAGGGTCGGCATGAAGTAGCGGCGTCGGCGCACCGTCGCATGTACCGATATGAAGAACAGGATCCGGGGCTTTCACCTATTACCGTATTTATCACGAAGACTAGCATTCCCCATCCATGCCTTTCCTCCTCCCGGCCTGCTTCATACTCTACCGCTTCCCTTACTACCGCCACCAGGTCTTTGACGCTTGGGGCCTACCCATTGCCTCCTCTTCCTGCCCAGCCTACGGGCCCCTCTCCAACACGCAACACCCAAACACCTCATCTCCCCACCACCCCTTGCCCCCCCCTCCGCACCCAAGGTGCTGGTGGCTCGCTTCGGCTGCATCCCCGTGCCCATCACCGACTACGTGCTGCAGCCCTTCGAGCCGGAGCTGGACTGGGAGGCCTTCAGCGTCACCGTCAAGGTGAGCTGCGTACGAGCGGACCCGTGGGTCACTAGGGTGCCCTTTTGCGGACCGTTGACGCATGCCCCGCTGGCTTCACACCTCGCATATTAAGACACTCATCGTTGCACGTCACCCGCGACTCCCGCTGGCGCAGGAGGAGGACGTGCCCCGCCTGCACACAATACTTGGGGCCATCAACGACACGAAGCTGAGTCAGATGCAGGTAGGGTGTGTTTTTATACCTCCTGCGGATGGGTGTAACGTAATGGTGTCGTTTTGCGCGCGCTGCCTGCTTCGTCGCACTCCCAATGCGCTTTCCCTCCACTCCCTTTACTCCTCCCTCTAGATGGGATCCCGAGTCGGGCATTGGGCATCGGGCATGGCCACATGGCCACTCTCTTTCTTAACGCCCACATCCTCCCCTCCGCCGGTCTCCCCTGCACAGAAATCTCTGGCATGCGCCTCAAAGCACCTGTGGTGGAGCAGCCTGTGGGGCGGCATCTTCGGAGACGACGGCCGCTACGACGCCTTCGCGACCCTCATGGAGGTGAGCTCGCAGCCCCTAATGCTGCCTTCTGTGCGTTGCAGTTGTTCTTATCCCCTGTTACCCCAGCCCACCGATGCAATCATTCCACTAGCGTCGCGTTGCCCCCCTACCCCACCCACACACCACACCACACATTGGATATTCTTCTTTTACCCCCTTCCCCAGATCCTGCGCGTGCGGCTGCTGCACCCGGGCGCCCCGCCGGAGCAGTACCGCCAGCTGGACGAGCGGTTCAGGCGCTTCGCGGACTGCGAGCTGGGTGAGGCGGGCGGGCGGGGAATAGTGAAAGTATCTAACCATTGTGGCAAGGCTCTACCATGGATGGCAAGGTTCTATCGTGGACAGACGGTGGGGGGAGGGGGGCTGGGATTCTGGAATCGGTTGATGGGGCCTGGATTAGGTTGTAGTGGGTGGGAATTAAGGAAGGTTGGGCATGTTGGGTTGTGCAGCAGGCGGGACCATATGAGCCGAACGGGGCTACAGGCAGGAAGGGGAAGAGAAGCGCACTGTTGTGAGGCCGCTAAGGCAATGCTCGCGTTCCTATGCATGCGCGCGTGCGGCGTCGTCCTTTTCTACGACCCAAGTAGGCGCAGCAGCTGCGACATGAGCTGCTGGTATGCTACTGCTCCAGCCACACGCATAACAGATGTTGAAATGTGGCCCTATCTCTGGATGCTGCAGATGACGAGCCGCCGCGCAACGTGAGCCTCTGCACGTACGGCTACGACCTAGGACTGGAAGGCATAGCACCCACGCCGTACTGCGAGTGGCGCAAGTATGGCAAGTACGGCATCCCTGGAGGCGCAATATGCGAGGGAGCGCTCAACATTGCTGCATGTCCCCGGCCCTGGCAATAGCACTAGTAGGCCATGTCGTTGAGGGTTCTGTAGATGTAGCAGTAGCAGGGGACTCGTTCTGCTGCTGTCATTGCGGTGGTGGGGTGGTGGGGGAATGCTACCGGCTTCTAGGGCAGACAATCAGTTGCGGGAGTAAGATAAGTCAGGGCTGGGACTCGCTTAGCTTGGTGGTGATGATCTGGCGGGTGCGACATCTAGGAGTTCGAGGCCGGCACAGCCGTGCTGTGGATGCTTCTACAGTTGACGTACAGTTGACGGTTAGCGGGCATGCAGAGTACCAAAAGTGCTTTCATGTAATCCAAGGCATAGAATAGCATGTTGAGAGGCTGCAACGTAGCTGTATGGATCCATAGGTTGCCTAGGAACCTGCACGAGGAGAAGCAATTGCCGGCCATCTCGGGGGATGTTTTCTTCTATGAATAGTCCCCCTAGCTGGTGGTAAGGCGGGCCGCCCATGAAGGTGCAGTGCGGCAAAGAGAAGCGGCCAACTTCTGCAGCTGTAAGACTACACTTCCTACGAGCCATCCATGCCTTCCTATGTGCGCGTGGCAGCCCGTACCCATGTGCGGAAGGTGCAAACGTTGTTCAAGAAGTTGGGGAGGCGAGGATGTGGCTACTTTTGCTTGGGCGACTTCAGCTAAATATGTTCCAATGTATACAGGCAGTGGGGTGACCAGGACTTCCCCAGGGACAAGGCAATGCGTCAGGTCCATGGGACACTATATGGGCTGTACCCGGCAGTATACGCATATTGCTTATTGCCGCTTACCTGGGATGTGGCCAAAGGAAGGTATAGGAAGTGACCTTGGTAGCGCAGTGCTGATCAACTCCAAGCGAGGCATTTGCAATTGGCAAGGCGAAGGCAGCGGTTGGCCGATAAGGTATAAGATGAAGACTATGTTCCAAAAATCTAGGTAAACATCATATCAGGCTATATAGCTTCTTAGTTCCTATTGCGCGAGGAAAAAGCACTACCCATCCGTGTACGGGCTTGCAATTGCCTGTATTCAAAAGCTGCACGTCGAGGATAGTTCGTCAGAGTATCTTGCTTGAAGGGAAAGCTTTCAAGTAGGACACTGCCTGCAGATCCCAGTAGCTCTCGTACTTCCTTTTTTGGATTTCACCGCTGTCTTCATAACCTTCACCAATTTCGACCAACTTTTCTAGGCTTTAATTTTCTGGTAATCCGCTTGCACCAACATGTCATACATTAGCTCATGAACCCTTCCAACTTGCTGGGCTGTCAGCACAATTAACCCTTGGCGGGCAGCGATACTAGGGGCGCGGCTTGGCCACCATGGACCTTTCGTTAGCTGTTGGCGATGTCCTGACACCACAGCAACATGGCGGCAGCCCGCGGATGGGCTCTGTATGGAACCGGGTGCGAGCCATTGCTGAAACTTGCAGTTTTGGCAGCCAACTAAAGCCTTCGACACGTACACCGCTGCAGGAGGTGCAGCGTAAATCGCCAGACGCGCTAACAGCAGTGCGCAAATCGCTCAGCAATGGTTTTTCGACGCCGGCCCCAGAGGTCAACAAACGACGGACCGCAGCAGAGTTCATCAAGCAGTGCACAGGACAGGACCTGCCCTACAGCAATGATTTAAATTTCCGGCAAGGCTTGCGGGACGGTGTCCTTCTGTGCGAGACACTGAACAAGGTGGTTCCACATGCCGTTAAGGTAAGCTGTCCCCACAACACCTCTCACGTTCATTACAAAAGTGCAAACAACTGTGATGCTCTCTCTGTGTAGATCGTCACCGGACCGGAGGCGGGGAACAGCAACGTGCGGGCATTCCTATCCTACATCAGCGACACTATGCAGTTCCCCAGCGAGGCCAAGTTCTCGCTGCAGGACCTGCTTAGCGAGGACTACGATGACAGGCCGCGCATCGTCGACTGCTTGCTGTGGTTGAAGAAGCTCCACTGCGGCCACGACCCCTCGCCTTCACCTTTCCCCTACGCGGCGTTGCGGGAGCCAAGTGACATTCGCGCGGTTCGCGACAGCCCCGGGAAGTCAGACTTTTCCACGGCATTAACGCAGCACGGGACGAAGTCGCAAATGGCTGTGTTATCAGCCGCAAACACAGGCAGGGCCGTTGCCGCTGTGCCCCCAAGCGCCGCCATGGCAGCAATCTGCAACGACATTTCCAGGAGCCTGGTGTCGCGCCTCACGCCCGGAGTCCCCGCTGCCTCGACCAAGTACGACACTATCATCTCAAACGTGATGGAGCAGGTGTGATTCTCGCTGGAGGGGGTCATCAGATAGTCGGCATCCCTACTTATGCGGCCCCTGCTGTGTATGAGGCGTGGAGGCCAGATTGTGGGAATACTGCCTTACTGCAAAATTAAGCCCTCTATCCTAGATTAGGCAAACCGTTTGAGGCTGCCTTCATCCGCTAGCCGCTCCTATAAGACCGTACCGTTCCAAACCCTCCCCTCTCCCTTTCCATCGCCATGCAATGCAGTTCCTCAACGGTCTCAGCGTCGAGTACGAGCGGCGGCTACTGGCCAAGGATCAGGAGCTAAACAACAGCAAGGAGGCGTTGGCTCGCCTCAACAGGGAGCTGGAGGCGCTGCACAAGCAGCTTAACAACATCGCTGGCGAGGTCGCGGAGCAGAAACGCAAGGAGGTGGAGGAGCAGAAGCGCATTGAGCTGGAGGCGTCGTTGCAGCGCACACGAGACCTGGAGGAGGAGCTCGCGCGGACACGGCAGCAGCTGCAGGAGGTTATGGAGGCGCTAACGGAGTCCGAGGCCAAGCTGGCCAGTTTCGACAGCTTGCAGAGCGAAAAGGAGGCGGCGTGGCAGAAGAGGCTGGAGGAGGCGGCGGCAAGCCAGCAGGAGCTCTCGTTCCTCAAGCAGCGCTGCAAAGAGCTTCGTGACGAGAACTGCAAGCTGTACAACACAGTGCAGGTACGACATGATATCAAGTTATGAGTACATGATGGGCCCTGTATAGGGGTCCGCAAACTAGCACCAACGAGTGCCAACTGGAATGTGGATCCGCACTGACGCGCTGCCTGTACTTTGTCCTAACCGACCGTTCTGCACCTGGCGATCTCGGCTCATCTTCTCGTTTCTGCTTTGTGTTGCAGGACCTGAAAGGCAGCATCCGCGTTTACTGTCGTGTTCGACCCCTCGGCACCACTGGCGACACCGCCCCGACCTGCTTGGACGTGGGCATGGATGGCGAGCTGGCCATTTATGACAAGAGCGGGGAACGCAAAGTCTACAAGTACGTACGTCGACACTTAGCTCATTAGGACGCCTTGATTACTTGCACTTTGGCGCGCCGCCGTTGTGATGTTTCTTATCTGGCCTAAGAGGCAACGTCGCAAAGTGGTGGGCCTTGTCAGTTCATGACTTGCGCACAACCGTCCTCAGTAGGATTGCGATCACATCAAGGACTGTGGCTGTGTCGCAGGTTCGATCGGGTCTTCAGCGGCGACGTCACGCAGCAGAGGGTGTACGAGGACGTGCAGCCGCTGATCCGCAGCGTGATGGACGGTGGGTGGGGCCCTGTATTACGCCAACGCCCGTCGAACGTTCAGCCGCCAGGATTTGCATGTCTTAACCCCTGAGCTAACTATAGGGTGCCATCACCACATGCATGGGGTTCTAACCCAAACCCACATAGCCTTAATATTCCATGGGCCCGTCTTGGGCCACTGCATGTTGCGCAGGCTTCAACGTTTGCATCTTCGCCTACGGCCAGACGGGCAGCGGCAAGACGCACACCATGACGGGCAGCCAGGAAGACGTGGCGGAGTTCCGCGGCATCAACTATCGCGCGCTTGACGACCTCTTCACGCTTGGGTCCCAGCGCTCGGAGGACGTAAGTAGTTTGTGGGTAGAGCGCATAGGTGCCGAACTGCTGCAAGCCATGCCTGCTTTCCTGACCCCCCCTCCTTGTTTCACTAGTACATAGCCACCCTAACACTATCTAACCTTCACTGTTTAACCGATGCAGATCGACTACACCATCAAGGCGCAGATGCTGGAAATCTACAATGAGAGCATCCGTGACCTGCTGACGGAGGAAACGGGATCCTCTGGCAAGCTGGACATCCTCTCCACGCAGCCGTCGGGGCAAAACGTCCCGGCCGCCAAGCAGGTGGAGGTCACCAACACAGCTGACGTGTTGGAGATGATGCGGTTGGGCGCGCGCAACCGTCACAGTGCCGAAACCAAGATGAACGAGCGCAGCAGCCGCAGCCACCAGGTGCTTACGATCATTGTGACCGGAACCCACCGGTTCAACAACTCGCGTACCCACGCATGCCTGCACCTGATCGATCTGGCGGGCAGTGAGCGCACCGACAAGTCCGGTGTGGAGGGTAAGTCCGGTATGGGATTGTGATGGGCTGATGGGGTTCAGGACCCAGGAAAGGTTTGACGCCGAAGTGTCTTTTGTTGCACATACTTTGCACACAGCCGTGTTACGCAGCCATGCGGCTAAATACTGTGTTTGCCCCTTTCCCTTCGCTGCAGGCGAGCGCCTGCGCGAGGCCAACTCCATCAACACCAGTCTGTCTGCGCTGGGCACGGTGATGCACAGCCTGGCGTCCAAGTCTAAGCACGTGCCCTTCCGCAACAGCAAGCTCACGGAGCTGCTAGCAGACAGCCTGTCGGGTCAGGCGAAGGTTTGCATGCTGATGCACGTCGCGCCGGAGAACTCGAGTTTTGGCGAGACTGTGTCAACGCTTAACTTCGGCAACCGAGTTGCTTCTGTCACGCTGGGCCAGGTAGGGAAGGCCAGCGCTAAACTAACAGCATACACGTTTTTGGTCACGCATGAGTCAACAAGGTCAAGATGCCTTTGCTTGGGATCACTTTCCTCAAGTACATGCACCGTCTGCACGACACACGCTTAAATTCAATATACTATCCACAGCTATGTTGACTGGCTTTCGCCAATGCGCACCAACGCAGGCCAAATGTAACGTGGAGAGCGGCAAGGTGTTCGAGGCGCATGAAGCCATCACCAAGAAGGACAGGCAGCTGTCGGACCTGAAGGAACAGCTGCAGGCCTCCCGCGAGCGTGAGGCTTCTGCACACCGACAGATGCTAGAACAGGCGTCCGTTATACAAAACTTGCGGGTGGGTCACCTAACCTATGATCCATGGGTCATATATGAGCATTTCATCAATGCTGTCGCGTATGTCACTTTGTCTGGTTCTGATGCCTTATCTCTTGGACCAATGGCCGCTTGCGTTAACTTCTTCTTTTGTATATGCAGTCCCAGGTGGCGGCATTGCAGGCGGAGTCGGGGCAGCCGCCGCTGACGGCACGCAGCGAATCGTTGCGGACCTCCACGTACGGAGGACAGGAGCGGCAGGAGCGAGCGGACTCGGCGGCATCAACACCCGCTAGCTATAGCCGTGGCAACAAGTATGCATCAATATTTAGCGGTCCTCACACTTGGTTGCATGAGCGAGTGGCAGCTACATTGGCTCAGGACACGGGTTGCATGTCCTGCGCTTCACGCGCGCTTCGTTCAAGAACTGCTTGCGTACCGCATGTGCTGATTATGCAGGGAATAGTGAGTCGTGTGTGCTTGTTTACTAGCACTGTGCTGTGCCTCTGCCCGCAGGCCGCCCACTCCGCACAACCAAACCGGGCAAGGCAGCACCCCGGTGCGCGGGGCAACCAGGGTCCGCACCCCTACTCGCGAGGCAAAGGTGCGGGAGAAACACAACCAGCCTTACCGTGCGGGCTCAAGAGGAGTTGCCCATGCCTGACAGCGTTTCCCTCCTGGTTCAGCCTATCGCGCTGTCCTTGAGGTCTCCCTTACAATGCGACCTTTTCCCCAACGTGACAATTGCAGGCCGCCGAGCAGCCTCCCCCGCAGCAAGGGCAGCAACAGCAGGTACCGGTGCAGACGCCACGGTCGCAGTTAGTCCGGAACCCGACTCCCCCTTCCCTAAACGCACACTCGCGGTCAGTGCCGTTGGTGTCTGTTCGCAGCAGCGGCTCGCTTCCACCCAATGGTGCGCAAAGTGCTGATCAGCCGGGCGTGCCGCCGCTGCCAAGCGCACCCCAGACGGACAAGCATGTGCCCCTGAACGCGCTGCGTGTAAACCGCGGACAAAACCAAGCCACCGCTTCTTTGAGCAGTACTGCGACGGCGGGCACGAAGATTGTGGCGCCGCCTGCCCGGCCGCTCCCGGTTCCACGGTGGGTGGTTGAGGAGCCGGAGTGACGGTTGCATGACAGCCAAATCATGCATTACCCACTGCAATGATAACCATGCTGTCGAGCCGTTTTGCGCACATTCGGTAAGAGTCCCATGACTGATCCCCAATGTTCCACTGACCCACAGGCTTGACACCGCGAAGGCGTCCAACGTTCCGTCTGTGCCATCCGGCAGCATGTCGGCCCGACCCAGCGGCAGGCATACGAGCAGCACGGCTGGCATTGGCAGCAACAGCCCAAGCGCTTTTGCAAATGCTTTCCAGCAGGCCTCGGCAGCTGCCTCAAAACCTGCGCCTCAGCCGCAACAGCGTCCGTCGACAAGCCGGTCAAGCAGCGTGTACGGTGGAGCAAGTGGCAACGCGGGGATGGCGGCTACGGCTGCGGCTTCGGACGCCAAGCCTGTCAAGGCTCCCATGTCTAGCCGCCACAGTGGCGGATGGAAGTAGCGTGGCATGGTGGCGTGTTGTTTCCAGCAATTAGGTGTATTGTAGGGCATGCATGCGTTCTTTTCAGGCACGGAAAGAGATAGGAGGTTGCATCGGGCCGCAATGTAACGGGACAAGAGTTACAGGGTGTAACTATGTATCAGTGACATGGGTTAGGAGTACCACATTTGTTCACGTTGTGGAGGGCAACATCCTGTGAAAATATCGGTTGATGCAAGGATTAGCTGTTTGGGGGGGGGCGGCGTTGATGGTATCTATCTGCGCGTGTGCAGTATGAGAGTGTGGTGGATGCACGTGACGCCGCTTCTTGACCTGTGTTCCTAAGTGGATGCAGTTTCTGCCATGGCTGACGTTGCAGCAACTTGGTCGTGATCATTTTACTAGCAAGCCTTCGCAGTTGATGTGCTTATGTGGGCTTGAACAGTTTGATTTCAGCTTTCAGTTTCATACCCTCGCTAGAACCCGCAACCGGCTTGGTGCCGTCTCCACACCACCAGTTACGGTGCGGGTGCACGAAGCTGACTTGGGGTCATAATGTCAGACAGTGTCGCTTGCTACGAGTTAGGTTAGGTAGGTGTGTAGAGAGACTCTTACGTCCTCGAAAGCGCGTGTGCAATAACAGGGTAGCATACTGAAGGCGTTATTTTGATCGTTGGCTGGATGGTGTACGGCGTTGCAGCAGCAGGTTACATGGACCGCTATTTATTATGGGCATCCCGTGTGTCACGCGGTCATCACACACGATGTTCCGCAGTGAGTTGCCTAGTTAGGCGCTGGCCTGGTGACCACATGCACCGTCATTCATCACGGTAACTATGGCAGTGGAACTACCGGTATAACCAATCCGCCATTCCCTCCGTGTGCTCCAGACGTGGCACATGGATATCCGGTAAAGCTTCAGCATCACCACTGTAGCTTTCTCTATAGCACGCTCTTGCCCAAATAGCACCAAATAGCAGCTCTCCGCTACCCCATTCCATGACACGTCACGCAAGTACAGTACATGAGCCCCAAAGGCTTCACTCGTTCACTCCTCCAACCGCTCCACCATGACCTGGTACCCCTTGCTGAGCAGCCTAAGCTTGTGTCCAAAGACCAGAAGGAAGGCATCCACTGCTTGCTGTGGGTGGCAGACCAGGTTGTCCCGGTACTGGTCCCACTGGTAGTCGTCTAGCACCATGACACCGCCTACCTGCGCATGTGCGGAGGGATGGGCGTGACATGGGCGTAATGCTTAGTACCTTTTACCCTAAACGGGTGACCGCTACAATGGTTCCCCCAAAAAGGTAACACGGGCGATTGGCGACGTCCAAGTAGTAAGGGGCATTCGAAGGACACCTCCGCACGCGGTTTCATTCTGTCATATGGCATGACGGAGGTAACGTTCCATCCCAGGCATCCTAGCATCTGAGAACAGGGATGTATGCGCACTTGAACACATATCCATCGCACCCCCACCTTCAGCAGCTGCCACGCCATCACCGCATCCGTCAGCACGTCCAGCCGCATGTGCGAGCCATCTACGTAAACCACGTCAAACAGCCGGTTCGTTGCCTGCGAGTCCTGCCGCTGTGGTGGTGGCAGAGGTTGGGGCGGTACCGGCGGGCCAGCAGCGGTCCCGTCGCCCTCACCGCCGCCGCCGCTGCTGCAGTCGCCGCTGCATGTTGGGCCCGCCGCTGCCGCCGTCGCTGTTGCTTCTGCTGCCTGTGTTGCCTCCACAATCAGGCGCGGCAGCGCGACTCGGCTCTCCATGTGGATGAACCTGACGCGGTTCCACTCTCCCGCAGCTCGAAGGTTAGATTCAAACACCTACGGGCATGGGTTACGGGCATGGGTTTGTAACGTGTTGCGGCAGCAGGCAATCATTTGGTATCTATGCGAACTGCTAGCGCTGAAGCAGCACACGCTTAGGCACGGCGGGTCAGGTCAGGGGCCTCACAAACCAACAAGTGGCCTCCGGAATCCTACTGATGACTGAATGGCAGCCACAAGATGCGAGAAACGGGACCAAATGCAAGCTTCCAAGGCCTAAGACGCTCTTCCTTACGACTCGGTTGCGCAGGAAGGGCTCATGGCAGATCTCGAAGGGGTCCACGCAGACGGCGGAGGAGGTGGGGTGGTCAGCCACGTGCCGCAGCATCCAGAGGGTTGAGCGCCCCTCCCAGCTACATGCAGGAAAGCAGCGGCTTAAGTTGGGGTACAGGCATCGTGTACAAGAAGACAAGGAGGATACGGTAGCTGGGACAAACATGACGGTTGTTTTTGTACAATATGCCCTGTCCTGTCATCGTCATCCATCACCAATGCGGTTGCAAGGAAGGTGCCGCACATGGCGCCAACGAGGGTCTATAGGTGTTACCACGCCACAGTATTGCTTGGCGGCTTACCATCCTATCTCTAGCACACGAACGCCGGGGCGACCGGCAAAGCGGGGCACCACGTGCTTTTGCCACTCGGGCGCATGAGAGGTCATCCAGTCCACCGAGAACTGCGGCTGGGCCTTGACGGGCGCCTGCTCGGGCTCCTTCTGCTGCTGCGTCTGCTGATGTTGCATGGCGTGCTGTCGCCACTGTTACTGGTGCTAGGCTGTGGGATGGCACGTATATTGTGCGCGGCGATGTAGCCGTAGCTGCAGCAGTAAACTTTGTGCTCAAATAGTTATAGAGGTTGTTATCAGCAGCCCGAAGACCGCTTCCTGTGCCCTGGTAAAGTACTGAAACGTTTGCGTCGGATTATAGCTTAGTTACGTCCTTGGGGGCAAAGCGAACCCGTGAAAGGTGCCTTGTTTGCTCCAAACCCTTGAGCTGGAGTAGCCCTTGAGATGCCGTGAGTTGCACGGCCTTGTGCGTCATCAGAATACAACAACCAAAGAATGACAGCCAAAAGAGCAGGCGATATCAGCGCGTGCAAGACAACCTGTAGCCGCAAGCCGACCCGTAGCCCAGTTACGGGTTGTTCCCTGGATCAAGAACCTGTAGCACGAACGACACGTCAACCTTGTGTCACCAGCCCATATATGTTTACAGCACATTGAAGCAAATGCTTTATGACTATACCTGAACGCAACAATGGAGGCACCTGAAACCCGCCGCGGGAGTTGCTCGCAATCTCGATTAGCCGTGCTGCTGCCCATCACCAGCAAAGGCTGCTCCTCTCCCGCAGACCTGGAAGCCTTGGTGAGCCGTCTCCACACCCTCCGCGCATCCTTCGACCCAGAACCTGTAGCGGACGCGTATGAACCTGCTACGGCCCTTCATGAACCATGGGTCACTTCTGACCGTGTCTGTGTCTGCATCGGCGTGGATGAGGACGATACCGCCTTGCGCGGTATCCTGGGTCGCGTCCTAAGTGTCTTCAGCGGTATTGAGGTCCGGGTGGTGCTCTTCGCGGTTTCAGAGCTGAGGCAGCTGCCCCCGGGGCCGCTGTGCTGGTTTTGGGACCGTCTGGCGCAGGAGGCAACCCGCAGCATGGGCGTCTCTCACCTGGTGCTGCTGGGTGGGTTCCTTGGCTTCCCTGCTTGCGTTTGTCCTCGGCTCGGGGTGTTCCTGGACTGCCTGGGGTGTTAAGACGTTGACAGGCGTCGTCTTGCCTTACCTTTAGCTTCTTCTTTCCGGTTGCAGGCGACGACGTCCGAATGGAACCGGAAGGCTGGCCACGGGAAGTGCTGCGCACCTTCGATTCTGCCTCTATTGGCGCTGCAACCGTCGCCTCGGCTGCCGCCACAGCCAACGGTGCAGCTTCTGAAGGGCGGCGGCCACGACCCCTACGCTGCCTGTTACTCCTGGATGCCGCTGATCCGGGATACCCCTCCTTCCCAGTTGTGACTTCGGAGCATCTGCGTGTGTTCGGATCCCTGTTCCCTCCCGGCGTTTTCAACAACCAAAGTAGGTGCTACGACTAAAAACTACAATGCACGACCAAGTTGTGGGTAGCGAACGGACTGGCCTGTTTTGTCCCTTGGGACGGGTTATCCTTGGTTTGCGATCCCAGCTGTGTGCAGATGCCGCACAGAGGCAAGAAGGCCCGACCGATGCGAGAAGGCCCGACCGATGCGTGTGTGCTTTGCTGTAGGGTTCTACGACCAGTACAATGCCTGCTTCACCTTGCTGCCCGGTTGTCGTGCACCCCAAAGCGCCCCGCCCGATGCTACGCTCCCCTCCATCCTCCTCTCACATGTAGTGGGAGACCCCTTCCTATCGGAGCTATACCGCCGGCTGGGCTGTGTGGGCTTGGCGCGGAACATAGTGGTGCACAACGCCACCGGCGGCATCCAGCTGCCCGACGATGCTGATTACGTCCCGCCCCGCTACCCGCGCACCTACCCGCCCATGAAGCGCATCTTGCAGGTACGCCTTTCCTGCATGCGGCATTGGAGTGTAATATTAGGATGCTTATCAATTTGTCCTCGCCATGCTCGGTACGCAATGACGGACGCCTTACGAGGGTTACGACCATCCATGGTATGCGTCCCATTGGCATTACTATGGACAGTCGATGTTGCCATTATCACACCATGGTTTCTAAGCGACACTCATTGCATGTACATCGTACGTTAGCCTCGGTGTACGTAATACCTGACTAACACTTGTACTTCGTTGCCTGCAGGCTCTGGACGACTGGACGGCGAAAGGCTCCGCGGTATGGGGTCCCGGGCCGGTCACAGTTGACGTGCTGGTGCCGGCTGGGCGAGCCAATGTCGCAGACTTGCGGCGGATTGTCGAGGTATGCAGCGGCGGCGGCAGTGCCAGGAGCGGCAGTGGCGGCAGCGGTGGCAGCGGCCGCATCAGGCAAGTTAGCAAGAGGAAAGGGGAGGGTAATCCAAGGGCGGAGCCGTTGGGGCAGAGGGCTGGCACCGCGGTGTACCGTAGTCAGTGGGCAGTTGGAGAGCCTAAAGTCAGGGTCAGGGCAACATTGGCAGGGGCGAGGGTCGTCACCCATCTGCAAGACAGCAAGTATCTAGTCTTGGATTCCCTGCCGCAGCTCAGCAACAGGGCTTGCTCATTTCGGCCCGAGACTTGACATTCGCATGAACCCGTCATACGCAGGCCTTCCCTGGACGATACTGGCACGCGGGGGGCGAAGGAGTTTGAAGGGGAGGAGCAAGAAGTAGAGTTGGACGTGCGTTTTGGAGTGGTGTTGGACGTTGCTGATGCAAGCCAACTGCCAGCGACTACGCGACGAGAGATCCAGCAGCTCAGGGATGAGAATCTTGGTCGCATGCGGCTCAGGTGAGGGGTAGGGTGGCCGCAGGGTTGCTGCGACTACGACCCGTGGGTCTTAGGCTGAGCCCAGCGCTTATGGGTCATCAATCCTTCCTGTCATCAGCCCCCCGTGGGTCTTAAGCTCAACCCAGCGATTAACGGGCCTATGGAACGACGCATACGACTTCGGAACTTGGCATGCGGCATGTATATGCACGATCTGCATCCTTTTCATAGCTGCTTGGTTGGAGTCATCAATCTTTCCGTTCATCAGCCCCATACACCCACTGAACTGGACCTCCCACCACCAGGTTCAATGCGGTCAACCAAGGCGCTCCCAAGACCCGCAACCGCCTGATGGATGAGAGCCTGGCGCAGCTGCTGGTACGATGGTCGTAAATCAGCACAATTTAGTATACAGGCAGCTTGCAAATCGTACAGCATTACCATGCGTTGCTGTCCCCACTGCACCAGGTGCTGCTAGACGATGACGTGGAGCCCCTCCCTGGGCTCATCGAGGCGTACGTGCGGGCAGCTGTACGACATCCGCTGGTGAGTTGACGCCGGGGCAGGGCAGCATGCCCATGTGAAGGTGCGCCAAGCTTCTCTTGCAATTACGGTGTCCCGGACTCCTCAGTCATGCACTCCCTTTCCTTTCTTCCCCCATCCAGCTGCAAGAACTCCCGCCCCCACGAGACCTCCCAACGACGCAAGACCGGAACTGATGCACCCATAGTCCCGAATGGCATTCTCCACGCATCCCCATGCAACGTCTTCCATCCCCTTCCCCTGCCCCTCCCCACCCGGCATAGGTCAAGGGTTTCGTGGGCCCTACGTTTCTGCCTCACGAGGGAAGCGTCTGGGCCCATGCCGTCCACATGTCTGACGTGGCATTCTTCTGGGCCGCACCCGCCACCAGCCTCATCGGAGCCCGACCTGACGGCAGCGTTTACGTAAGAACTAGATAGCAGCTAGGAGCGGTTGGCTAGTGCTGAACAGTCATGTTAATGACGAGCCATGCTTGGTGGGATAGGATCCAGGGGACATTATGATCCACATAAGCCACCGCTTACATGCTACCCTATACCGTAATACCCTTGTGACACATGGATGCTATGCTTGCTGAGGACTGCAGCAAAGCAAGACACCTGCAAGCGGATGTGTACCACCCATGCATGATTGGCATACCCATCCGCTGCTGCCCACGCCCCCCCGCCCGCCCTTTCGCCCTCACTCCCTCCCTCCCGCCCTAGCAGATCCCCTGGGCGGTCACGGCCAACCTGGCCCTGCGCAACACGCCGGAGCGCTTCGACCCGCGCTTCCCTCGTACGGGCGGCGGCGAGGACATCGACATCTGCCTGCGAGCCTGTCCGGGAGGGCTGCTGGCGGTACCGGAGGTGGGTGGCTGGGTCAAAGACGTTCATGGCGCCAATAGCACTTGAGCTTGGAGATGTGGACAACAGGGTGAATGGAGGTGCACTTGGGTTGAGGTTTGGTTACCTGGCGACGGACACGTAGACAATATTCCTTAGGGAGGCAATGCACCCTAAGGTGTCCTGCACTCTTGTTGTATGCCCGCAGCATTGTTGCTGGCCAGATGCACACCCAACCATACACGCCCCTCTTCATAACGGCTGTCCAAGGCACTGCTCCACACGGCCGATCACCGCCATGCTCCATGTCCCCCGTTCGTCACGCAACACACCACACAGGCCGCCTGCCGACACGCACTCTGGAACAACGGCCGGCCCAACATGCTCCGCTTTGCCAAGTGGGCCATCGGCGACGGCCAGCTCATTGGCATGTACCCCCGCCTGTCGTATCGCGCCGCCCTGAATGTGTCCGAGCTCCTGCTGCTACTGCTGCTGCTGTTTGCGTCAGCGACCCTCACAACACTTGTGGTAACTGCGCTGACGGCGGTGGCGGCACTGACGGCACGCGCAATTGCCGTACTGCCGCCGCTGCCGCTGCTAGCAGCGACCTGGTCCCATCAGGTGACGGCGGCGGCGGCAATGGTTCAAGGCGGCGCCCATAGCAACCAGCGCGGCGGCGGTGTCGGTTTCGGGTACATGGGGGCCGCCGAGGCTGTTGCGGCTGCGACGATGTCGGCGGCCTCAAATGCCATTACCAGCTTCGCACCGATCGCGCGCGTTATCGCTGTGGGTACGGCAGTTGCGGTTGTGGCGGTTGCGGTGGCGGAGCTGGGGCTGGAGCTGCTCCGCCACTGCGCCAACCCGGTAGGCAGCCTTGGGGCCCGTTGGGGGGAACGTTACCGGTAGTGGGGTCCGGTCCGGGCAGTCACGTCGGGTGGAGGGTTTCATGGGATAAGAAGGAAAGACGGCCCCGGCGCCCCTAGGGATTTCCACGGCTTAGGAGTACATAGAGGGTTGCAACTTTGCCTGCATATAGCCCCTTACTGCCCCAATGAGACATTCCTGCAGGTTTTACTATATAACTCCCTTGCGTGCTCCTCCCTGCCCTTATCCTAAACCTCCACTTGCCCCACATACTCCCGTCTCCGACCCATGGGACGCAGGCGCGCCGCAAGCGGCATCGCTGCCCCAGCTGGTCCCTGCGCCTGCGGGCCGCCGTTAACGCAGCCGCCATTCGCAACGTCAGTGAGGCTGGCAGGCTGTACGGACATATCGTACGAGCTTTCCACTGTAGCGCGAATGATGTCAGCGGCAGCAGCAGCAACGGCAATAATGCCGGCAACGGCAGCAGCAACAGCGGCAAGGGTACCCCCGGCCGCGGCATGGGAGGCTGCCGCTACGTCAGGAGTGTCGTACAGGTGGCCAAGCTGTACGGTAAGCGCTTCGACTGGTTTTGCGGTCTGGATCGGGGCATCATCCGTTTGGAACAGGCGCGTGCAGCCGCCAGGGGGGCGGTGTATGGCACAACTGCCGCCTGGTCGCTAGCCGGTACCCTGGCGATGCTGTATCCGGCTGGCGGGGACAGTGCCGGCAGCGGATGGGACCGTTTGCAGCACAACACCGGGGTCATGGCGGGAGTTGCGTGGGTGTTTGCCAGCTGCATGATGACGTGGCGGGAATAGTGGCCGCTGTGAGGGGGCGGAGAAAGGCTTTGCGCCCGTGTTACATGCAATGGCATGCGAGTCATGAGACCCGTGGGTCGGGAGTGAAGTAGTCTGTAAGGCACCCCGGCTCAACGCGTGGGTTTGACGTACAGCTCGCTGAAAGGATGTTACTGGAACATCGTTGCTGCAATTGTTGGAACATTTTTAGCCGGTTATGGTGAATGATCTAGTTGGACGGCAGAAAGCATAGACGTTTGGGCTTTTGGCGCAGCCTGCGTATGAAAATATAATACCATGAGGTAGGTTTTCAAATTCCCTATCCAATGGTGTTAAGATTGACGACAATGCGCAGATGGGGCCGACAGTGCATCAGTGCGACATTGATGTTGATGTTGCGGGCGTCAAGACATCCATTGCTACACATGCAAGCGCCATGTGCACCACCAGAGCGTCGTAGCCTTGTTTCTTTTGGTGTTCCTTTTTGGTGCATGAATATCGCCTGAGCGGGAGGGACTCCCCCTCTCCCAAGCATTTGCGGCACGCATCACCCTGAGGGGGGAGAGGACTCCCTGTCCCCCCTTTTACCCCCCTCCCCCTGCGTTGCTTCCTCCTGTTCCCCCGCGTGCACATTAAGTGCATGTGTTGGGCTACTAGCGGTGCAGCAAGAAACCTCCAACTGTCTGGAGGGTGACAACGGGTCAAATCCTACATCTACCAGCGTATACATACTGTATCAACTGCAGTGATGAAACAGTCTCTGTCCAGTTTCTGCTGTTCTAGGCACACTGCGCAGCTAAGATTGCTATGTAGCGTTTGAGCTGTTTGTATAGCTGAGCGCCTATTAAGATGCAGCTGCTTCGTCTTAATTGCACATGCGCAGTTACACCAAATACTGTCATACTGCGAGGAATGGGACTTTTTCTACGTTTGTCCATTGTATCAAAGGCGGTAATGCGGCAGGCAGCAGTGCCTGAGCTGAAGTGACAGGCTAATGAACATCAATGTACGATTACTGCTGCAGACACACAAGTGTTTTTAACCATGTATACACGAGCTGCTCGTATAGCTGGCCTTCTAATCAGTTGCAGCTGAACCGCAGTCCTTGCACATGCGCAATAAATATGTATGTAACACTGCCGAAATGCAAGCTCAGGTAGGCTGCCACGCTACTCTGCTGTAAGACAGACGGATCGCATCCTCTGGCGAATTAAGTATGTGGCACGGTAGCTTGGAAACTAAATCAGAGGGCGTCGACGTGGAAAGCTGGCTGGCATTTGCAAGATGCAAGCACACATTCAATGCAACGCCGACAATACCACGCCAAGCGGTGAATACGCCTGCAAACGTAAAAAAGAGTAAAGGTCAGTGCATTGCGAATAAGTCCATTAAAGGAGCACAGCAACACTAATCTACGAAAGGCGCGACTCGCTTGCAGCTTTGGACGACGCAAATGCGCTTCGCGCGTCCCAGGGCGGACGCGACGCGGCAGCTAGCAAGTGGTGGTGCGGTTGGTGTCCATGACCCATAGCACCGTGTTAGACGCCTCTGCTGCAAGGAAGGCCGCAACTTGCACGACAATGGATCACAGAACAGTCATTAGGATGATGAATAGACAACATACGCCTTCAACAGGATATACCTGGTATGAAGCCAGTGCATATCCACCATATCGGCCCAGCTGCCGCTCAAGCTTTTAAGCCCGTCGGCGAAGCACTAAGCGACTCCATCCTCCATCGTCGCTGCGCGCGGGATTGCCCTATGGTGCATAGATACGCTACATAGAAGGAATACAAGTGATAAGAAAATAAAGTTAACTAGCCCGTTGGATAGCCGCTGGAATGATCAGGTGTCGGGCGATCAAGCGTCGTACGACCTCATCCCAGCCGCCCACGGGCTTTGGCGCTGCCAGCGATGCAATATCTAGTCCGTGGCTACTTCTTTATACGTTTGCAACATGTTGTGACCATGAGCTAGGCTGGCGATGGAAGTGCGACATAGATTGGCGATGTTGCTCATGTTCCCGATCAAAATCCACACCTTCCCCTGGAATGCGTGCAATATATGTCTGGACATCAGCAACATCGCCGTCAATGTCGCACGCGCCTTGTAAGCGTACTCGCAGCACGCGACAGCACGACGTGCTCAGCATGATGTGTTGGCCAGCTTAACCAGGCGGCTACACCACAACCGGCTCAAGGGCTAAGTTTGAAGGCAACTTTATTGGAGGCCGGAACAGGAAGCGAATGAAGGGCAGGGACCAGTTATGCAGTTGTGCCTGCTGCAAAGTTAACCATGGCTCACGAATCGAACAATGCAGGCGTGTGCGTTGAAAGCGTAACCCTAAGGCATTTGTTTGCATGCCGCTGTTGCTACATGCCGCGTTGCAGCGCCGCTTTTATGACGAGGACGGTAGAAGACAATGCGCATGCTTGCCTAATCATAATGCCTAATCATAACAAGGTTGATGTCCTAGATGTCCGCTTGTTGTGGCGGTATTGCAGTCGAGAGCGCGATGCTCTCGTTCGATAGGCGCACAGGTTGCTGGCACGCCAAGTGCAATGCAGAAGACGTACTGCACAAACCGACTTTCCCTCCCTACGTTTCTGGTCATTGAAGGTTATCGCACTCATATACAGATGCCGAAGGTAAAATACTGTTGCATGCATACGGTTGCATGTGTATTGTTTTGAGCTGAACAGTGCACGACACGCCCATCACAGCTAAATGCGCGTTTCACGAAGTCCAGGCCAACCATGAACTTCATCGCTTCTTTACACGTCTCTGGGCCCGAGGTCTCCAGGCGCAAGAGACCGAGCACCACACGCGCGTGAGGGTTCGTCCGGCAATTGCAAGCCCAACTTAGCCTGCCGAATGGGGGGCTGCAGGCGTCATGTTGCCTGCATGCAGTTGATGCAAACCAGCTGCAAAACCAACCCATATCCCGCCCCAATCGTCGTCATCGCCTTTTAACGAACCACCTACGTCGCCAATCTGCACCAGAAAGGACAACGACGGCAGCCAGCTGTTCCCAAAATGGCCTCCTAAGGAAGTAGACCAGGCTAATGAACGACGTCACACTGCCGGGCAAAACACGCACGCGCATGGGCGACAAACCCCAACAGACCTCCTTGACGATATCCGCAGCACATAGGCGCCGGCTTCAAGAGGAAGACACCGAAAGGCCTCACCCAAAATGTTAGGTGCGCAACATTTAGCGTACACTGTTGTGTGGCCCATGGGTCCCCGGTGTCCCTAGACCCACCCGCCCAGCATAGCAAGCGTGTTCACCAGGCCCCCCACACCATTCGCATACTCCAGCAAACAAACTGTTCGTGCGCTAGCATGGAACGCTGCTGCAACGCTCCACTGCTGCTGCTGCTGTTGTTGGCAACTGCCGTACAAGATCGGCCGTACGAGAGGTACTGCAGCTTCGAAGAGCCGTTTACCACTCGATGCCGGCGGCCTCGGGGTCGGGGATGTAGTCATCGTCCGAGTCGTCATCGGGGATCAGGCCGTTCTCGCGCAGGAAGGCAAACCCAGAGGTCTGGGCGGCATCGCGCATCTTCAGGGGGAACAGGCCCTTCTCGGAGTCACCCTCAATCAGGACCTTAATCAGGTTCTCCGAGTCCTCGCGCTTGACGACCTTGCCGCCAGCAGCCTCAACCAGCTTGTCCATCCAAGCAGAGGCCTTGACGTGGGGGTACTGCTCAGCCAGCTCAGCGGGGATGTTGCAGAGCAGGGCAACGGTCTTGTCACCAGCGGACAGGAGCATCTTGCCCAGGTGGCCGGCACCGCCCTTGCGCTCCTCAGCGGCCTCATCAACGGGCGCGTTCATGCCCTCCAGCACAGCGGAGATGAGGTCCAGGTCGCCGTTGGCGCTCTCCAGGACAACGTTGAAGAACTTAACACCACCCATATCGGACATGCCTGCGTTGGGCATAAAAGGAGACAGTCGTTGGGCGAAATTCCGTCGACCGCTGTTCCACGGGCTAATAAACATTGAAACACTCTAGATACTACTATTGCAAAATGGTGCACGCATAAAAATGTCCGTTCGTGGCAAAAGGTGCAACCAAGCTAGCCGATCTACATCTCCAGCGAGCACCCACCGCAAATGTCCACGCCCTTCTTGCCACCCTCCTTCTTAGCAACCTTCTCGGCCATTTTGTGGGTTGTCAAGTATGTGTATAGAAACGGATGAAGGTATTGGAAAAAGGGAAGCTTTCGGCTCGCTCGGCGCTCTTATGGCGGCGGGTGCACGACAGAACCAAAGGTACAAGGTCGTAAGGCATCAGCCCCGTTGATTTCAGAGCTTTTGGAACTTTAAAAATTTTCTTTTCGTTAGTTATATATTTCTTGGCAGGGACGACGCTCCACACAGATCAACGAGTGCATGTATGTGCCCATGTTGTCGACTGCGGCGACAGGGACAGCGCGAGGAGTACTGTAATGCACGCATTGCTTTCTGTGGCGATACTAGATTGGCACCACAGCTCGGAAAGCTACACTTAGCAGCGCCGAAGAGTGACAAAGTGCTTGGGCCAATCTACAAGGGCTTCTGCCCCCAAGCTCGCACGAGCAGAATTGCCCTTCGTATCGCAAGAAATGGCTTGCTGAGGAAAGGGGGGAATTTGCAACATATGGGTCGTGCCCTAGTACCAATGTAGGGTTTCGTAAGGCTTTTGACAATGTCCTTGGAGTCAAACTTATCCCCAGAACGGCCCCAAAGGCGGAACCATGCGTCGTATACCCGACACCCAATGCATGTTTTGCATAACCAGCAAGCGGTGGTTATGCAAGACGTTGGCCAACTCCCAATCAATCGTCAACCGCCTGGCCACATGCAAGCTATATGCGGTGATACACGCGCACATCATGTGTGTCGTGTCACGTTATTGCGAACGAGTGCCACACAACACGCTCCATCACAACCCAGCAAAGCCTGCCAGTACAAACCGCAACAAGGCCGCGCCCAACAGGGCTTTGTACACCACCCCATGTAGCCCCATGCACAGCCTTTGGTCAACAGCACCACTCGCGAATGCGTCCTCCTTGATGGGTACACTGCCCGTACAGAAGCCTCTTGGCTGCCTGTTTCGTTAGCCCGATGCCTCCCACAAGCCCCTCTCCCACACATCCATATCCCACCCACACTCCCTACATGCACCGCAACCCAGTACCTCCTACGCACCCGCACCCGCACAGCCAATCCACCGCAGCCCTAAAGCCCATCCTAGCAGTCCAACAACGCAGCACTTCCATCAGCGCTTGAATTTCTTGGGCTTTGTGAAGACCTGTGCGGCCGCCAGGGTCTCGTTGCGGCGGCGAACCAGGGTGTCCTTCACGGACGCGTACAGCTCGTCCTCCACCTGGGATGGGGGGGGGAGGTAAAGAGAAGAAACATGCGTTGGGCCCTAGGTGGTATACTAGGTGGCATACCAGGTTAAGAGAAGAACCATACGTTGTGGCATACTAGGTGGTTTTGGGGAGAGGAAGGGGAGTTGTGGGGATGTATGGATCCCTCCTCCCTCCTAAACCATTCACAGTCACAACCCGCAAAGCATCAACTTCCCAGTCACAGCCATCAAACCCCTCCTCTCCCCTTGCCCTCCCCACCTGCGGGCCCTTCGCTAACCGACGCCTTTCCTTACACCCCTCTCCCTTGCCATCCCGCATCCGCCCCTCACCTGCGGATGCTTCTATGCTCTCACCCCACTTCCTCCTCCTCCTCTTCGTCCTCCTCCCCCTCCCTCTTGTTTCCCTCCAGCCCTTCCCCCCACTCTGTACAGTTCGTCAGTTTTCCCTTATTTCCCTCCCTCCCCTCTCACCTGCGTGGTGTCCTCCGCCAGCAGGTGGGTCCACTTGGTGCGCCCGCTGCGCCCAAAGTTCTTCACCTGCATCACCTTGGGCAGCAGGCTCTTGTCCACCTTGTCCATGCCGGTGGGCGCGGAGTAGTCGCGGGTGTAGATGGCGTCGCTGCCGGCGGTGCCGCGGGTGTCGTCGGGAGCCTCCTGCGGGGGCGGGGAGGGAGGGGGGGGGGGCGGAGGGGAGGTTGGCTGGGAAGGGGGCGGGGAAGCTGTGGGATCTTGTCCGCAGCCGCTGCAACCTAGCACCCTCGAGTTCGCCCCTTCCTTCCGCACACAGCGCTCCGCAGCGGCAGCCGCAAAGACGACGCAACGCCACATACGCCTATAGTACTTTCACCTCGCGGCCAGTTGTTTTAACACACGCTCCTCCTTCTCCTCCTCGTTTGCTTCCTTTCACCTCCTCTTCTCGGCCCTCCTCCCTTCTCCTCCTCCGCCTGCTTCCCGCCATCCCCGCCCCACCCCACCCCATTTTCCTATGGTTCGGTATGGTCTCCCCCCCAACGCCCCACCTGGAAGTAGGCGCCCTTGTGCCAGTACTTCTGCAGGAAGTTCCAGCGGCTCTTGGGGGACGCCTCGCGAGCAACCTGCAGGGCAGGGCGAGGGGGGAGTAGGGTGTATGGGATGGATGGGGGGCGGGGAGGAACGCGGGACGAGGGGTGCGGAAGCGGCGAGGAGTGAATTGATGCAGGGAGGGCTGCAGAGGGAGCCACAGGGAACGGCAGGACACATACATGCCGGTGCGGCAGCTGGTGCAGGAGGCCCACCAGCAGGAACCCCTCCGACTCCACATCAACCCCACCACCTCGCAACCAACAAGCATACCGGCACCCTCATTCATTGGTAATGCTCCCCCTGCTCCTGCTTCCTCTCTCCGCGTCTCCTCATCCAGCCTGCCCACAGCGCACCCCTCCCTGCCCCCCCCCTCCCTCACCTTGGGGTTGGCCCTCTCCCACGCCGCCCGCTCCTCCTCCGTCATGTTCTTCAGCCGCTCCCGCTCCGCCGCCTCCTTCTCAGCCGCCTCGCGCTCCTCACGGTCACTGAGGGGGTCGACAGGTTGGGGGGATGCCAGGAGTAAGATAGAGGAAATGTAAACACGGACGTAGTCCCAAGACTGCCGGGTTATGTCCAGTGAATCCAAGCGGCTAAGGCAGAGACGCAAAGAACACCAGTACCGGCACCCTCTCGTGTGCCCCGGCTCGTCTGTATCCCGGGTCGCTGCTCAACGTGTCGCGTTTGGCCTCTCACTCCACTCCGGTCTTCAATGAGAGGCCCCTGCTCGCTGCCTGCCCACGTGCGTTCCTTCCCCCGCGCCCTTCAACTTTCCCTGCCCCCCCCCTTGTCTGCTCACCGCTTGATGCGCCGCAGCTCACGCGCCTTCCACGCCTCGTAGGCCTGCAGGTAGGCAGGCCAAGCATAGTGTGCATGTGAGTGCAGTAGGAGCAACACGGGCATCACAGGCATTGTGCGGGCGCCGCCACACTGCTGGGCTTACCAGCCCCCATGCCCAGCACATAAGCACACCTGTAAGGATCCGCCTGGGCACACCTCACATGCACCCCATGCAGCGCACAGTCGCACGTTGCTTCACCCCGCTCCCCCACCCCTCCCCTCCCTTTCCCTCCCCTCCCCCACCCTTACCTGCACCGGGTCCGCCTCATCGTCCGTGTCAATGTCCTCCGCGCCCGCAGGCCCCGCCGCCGCCGCCGCTGCCGCCGCCGCCTCCGCCGCCATCTGCTCCGCCAGCAGCTGCTTGGTGCCCTCCTTGCGCTCCGCCTGCCGGGCAGCCTCGCGGGCAGCCGCGGCAGCCTCCTCGGCCTCCAGAGCAGCACGCTCCGCTACCGTCTGAAGGTTGCATCGAAAGAGGGGGAGAGGGGGGAGGGGAGGCGCGGGGAAGTGAGGTGCGGATGGGGTAGGGAATATCCCACATGGCATGGCGGCTTGCAGGCGCGAAAATGCCGCGAATGAGTATCCTAGTAGCCCATGTCATGCATGTTGAGCCTGCCATACCGTACGAAGGCTAACAACAAGCAGCCATGGAAAAAGCAAACACATGCGATGTCAAGGTCCTGATATACTGTTACTTACATCGCGCGCGTGCTTGGGCACAAACACCGGCTTGAGCAGCCGCCCTCCTGCAGGGGCGGGGTAGTGATGGGCGGGGTGGTGGGGTGAGGCGGTGGGGAAGGAGTGACGAACATGATCGCAGGGGTGGGTGGGTAGGTGGATTCGCTTGCAGGAACTGTGCGCGGAATGAAACACCATCAGGGGTGTCTTTCGCCGCATGCGCCTAAGGCCTCCGCCAATCAGCCGGACCGAGGCACCCACCGGGTCCGTCGTCCTCATCGTCCTCATCCGTTTCATACTCCGAGGACTCCTCCTGCAGAAGAGCAGAAGAGAAGAGGAGGGACGGGGCACAGAGGGAGGGGGGTGGGAAGGCGGCGGGAGAACGACAAGGCAGGCCCGCAGCCTGCTGCACCCAACCTATGTCAAGCTCACAACAAGCGCCGAGTTCCTCCCTCGCTCCTTCGTAGAGCCACTCCCGGCCCCGTCCTCTAACCCTCCCTCGACCCGCACCTCCTCCTCTTCTTCCTCCTGCTGCTGTTGCTGCTGCTGTCGCCGCAACTCCTCCTCCCGCTGCTGCTGCAGCAGCCTGCGCAGTGAAACAAGAACCGCAGCACCAGCGAAGACTATAAAGAAATGTAGACGTCCGATGGGGGGAAGACGGAGTCTGATGCGCCCCCAGTGAACCACCGCGCACATACCCGTCCCCAAAGCGCACCGCTCCGCCGCTAGCACACAGCACCGTAACCACCCGACTGCGCCTCGCCCCCGGGTCTGCAACCAAACCCCCGCCGCCCATGCGCCCCTCCCCGAGACCAACACCACCACACCCGCTTCCAACCCCACTCACCTCTCCCGCACCGCCTGCCTCCTCCGCGCCGCCGCCTCCTCATCCTCCTGCTCGTCCGCCACCTGCCTCCGAGCCACCCGCCGCCGCATCTCATCTGCGGGTACATCACCATCCAGCTCCGGTTGCGGCTGCGCCCCCTCCCCCTCCTCCTCCTCCGCCTCCTCACTCCGCTCCTCATGCCGCCGGCGCCGCCGCACGTGCTGCCCCTCCTCATCCTCTCCCTCCCCACGACGCTGCTGCTGCTCTTCCTCCTCCTCCTCTTCCGAGGAAGACGATTCGGGCTCCTCGCTGCGCTCCCGCTTCGGTCGCACAATCTCCGCGGCGCGGATTTGCCGGCGCTCCTGTAAAGGGTGTATAGGAAGCCATCCCGTTTCGGGTACAGAGGTAAGTGGGGTAAAGTCATGGGGTTGGGTCGTCATCCAGGGGGGGCAGAGTGGACTAGGCTGGTGTTGGAGTGCAGCGCCATTGCACCTAACAGCCTCCCCCAAGCCGGCTGGAAAGTAAAGCCGTCCCTTCACACCCATAAATCCGCCAAGAGCTTCCTTTTGTGTCATTCCGTCGTCCAAGGTCCACTTCGCCGGACCCATATAGTCTACCGTGCACCATACAGGCCTCCTCCAGATCACCCTTCCCACCCATCCCAACTCCAGGGACTCGTAGCATTCCTTCCTGGCACAGGCACACGCCTGTCCCCTGAACCCAACCAACTTCCGCTCCAGCCCCACGCAGCCCCACGCAGACAGCCCCCACCTGCAGCGCCTCCTCCCTGTCAGCGCCCCGTGACTGCTGCAGGCGAGCCAAGCGGGGGTCGTCCGCCCTGAAGCCGGGATGGGGGCGAGACAGTGGGCAGTGAGCCAGGCAGCAGGCGAGGTGGCAGGTGGAGGGTGGTAGGGTAGGGATGCTGCCCATGCTGAGGAGGGGATTAAGTGTGGATGGGCAGCAGGCGAGGCGACAAGCAGTGAGCCTCAACAGGGAGCCTTGCGGACGGCTCATTGCTACAAGGTGGATGTGGCCAGCCTCGCCCCGGAAGGGCCGGACCTTCGCCGTACAGACGAGTGGCCTACCTCCTGATGATCACGGGTGCCGCAACCTCCGTACGCACGCGCTCCCTTGGGGCCTCCTCCTCTTGCTGCTGCTCAGCCCACTCCGGAGCCCTGCCAGGCCAATAGCGCTTCACGCGCGTCTTGTCCACGCGACCCTTTTCACCCTCTTCCAGGGCCGTGCGTGCTGCCAGAGCCCCCGACATCTTGTTCGCTTTAAGTTGGACTGTCTGTAAAACTTTGACCCGCGTTGATGGACCTCTGGCCGCCAAGAATCCGTCACTGCTGTTGAAAATTGTGCCAAGATGTCCTTCCTCCCTTTTGACTTCTCTAGTACTAATTGCAAGCTCAAGTCACGTTAGCCTATGGACCCTCCTTTAGCACCGCGTGGTTGCGCTAGAGCAGCTAATGCTCCAATTTCGTCAAGCCCAAGCGTCTATGCCGCCTAAATATTGTTACTACAGATCCGTCGGCTAGGTTATACCGGGCATAGGATAAAGAAGCTAACTTACAGTAGAGCACCCAGTTCTTTAACCGTATCCAGGACAGGAGTCAGCAGACTATTGCATTCGTTAGGTAGAGCAGTTGCCTATTCTTCTATATACAAATGTCTTTGTGTACCCAGCTAGTCCTAGAGATGCGTATCCTGGCTTGCGCCATCGACCTGTACTTCCGTACATCGGCTTCTCCCTCGTATCCATAGCTGTACACTCTCTCCTGGATAGTTTAGCACTGAAGCCTTTCATCCTGTTGTCCTTACCTTACCAACGCCTGTGCTTGATGGAACCTTGTTGTTCTCACTCTTACAAATGTAAATATCACAGGCGCAAAGTATGCGATTAATGAACCTAGTCAAGCGGCGAATGAAGATGAAAGCGAGATAACAGCTCACCGTTCAGGCAACTTTGCAGCATCCTTTCGGCTTGCAGTTTAAAATGGAGCTCTGCCCGCCACCCAAAGGCGATGCCGCTTCGGGTGGCTTCCTGCAACACGCTCAGACGTTACTGCAGGTAAGGGCGTAATGGCAATAGTGGCTCTGCCTCAAGGGTTTGGGATGTGGCGTTCCAATTCCGTTTTCGATAGACGCCTTGTTTAACCACGTGGTAACACTCTGTAAAATGTACTGAACAGGAAATGGCCTTAGTGAGCGAAAGGCTGGAAGGGCTGCTCGGCGAACAAGGTGAGGCTGCCATGTTTGGTAGTCGAACACGTAACTGGGGTTAACTGGGGTTAAGCCACCCTTCCCCGCATGGAGGAAAGTTGCCTTTGATTGCCTCCTTGCGTGTATATTCACACTTCATTCCGTCAACCGTCTCGGCTTTCCGCCGCACAGGAAACCCAACAGCAGCTAGCAGGAGGACCACAAACACCGCTCACATTCAGTCAAACCATGCGTTGACCGAATCCAACGCCAGCCCCATACCGCTCGCACCTGCCACAAGCGCAGCCCCAGCGCCGGCAGCTACAAAATCCCAGCCGCCGCCGCCGCCACCTCCCCTCCCGCCTCCCTTGGTTCCGGCATTAGCTGCTTCTCGGGGCGCCAAGTCCTCCTCCCCAGCTGTGACTCCCCGGAAAGCCAACAATGGCGCTGCCTCAGCCTCGCCGACCATTACCCCTCGCAAAGCCGGCAGCAAGGCGTCAGGACTTGAGCAGGCCTTCGCACTAGTTGCATCCATTCCATCCGCAGCTGCGGGTGTGGCACCTACGCCGCAACCACCGCCATCTCCAGGACCGGCTGCGACCATGGCCACTGGGGACGGTGATGGCGGCGTCGGCAGGATGGAATCCTTAGGGGCTAACGGCAGCGGTGCTGGTGCTGACGATGATGATGTAAGCACTGCGGATAACAGCGGCGGCAGCAGCGTTCGATTGAGTCGCATGGGCTCGGGTCCTTCCTTGCCACCGCGACCACCTATGTCGTCGGCTCCCTCGGCCGGCCTCCAACACCTGATGGATAGGTTAGGAACAGGTGCAATGCTAGTAAGGGAGCGGGAGACAGAAGGTAGGAACGCGGCGGACGCTGTGGCGGCGGCGGCAACCGCGGGGGAAGGTGCCGAAGGGCATGTGCTGCCGCTGGCTGCGCCTACGGTTTCTGACACGGAGGCCCATCCAGCGGGAGGGCCCTCGATGGCGCCGCCGTGGCTGCGTCTACACCCTATTCCGGCAACACCCTCCTTCCTGCGTGCAGCCACCGCTGCCGCTGCGGTTGCACTGATAGAGCAACATCGCGCGACGTTATCAAGTCCGGACTCGTACGGCAGTCCAGATCTGTACGACAGTCCTGACCAGCGGCCGCCGGGGCCGACGGAAGGCGATACGCCGCCTCGGCGGCGGCGACACCGTCGTCCAGGCGAGCCCGCCACAATGGGGGATAGGTTTCGGAGTCCAGAAAGCAGCATTGAGGGATCGGGAGGTGCGGCGGGGCCAGCTGACGGCGTTGTCGTGGTCGAGGGTGCGGCGACGGAGGCCGCGCGGTTGCGACTTGAAGCCGCCAACCGGGCGCTTGCTGCGCTGCAGGTGCGTGGAGTCAGATTGCTCCAGGAAAGGAATGGGAGATGGGCCATGAGGCTTATTTGTGATTTCCTCCTAGCTTCCCATCGGTGTCCCTGCCACTTGACATGCTGAATGCCGCCGATTCCTACTCCGCTTCTGCGCTTTTCCAATACCAGGCACTCCAAAACGGGAACCCTGCCGCCGCAACGGACCTAGCAGCGGAGGTTGCGGCGCGCCAAGCCGCCGCTGATGCTGCTCGTGCGCCCCTCGCGCCTCCGTCGCCGTCATTGGCAGCGGCGGCTCCAGCCGACGGCGGCACGACCGAAGCAGCGGCCGCCGCCGCTACCGTTCACGCGGAGGCGTCTTGGTGCAGCAGCCTGCCGCCAGGCAGTACGGCAAGTCCCCCGGCTGACTTGGAGTCGCCGCCGTCAGGCGCCTCCGCCGTCGTGAACGCTGAAGACGGACACTCCGTAATCCGAAGTGGCTCCCTGGGGTCAGGGGGCGGCATTGCGGTGCATGGGGCGGCGCCGATGTCATCGGCGCGTGCACGTGCGGGAGCTCCGCCGCCCCCTCCGCCAGGCCCCCCACCGCCGCCGCCGCTGTCGCCAGCGACGACACGTGGGAATGTTGGACTGACGGCGGCAGCGTCGCCAGCGGCATGCAAGACTGCGGTGTCGACTCCTTCAACACCGACTGCTAAGACGCCCCCGCCACCACCGCCGCCGGGTCCGCCCCCGCCACCGCCTTCAGTGGGCGGGATGAAGGGCCCACCATCCCTTAAGCCGTCGATCTCACCGTCGCCGTCGGCACCCGTCTCAGCAGCGTCGACGCCTAGCAAAACCCCGCCCCCGCCGCCGCCTCCGGGCCCACCGCCACCGCCTCCATCAGCAGGCGGCATGAGGGGCCCGTCACACCTCAAGCCGCCGCCGTCAGCGCCCGTCTCAGCATCAACTACACCCAGCAAGGCACCACCGCCGCCGCCGCCTCCGGGCCCTCCACCGCCCCCTCCCTCGGCGGGTGGAGTGAAGGGTTTCTCACCTCTCGAGCCTCCGTCAGCACCCGTCTCCGGAGCTTCAACACCCAGCAAAGCGCCACCACCACCGCCGCCTCCGGGCCCTCCGCCGCCGCCCCCGTGCCCGGGTGGCATGAAGGGCTACTCGCCTCTCAAACTATCATCAATCCCGACCTCCACACCGACAACACCCAGTAAAACCCCACCACCGCCGCCGCCCCCGGGCCCCCCGCCGCCGCCGCCGTCAGCGGGTGGGCTACGAAGTCCTTCGCCGGCTCAACCACAATCCCTTTCGCCGCCGTCAGCATCTGGATCCGCAGCGTCGACACCTGGGAAAACCCCGCCACCGCCACCGGGGCCGCCGCCGCCACCACCCTCAATTGGCGGCGTCAAGAGCCCCTCGCCCGGAAAGCCCCCACTGCCGCCGCCAGGGCCCCCGCCGCCGCCGCCAACCATGGTTACGACTCCCGTACGTTCACCGCCGCCACCGCCACCTGGTGCCCCGCCGCCGCCCCCAGGAGCTACCGGTAGGTCTCCACCGCCGCCGCCGCCGCCACCACCGCCGCCGATGCCCTTCCGCGTCGCGCCCATCGCCACCCGCGCCGCTGCTGCCGCTGGGACCGCTAGCGAGTGCAGCGCCGCTGCCGCTGGTGGTTGTACGGCAACACCGGGCTCCGCTGCGAGCACTCCCTTGGCTTCGGGCGCCGTGTACGACTCTGGTGGGTACTGGACGTGGCTCTCTTACATCGCTTGCCAAGTTGTATTCGCATCCAGCTTTGTGTAGTTACTCGGTTGTTTCATGGACGCTTTGTACCTGCATGTTCTCTTTCACATACTCCGCAGACCGTATCGTCGGTGCGGACTACTAATCTGCTGAACTATTGTCTTTTAGCGTCTTCCCCTCTGTGTGCCCTGCATGCCCTTCCATCTCAGGCGGCGGCAACTCGGCCTGCTCCACGCCCCAGACCGCCTCCGCCGCACCTCCGCCGGCCCCGCCCCTGGAGCGTAAGGCCCTCCACTGGGAGCCACTGCCGCCCTCCGCAGCCAACCTGCTGGCGCCCAGCCTGTGGGCTAGTCCGCTGCTGCAGGTGAGCTGGGGCTGCGGTTGCCGCCGTTTTGTGCGCAGGGTTCCAGGAAGAATTTGAGCGTGGAGCACTGATCAGGTGTTGCTTCCTGACACCGTTCTGCTCGTGTGGCGAGCAGGAATGCCCTAAGATCGGTGTTCTCGCTGGCGACCATTGAACTTTCTCGGTCGTTGAGCTCACGCTGCTAAACGTTCCCAAACGTCTAAAAAACGAGTAATTTGCCGCACCCCTGACAACTCCGTACCTTGCGCCGTACTCCGCAGAGCATCGTGCCTGTGGCGGTCCGCAGCGGTGCGGACAAGCTGGCCATGTTTGCCCGCTGCGCCACCACCACCAGCTTCAAACTTGGGCGCAACACGGGTGAGTGCACCGGGTGACATATTTGGGTTGCTTGACTTGCTACCGCGGTTTCCTTCCGCTAGCCTGTCGTCTGGATACCCGGAAGAACCCTTCGAAAGAGCGGAACCAAGCTCTTGTAGCCCGCTCATGGTTCCAGTTTCTATTACTTGCTTTAGCCCAGCCCGTTCCTCCTGCTGCCTCGCCACCTGCCTCCCAGCCCTCCTGCCAATACTTACAACTATATTTTCCGGCCCAGTGCCAGCCCAGTGCGAGTTTTCACCACGTCCCGCCTCCTGCCTCTCACCCCTGCCCCTCCCAGACGGCAAGACCTGCCTGTTGGAGCCCAGCACCGCGCAGAACATCCTCATCAAGTTCGCCAAGGCCGCTCTCACCCCCGAGCAGCTGCGGACCGCCCTGGAGCGCATGGACAGCACCGCGCTGTCGGCCACCATTGTGCTGCAGGTGGGGGCGAGGAGGTGGGGGCGAGGAATGCTGACCGGTGTGCAGATGGTACTGTTGAAGCCCCTTGTCCAAACCCTCACCGCACACCGCACCGGCGGGACCCGGTGGTTCGGGTACCCCTGGAACCACGTCTTGAACCAGGAAGCATGTGGAATGACACCCCTTGGTACCCTTGGTGCTCCTAGTTTTGTATCCATCTCGCTGCCTTGCCGCCCCCACTTGCCCTGCATGCAGTGCCTGGGCGGCTACCCTAAGCCGGATGATGCGGAGCGGGTGATGGCCTGGTGCGAGAAGAACGACCCGGCGGGTCAGTCCGGGGTGTGACTGGTTTGCTTGCTCGTTAGTTGGAGGGGAGCGCTTACCCAGCAGTGCTTAGTCGGTTCATGGAGGACTGTTCGTGTGCTAGAATGGTGTCAAGGGGTTCGTTTTGACGGATGCGCAGGATTGCCGCAACGAGGCCAAGAAGTCGATCCCATAAAATCTGATACTAGCGTCCCTGTCCTTAGTAAAGCACCTTATCTTAAAGCCGCAAATTACCTTCCCCTGCCGAAACCTTCTCGCCTGCCTGTCTGCTCCCTCTCGGCTCCAGGCCTGGGCCCCGCTGAGAAGTTTGTGCACGTGCTGGCCTCCGTGCCGCATGCGCGACTGAGGCTGGAGGTGCTGAAGATCAGGCACCACTTCGATGAGGACCTGGCCAAACGCAACCGCCTGGCCGCTGCCGTACGCACCGCCTGCACCGGCCTAACCGGCAGCTACGCCTGGCGCAGGCTGCTCAAGGTAAGAGCATGACTGACTGACTGACTGGTACTGCCCCCTGCAGCACATAGCTCCGCACGGCCCCGCCCTCCCCAGCCCGACCCCACTCCCCCACTTCTTATCTCCCCCCTTTCCCCCACCCCTCACATATGCGTATGCTCCAGGAGCTGCTTGCGCTGGGAAACGAGGTGAACCGGCACCGCGGGGCCGCCCCCGCTGCCGGCTTCCGGCTGTCTTCGCTGAACCGGTTCGCGGAGATGCGCACCTGGGACAACCAGTGGTCGCTGCTGGAGGTGCGGCAGGGTGGGGGAACAAGTGTCAGGAGGCGAACATTCGCACCATTGGTGTCGGATCTGCATGGTCGAGAGCAATATTCATGACGACTCCATGACGGCTTAGCCCCACCATTGCTTTACGCTCCTACAACGTTACGATTTATTTACGCATACGTATAAAACGTCCTTGTCCTTTTTTACCCACCCACCCCCGCTCCCCTCCTGCCTCCTTCGCTCCCTGCTTTCTTCCCTGCATCCCTGCCGGCCCCCAGATCGCTGTCGAGGCGCTTCTGCTGCGCCCCAGCGGCCGGCGGCAGCTGAACGACCTGGTGGCGCTGGAGGAGCGCATGGGGGCGGCGGTGGCGGTGGACCTCAAGGTGGGGTGGGCTGGCTTTGTGCTGGTCTGGCATTGGGTGGGTGGGAGGGTTGCTGGGGATGGTATTGCTTGCCGGGATGCCGTTGTTTGAAATATGCCATGTTAAGGTGATGGCGTTACGATGCTGGCCATGTTTTGGGGACGCGGGATGGTGAAGGGGACTCTACTATGCTTCTCGTCTGCTATATTTCCTTCCAATGCGACCTCACGTTCACGGTTTCTGCTCTGGCGCTACCGCACACAGGTGCTGTCCAACGACCTAACGGAAATGGACGAGAAGGGCCTCAGCCGCGTGTCCAAGTTCCTGGAGTGCTTGCGAGTAAGCTTGCACCGTTGCCTTTGCCACATCTGCATGGTTGCACCTTGTTGGATTGCATCCCACGGTTCTATCAGACCATGACTCGTGTCGCGAGCTCGTGACCTTGCTTGGCTTCTCTTCATGTAGCCCGTATGCAGTGCCGGTATGCTCTCATGCACCCATACCGCACCTTGGGATACTTGCACACACAGGCCCAAGTCCAAGAGCAGCAACAGCAGCAGAAGCGGCCATCCGGCGGAGCCGGAGGAGGCGCACCGCCGCCCCCACCCCCTGGCCCCCCGCCACCGCCTCCTACTATTGCTGCCGCCGGTGCTTCTACGGCTATTGCTACGGCAGGAGGGGCAGCCGGAGGAGGGCCATCAGCAGCAGCAGGTGTGGGTTTCAGCCGGGGCTCCAGATTGCCCGGAAGCCAGCAGCAGCCGCAGCACAGGCAGGCGGCTGACCTGCTGAGCGAGTGGACAGAGCTGCTGAACAGGTGGGTGCTAGAGTCATACGGGTAGAGCAAATGCCGCGCGTGGGCTCGGCGGATGGCGCGGTCAGCTATTGTGGTACAGGTGTGGGTACATGGTTTCACAAAAGCGAGACGCCCCCAAACTACCGCACCCTCAACCCGATCACCGCAACATCGTCCTTGTCGCAGGTGGCAGGCGGACTACCGGTGCCTCTCGGAGAACGTCCGGACCGCGTTGGCCTCCGTTCGGGAGGCGGGGCTGATGCACTGCGAGCTGCGTGCGACGCCAGCAGCAGTCGCGGCCGCCGCATCCAGTGACCCACGGGTCGCCGCCTCTGCGCCGAAGGATGTACGGGACTGGCCGTTCACGCATGGCCGGCCATTTCTGGACAACTTGAAAAGGTATGTTTGTAACAACAGCCTCACGTCTAGGTCTCTTAGGAGCCGTAATAGCCTTGAAGGAGTGGCCTAGGGTACCTGTAACACCTTTGCGGTGCACGGCTTCAAGCCGATTTTACTCACGATCGGCTCTGCCTCGGACCCCTTTTGACCCCCTATGCCTCTGCAAACGCCATTCGACACGTGCACCCGCCCCCCGTGCAGCTTCTTCGGCAACCTGAAGCAGGCGGTCATGCGGGTGCGCGGCCTCATGCAACGGCATCAACAGGTACGTGCGTGCATGCGTACGACAATGGGGTACCCTGGGCGACTGCACGTACGGGCTGGCACTGTCATGTCTTGCGCAGCCTTGCCTCTGTATCCAAAGATTCCCTACCTATCACTTGTTAGCCGGCAGGTGCATGCTTGTTTGTGGAGGATCTTGCTAGGGCTCACTCCTGCCGTCGACTTTCAACGATTGCTTTTACGCCTCTGCGCAGGCGCGGCTGGATGCGGCGAAGCGGCTACTGGACGCCGCCTCAGCCATGCTCGCCTCCGCCGCAGCGGCGGCTGCGGCGGCAACACATGCTGACGCTGCCGCCGCTGCCACCACTACTGGCTCAGTGGGCAGCGCACCTGGCCGCCATCCGCATCACCACCTCTCCAGACGCTCCCTCCCCGCTTCCTCATCTACCTTCACCCAACTGCAGCAGCTGCAGGAGGCCTCCACGGGGGGTCAGCATGGCGTGCATGGTGATCGCCGTACACCCCGGTTTCGTCATACGGCTGACGACGTAGTGTCGGTTACTTCGGTTGCTGCTGCGTCCGGTACGACAACGAACGGTGTGGGGATGGCTGAACAAGAAGCTGGTCAGCAACGGCAACAAGAGCAGCAGCAGCTGCTTCGAGGGCGGCAGTCGCGCAAAACGCAGCTACAAGGACAGCAGGAGCAAAAGCAATCTAACCGTTTGTCTTCGGCGGCTTCGTCTCCGTGTTCCTTGCCGTCGGTTGCTTCAGTTGATCGAACCGCCGATAACAACAGCAACATCAGCAACCACCTTAAACGCCAACAATGTAGCAACAACACCCGCAGCCATCACTCACAGCAGCAGCAGTCGCAACAGCAGGCCCCGCCGCAACTTCGCAAACAGAAGACCAAAGATCCCCAACCTCGTGAACTTGCTGACGGTTCCATTGGCCAGAAAGCGAGAGCCAGTCGGCCTAGTAGCGCTGGCAGCTGTAGCAGCAGCCGCAGCAGCACCGCCGGCAGCAGTATCCAAAGCCGCCGCCACGAAGCCCCTGCAGGCGAAGGGCCGACGCTTGCCCTGTTCCCGCTACGCTCATCATCCACCGCTGCTGCCGCGGCGGCGGCGGCAGCAGCTCCGACGCCTTCCGCTCGAGGACCTGCTGTCGTACAAAGAGCAGCCGCCGCCTCCGCAACCACGACAGACACGGCGGTAGGCAAGCCGGCAACCGCTGGGGCCACATCTGGAAGAGGCCAGAGGCCGGCTGAAAAGCGACCGACAAGCGGTAGCGCTGGCGAGAAGGAAGGTGGCAGGGGCTGCGGCGATGGTTATGTGCGGAGCAAGTGGGAGGCGGCAGCAGCGTCCTTGGCCGCTGAGGCTGCGGCGGTGGCAGCGAAAAGGGGCGGTAACACTGGAGCCGACGGTGGCACAGCCGCAGTCACCACCGCCGGCATGCGCAGCCGGCGCACTGCTATCCCCGCCGTGCCTGTTGACCCCAGCGATAGCGACGGCGACAGTGCATGCAGCAGCAGCGGCAGCTGCGTAGTGCCCATGCCTCGAGGTCGCGCGTGTTTTGCGGCTGCGGCTGCGGTTGCGGCCCCCGACGGGCCCTCTCGTTCCTCCTCCGTGACCAGCCGCCTTCTTCCCGACAATGAGGCCTCCCTAGTCGCCCTGGCGGAGGCCGAGGTTGAGGCAGCGGAGGCGCTGCGGCCGCTGGTGTACGACACTGGATGGCGGCAGAGGCGTCAGCCGCCACCGCGGCCGCCGCCAGCACAGCAGGGGATGCGCCAGCAGGAGCGGCCGCGTCGGCACCGCTATGTCGATTCGGACGGCTTGGACGATGACGAGGGTGGTGAGGATAACCGTCAAGGAGGCGAGGGCTGTTACCGCGATGAGACAGAGAGTGGCAGCAGCAGGAGCAGCAGGAGCGGTGACGACAACACGGGCGGTGATGACTCGCTGCTGTCGCCGTCGCAGTCCTCCGCGTCGCCTGCTGCGGGGAGTGTGACCCGTGGGTCACCCCGAGGCGCCGTCGAGGCCGCCAGCGGGACCCGTATCGCCTCCACTGCGGCCCCAGTTGTCAGTCCCTTCGCCTCGTCTCCAGACCACGATGCAGGCAACGACCAGACCAGCCACCGCGAGCGCAGGCGAGTGCGGAGGCACTGGCGGGGACCCATGGGTCGCAGCCATCGCGGCCAAACTGGCCGTGCGCACGCCAACCACCCTGACGATGGCGCTGGTGTCAGCAACGGTGCGTTCGGCAGCCGTGACGGCGTTCCACCGCTGCTACAGTCCCTCTGGGAGTCCGAACAGGGTTGCCTGGGGCGCCAGGAGTTCGCTGGGTCCAGCAGAAGAGGAGGCGACCATGCGGTTTCGGAGCACCGAGCGAATGACGAGGCGGAGGATGAGGACGCTATCTTGGAACGCTGGGGCATGCCTTTGGAAAGCCCGGATTACGGCATTAGCGCAATTAGCAGCACCAGCCGCGAAGGTGATGGCGACGAGGATGCCGCTAGCGACGGCGCCGGAGTTGCAAGCGGTGATGACACGGAGGCACTTGAGACCGGAACTGCTGACTCTGACCTAGTGCACACAGGAGCCGAGGAGGACGAGGAGGGGCCGCAGCATGCGGAGGAGGACCAAGACGGGGAGGAGGAAGAAGAGGAGGGCGAGGAGGAGGAGGAAGAGGATGACGGTGTGGTGGTGCCGCTTCCACCAGTGTTGGTCTTAGATGCGGATGTGCTGTGGCAGCTCCCGCGCAAGCTGCGACGAAAGGCCGCAGGTCGCCTGCGGAGGTCGTTACTGCTGACGGCTGGGGACGCGGAAGCTGGGAACGATGGCGGCGGGGTGGATGGCACCTGTGCAGAAGTAGTACACGGCGAGGGGTGCGAGGGCAGCAGTTGCTTCAGGAACCCCGCTACAAATCGCATCAGCGCTGCAAGGCCGGCATGCAGCAATAGCGGCGTTGCTGGCGATGAAGGGGCTGACAAGGGTTGGACTGGCGGCTTGGGATTGGATCCTGCATCCTCCCTGCATGCACATGAGGTGTGCCCGTACGGCGAAGCCGTGGATGGCGATGAGGGGGCTGCTGCTGGTGGTGCTGCTGCGGTGTCTGCAGCTGAGGAAGATCCCCAGCAGCAACGCCAAGACGAGCAACAGCGGCTACAGCACGAGCGCTTACTGCTGCTTCAACAACACCTGCTGGGTTTGGCTCCTCACAGCGACTGGTGGGGCATTCCCAAGCTCAAGTCCCCGGCTCAGGCGCTGCATGAGGCGCAGGCGGAGCAGCAGCGGCAACAGCAGCAGCAGCAGACATGCGGCCTGGTGCTCACCAGCCGCCGCACGTTGCCGCAAGTGCTGCAGCGCACGTCAGAGCTAGGACTGCCGGCACCCAGCGTGATGGTGACGTCGGCCGGAGCGATGGTGGGTGGTTACTGGCTGCGTAATTGTAGGAGAAGAAATGTGGCCGGCCGTGCTTAGTGGTCAGGGTTTAGTGGTCTGAGCGGGGCGGGGTTGCGATGCTTCAGGCGGGGATTCGGTACGCCGGGGTACGCTGGGGTAAGGGGCGAGGAATGAGGAGGTTTGCGGCAATGTAGCAATCAAGGACGGCTTGTTCTATGCGTATGTGCGGTAGCACACCGCCTGCACGACGTTTGCCATGACATGCATTTGGCTAACTTTTGTTGTCATTATTTACCTTGCATAAATCTCCCTGCCGCAGCTGTGGCGTCGGAGCACCCAGGCCCGCGCGAGTCTGCCGGCCTTGCGTCCAGGCCTTCATATCGCTCCATCCATGCCCGCCATACACACCGCCAACTCCATGTCCGCATCCTGCAACCTCGCCGACGCATTTCCTCGCGGCGTTGAGGCGGACGCCAGTGACGGCGCCGGCAGCACATCCGCCGGTACCCTCCATGTCGGCGGCAGCTCTGATGCCGCCGCACCTAGGCCTCCACTGGGCAGCACGGGAGGTAACGGCGGCGGCGGTTTTGCCAGCAGGGGTCGTAGCAGCAGCGGCGGCGGTAACAGAGGGCTGTTTCGGAGCCTTAGCTGGGCGGCGTCGGAGGCGGCCGCCGCCGCAGCGGCGGCAGCTGTGCCGTACCCTTGCCATGTCCGGTCTTCAGACGTGGCTAGCACTCAAGCCGGTGGCGGTGGGGAGCTGCGGCGCCGTGGGAGCAGCAGCTGCGGCGGCGCCGCTGACGGCAGCGGCAGTAGCCGCTGCAGCGGCGGCTGGACTTCTAGGAACCCTGGTTACGGCTGCAGCGGCGGCGGGAGCGGTGCTTATCGCAGGAACACGTACGGTGGCAGCGGTAGCGAGGGGGGCGTCGGGAACGGCGGCAGCGCTGGCGGCTATGGTTGCAATATCAGCGGCGCGGCTCTCCACGGTGACGGTGGCAAGGGGTCATACATGGATGCTGACGACAGTCTTTGGGTATGGGAGGCGGAACCCCGCTGGCACTCGCACGTGCAGCGGCCCTCCAGCATCATCCGGGGATCTGCGGAGTGCCGGGCGCCCGAGTTCAACGATGAGGTACGACAACCTGGATTCGGTTACCGGTACCTAGGGAGTCCTGGCTGGCTCCGCTGTAGGTCGCCCGGTGCATGATCTGCTTCGTTTCCTCCTTACCTTCTATTTCTCTTTTACTATTCTCTATGGGTTGGTCATTGACTCGCATATAGGTACCGGTATAGGGTTACACTTCTTGCAAGTCAGGTGTTCCTTTCTTGTCCCGACCGCCCTGAAGGTTCGGTTCGCGGTGGAGGCGGCTTCCTTGCGGTTGCCGCCCGGGTCGCTGGGCCCGATGACCGCCTCGCCGTACCACCTGGCCCTGGCTGTACGGCAGCAGCACCTGCCGGCCTTCCGACAGCTCGTGGAGCAGGAGATTCGCCGGTTGCCCGTTACGGTGGGTCGGAGAAGTAGCAGAAGACACATAAAGCGCAAAGTGAGGGTGTAAATGATGTACGGTAATGCAATCGGGAGAAGCTAACATGCACATATGGGAATCCATGCTTCGCCTTGGTGTGACGTGTCCTTCGTGCTTTCCGTATACTCGCAACCTAACCAGGTGCACATCGACACGGAGGAAGTGGAGACACCCGACTTCACCTCCCCCACACGCTCACAGCCGCACCACCACCAGCAGCAGGGACCGCTGCAGCAGTTGTTGAAGCAGCAGCAGAAATGTCACCATGAATCCCTGGCGGAGGAGGAGGAGGGGCAGGATGCGGACTCGATGCAGAGGCGGCAGAAGGAGCAGCAGCAGCAGCACCATGCTCTCCGCAGGCTCCAGTCGGCTAGGCAGAGATCTCAGCGGCAGCGCTCAATGTTCCTGCAGCCGCTCGAGGAACAGCAGCAACAGCAGCACCCGCAAAAGCAGCCTCGTCGGCACTCCATGTTGTCCCGCTCAGCCTCCTTGCCGCGCTCTGCCGCAAACGGCACTATAGGAGCAGCAACGGCAGCAGCCACGGCGGCAGGCTCTGCAAGAACGACAGGGACGGCGGCTGCAGCGCAAACCTCGTCCTTCTCACCCTCGTCACCGTCTCAGCAGCAGGGTCCTTGGGTTCGCGTGCATTTTGTTCCTCAGCATGCGGCTGCTCCGATGGCAGCCAGGTACGCCCTGCACAACATCATGGGTGTGGGTGACCCGCGGGTCGCGCCGACGGTGACGACGGTGGAGGAGCTACGGCAGTTGCTGAAGTTGTAGGCTGTGGACAACATGTCAAGCGGTTACTGAGATGGCGTGGCCTGAGAGAAGTTGTCGTGGCGTAGGTAGGAAGGAACGGTATCCGTAATGCTAGGAGCCAGGTGTTTCAAGATCAGTTCGAGTGTTTTACTGCCGTACAGGTTATGAGCTTCAGCCAACTATACATCAATTACAGTGCAGACGTTCTTTGTTTACCCAGGGCACCTTTTACCAAATGTTACCAACGTTTTGTAGTTGCAATCTTTCGTAGGATCATGGCAGGTTAGGGTCGGTGATAAAAAGGAAAGGCAGACTTCTAATCAATTGCTCGGACGATTTCCTTAGACATGTACTAAACAGGTGTTTTTTGTACCACACTTAAACAAACGCTTCCTGCCAGACAAGTGTGTCCTACCAGCTTACAGTGCTTGCAGTTCGGTTTGTTGCATTGGTATGAAGGAATGGCATGACCCCAAAGAGTCAAAGAGTCTTGGGTCAGTGATAGTGAGCCAACTGCATTGCTGGCATGGGTTTCAGCCGTGGGTGCTCTTGTCTTCATACCATGTTATTGGGGACCGAATGGCGTTTCATTCGTACTTTAGGCTTGGCAGTTGCTGGCACGGTGTGCTGCCTGCATTGTTTTGGCCTGACTCTTAGCCCGCTCATGGCCTCTGTGGGTAGTGGTGAAATAGTATTGTAGTGGGATTGTTGCTATACCAGTACACGTCTCTGATGTTGTCTATCCGTTGTGAAGGCTCGAGTTGATCTGTAGGTAGGGTGTAGGGACCGAGATATGTAGGGTGTAGGGGCCGTTGCACGTTCCCTAGTATGTAGCTCAGCAATGCATTCGGTACGGCAGCTTGTGCCATCCGAAATAGATTGATGGTGCGGTAGTACAGCTTCGGGGTGATGTGAGGATGCAAGTAGTAAGGTACAATGCGAGGTGACCGTGTCAGTTTCAGGACAGTGCTTTAACTTGGTTACAGTGCAGTGGTGAAATAGGTATAGGGTCCGTTGGATTTTGCTTTGCCAAATTGCAACGGAAATGTCCATACTCTTGATCGCTGCCTGTGTTTTGAAGATAGGCGTACGGCAAACAAGAGTCAGGTACTGACGTCGACAGAAGTTCAAACACGGAAGAGTGGCTGGTAGCTGGCCCTATCAGCTGGCCAGGAGCTTGTTATGCCTGCTGGTCCAGCTTGGAATTAACGTGATTGTATTTCAAGTTGTGCCTCGTGAGCGGGGAAAACATTGCAACCGGTATTGAACATGGCGCATGTGGGCAGTGTGCAAATTTTGATGGTGATAGTGTTACCCAGTTGGAAATCTAAACCCGGCAATATTGGAGTCTCAAGCTCCAATGCTGCTGGGCGGGCGCTAACGAGGTCCTGTTTTCAATATGTAACGCTAGTGGTAGCTGAGGGCTTGCAACATGGTGCCCATCCAGGTTCTCAAGCCCAGGGGCACTCCCGGCGTCCATAGATATCCATTCTCCAGGTAGGGGCACGGCAATCAGCATATCAGTGAAATGCTGAACTATCAAGGAGCAAGGATAAAACTTTTGGTACTTCGGTCAGGTTCGCTTGCACGATTAAACCTCGCAAAACACGGAAGGTGTTTTGCGGGACACGAAGTTCCCAAACACCAAGTTATCCTAGTGCATACAGGGCCGCATACAGGACTCGCACCGTGGCGTTTGGATGGAGTGCATGGCGGCTCGTCTCACGATGAAAGGATCCACACACGACTATCAGAAGCAAAAGCACACTGAAGGTCCTGCCTAGCAGGGGGATGCTGACGCGCCAAACACTCGGTCGTTTGGCCAATATGTGGGACCGTCGCCGTGTGACTGCGACCCGCGGGGCAACACGGCGACAGCCGCTGTGGATTCAGTTGTGGATCATACAGTCGGAGTAACCTCACTACGCTACTGTACTTTAGAGGTGAAGGGGCGCTTAGAGGGTAATCTCCCAGAAGGACCAGCGCCTCAGCCCTGACAAATCGAACGCCTCAGCACACAAAACGAGAACATAATCGTCATGTCGACAGAAAGATAATCGTGTTTACATGAATAGCAAAGTAATCCTATCTCAAATGAAGGGCAAATTGGGGATCCACTCGTACCTCACTAATGGGGTATGTTACTGTGCCGAGACGGTGATAGGTACCGCTTAGTCTAATGAGCGCATTGTCTAGAAGTTGATATATAGGACGATAAGAAGGCAAGCAGCTATTACTAGCATCGGACAAGTCCATCACATCCCCCTTGAGCACGAGCAGTAACACAGCGATTAATACATAATGGGCGCTTCTGGTTCGAAGACCCCGGATGCGGCTCCGCCAGCTGCCCTCCCGTCGCCATCGCCTGCTCCACCTGGCGTGCCGATTGGCCCGGACGGCAAGCCGAAGAAGATTTGCTGCACCTGCCCGGATACGAAGAAGCTTCGTGATACTTGCATTGCGGAGCGCGGTGAGTGCTGCCTGCCGTGTCAACGTTGACCATCCACTTGCCCGCTAACTCCGAACCGATTCGCCAATGCAGGCGAGGAGCACGCTTACTGCCAAGCTCTCATAGAGGCGCATAAGGCCTGCTTGCGTGTGGAGGGATTCCAGGTAATGCTTGCAGGCTGGGGTTTTCTGATTTCTGTGGCATCGACCAGTAAGTTCTCGCTTTGGTTTCTGCTGTTCAAGAAACATCAATCCCCGCAAGAGATATGCGGCTTGTATTTGTTGTTTAGCCTCTCGCATAGGGCAAGTACAGCTGACATGGAATTTCCGCTAACGTTGGGGTGGCCACGGGAATGCCGAACTAAAACAACTTAATCCCCTTTTGGCCTGCAGGTTTAACTTGCCTAGCCGCATGTGACCAGGCGCGGATTGGCTATCGCCTTTGGCACACGCAAGGGAGGGTTTAACCTGGTATGGGGAGCCAGGTGCCGTCAGAGGGAACTCAAGCTGTTTAGGGAGAAACATGGTGCGCTTAGGTTGCACCTCATGAGGATGCAAGGTGCAGACGGGCAAGGTGCAGGCGGGCAGGCAGCTTAGGCGCTTAACTGGTCCAGTCGTTGACATGGTCCAACCGTAGACTGGCCGCCATGGTTTGGAGAGCTGGGGTGAGAATATGGGTCGCTTATGGAGGTCTCGTGAAGTGTTTAGCTGGTGTCTGGGGGATTGCACGTCAAGGATAGTGGTGATAGGTTCCGGGGGAGCAGCCTTTAGACTCCGCCCCTGGTTGTCGAACTGCAGTATTGCCGTACTGCTTGCGATCTGTTTATCAGTCCAATTTGCCGCACTGCATTCCGAGGAATGGGGGGTTGAACTGTGCTTTGTGACTGCTAAGTGGAGGAACGTGGTGTGCAGCCGATGTTAGTTGGCCTCAGGGCCGTTATCTCGACCCCACAAAGGCGATAGTGGCGCCCTGACGTGGCATGATACGTGCTGGTTCGCATGGACTTGTTTCGGGCAAGTGTGCTGATGTGGCAGACGTGATAAGTTCACCACACAGGTGGCTCAGACGCAATAATTCTGGAGCTGCTCTTGTAGTAATTTGGTAATGAGCTAGTATCCTACCTAAATGGTGTGCGCGACATTCCACAGCAGGGCAAATGCGGAGGCTTCGTTCGTGATCCACGGCACGGCATCCGTTGGCAGCACGTCAGAGGTCTTAGGGGTCGACCGGAATACGGCACGTAACACCCCCGAGCAGATGCGGGTATAGCAACGTTCGCACTATGTGTGGTTCTGGACAGGCCAGGACAAGGCAGCAGGTCTCTGGAGAGGGCATTTAACACGGAGTTTCATGCAACTCCCAACCCAACACACCACCAGATGCCGCACGAGGCGGGTCTAAGGAGGTCAGCCGCTGCCGTTGAAGCCCACAGGGCTGTCAGGAGCTGGTCGGCAACCTGGCCAAACTTGACATGTCCGAAGCGGAAAGTTGTATCCCTTGCAAGCCCCGACATTCAGGGCATGGTGTGACTTTACCGTTACACATGCACGATAACTCGACCGCCACCGCCTTCTCCTGGGTCACACTTACTGGCCACACGCCCTGACAGCAGCGTTATTAAAACCCGTTTGCCCACGTCCTATTCCCATCACCCGTCTTCTCCATACACCACTGCGGTGTACTCCTCGCTTACCCGCCTCCTCCCATCACCGCTTATCATTTCCCCATCCTACTTCTTCGCCTCCCGCCCTTCCCCGACGCCCGCCCCACGCGCTGCTTTCGCTCCTCCACTCCGCTTCCATCTCAACCCCAAGTCCTTGCAACTTCTTCAGTCGCTCGTTCCCTCCCTTCCCAGTCTTCAGTCGCTCATTCCCCCCTCTCCCACTCCCCTTCCCCCTTGCTCCCCTCCACCGTCCCCAGCCCGAACTGCAGCATGGCTGTTATGTCCTCTCGCTCAAGACCGCTGCCCTCGCCACCTGCACCCCCGCAGCAGTACGTACGACACAAGACAGGCAGGCAGGCGGGAAAGCTAGCTGACCCAGTCATACCTTAGCACATGGTGAAACATCTGCCGGAGAGTGTTAGAAAGCAGTCGTACATGCGACGTATGCATGACGTGTAGCATTGAACGGCAGCAGAGAGCGACACAGCGCCCGTGCTTTGGTACAAGGAGCAGCGACTCAGGGACAGGGTCTGTCTACCAGTCTAAACAGCAGGATAGCACATGTGTTGCCCGCATGTTCAAGCCCTCGCACCACTCAGTCCCTCCGCGCCACCCCGCCGCCAGGGACCTACCAGTAGCTGCCAACCACTCGCAGTAGCGGCGCAGGTCCTTGTCGGCCGGCTGCGAGGTGGGAGGTGGAAAGGGGTGGAGATACTACCGGTAGCCAAACCGATGGGGCTGGAGAGTTAGGGAAACATTGGAGGATTGCCGTGCGCGGTATACGAGGCCAAGCCGCATGGGCGTACCCTCCCTATCCTGCAGGCTATAGCCTCGCACCCCCACCTGCACCTGCCGCCAGCGACCGCGGCAAAAGATGTGGTAGGCATCCGCCGCGTAGCTGCCCACTCCGTGCAGCTGGCTGGGGCAGGACCACTGTGGCGTCGTACGGCATCAAGATGTGCCGTACGTTTTCATGCCGTACATACCGGTATGCGCGTAAGAGCAAAGCGGGAAGGAGCAGGACAGTGGTGTGGCATGGCGGAGGAGGTGTTCAACTCGTGATCACAGTTCGCAAGCATTCCGCCCGGGTAGATCCCGGTAGGTCCGCCCCAACTACCGTAACGAGTTCCCAAGCTCCATGCGCCCCGATGCGGTGGCCCCAAGCCCCACTGCGCCCAACACGTGTCCCCAACAAGCATCCCCAACGCGTCCTCATCTCCCCTCCCCTCCTGCCCCTCCTGTCCCCACCTGCTAAGGCGGATTACGTCTCCAAATTAATCCCCACCTGCTTGCTCAAGTACTCCTCGCTGAAGCGCCGCAGCCGGGCCGCACGACTGCACACGTGGGTGGGCGGGTAAAGAGGAAACACCGAACTGACGTGGGTGGGTGGGTGGGTTCCGCTGTGTGCGCGGATACGAGCGCGTGTATGCCTTTGTGGGTGCGGATGCATATTTGTTCATGGTAGGAAGAGGAGGGGCAGTGCGAGGGAACGCGGGACAAGGGGCGTCTGTGAAGCAGGATTGGTGAAGAGGTATTGGTATTATAATTGAAGGACATGACTGTTTCCTACAGCTTAAAACGCCGACTCGACACGCATGAATCTTCTAGGGCTGAGTACAGTTACGCGTGCGGGAGGCGAGCCAAACTTCCAAAAGGCAGTCAGCGTATTGCAACATTTGCAAGGAACAAGCGGCGTACTCGTTCGGAGTGCGCGAAGCACATACAAGCTTGCTATGGGCACGCCTAGGAGGTTAAGGAAGGGAAGGAGGTATGCTGATTTGCTCACATTGTATGAAGGCCCAGTGGTCGTAGGATGTCGCGAAGGACCCGTGGGTCTGCCGCCGCCATTGCCTGATGGCCCGGGGAACAGCAATAGCGGAGATACCAGCCGGGTACAGGCGGGATGGCAAAACAGGGAAGCAAAACGGGGTGTGCTGATGCACTGGCTGCCTCCACTACCTGAGCAGCGTTCGTATCCATCACCTGCTCCCCCCATACCTGTCCTCTTTACCCATACCTTTCTGCGATTGCCTTCCCTTACTTGTCCTCCTTTGCCCCCGCCCCGTCTCAACTCACCTGCGGGGTGGGGTAGGTCCGCCACAACGGACCTAGCACTTGCCGCACCTGAGGTGACAGGGACCGAAGCAAGCAGGCAGGCAGCACATTCTGGCAGGAAACGTAGGTGCATGGTTTGGGAGGGACATGATGCCTACAGAGCAAGGAAAGGGACGTTCTACCGCCACAGTAATGTAATAACACATCCTCCAAGGACACAAATGGACTGTGGCGATTGTACGTCCATCCACAAGTTACCAGTGCTTGCCTTCTCAATAGGAGGCTACTTTCACCGTAGCACGCCTACACAACCCACCCACCCACCCACACACACACCTGGCGCCCAGTCGTACGGTTGAGCAGGATGCACGCCACCAGCAGCCGCCAGGGGTTGTCGTACAGCGCCTCCTCGATAAGGCCCCAGGGGCTGGGAGGCGGCGTCCAGGTGGCGACCCGTGGGTCAGTGTACTGGTCCAGGTCCTGGTACGGCACCGGCTTGCCTTGCTCCTGCATCTGCTGTTTCTGCTGCTTTGTCTGCATACATTTCTCGTTCCCGGTCTTGTTCACATCATCGGACCTCAAATGCAGGGTGGCCTCGTGAGCTGCTGCTACCATGCATCGCTGCGCCAACCCAGCAAGGCCCGGCTTCCGCTGTTGTGTCCGCCCGCGCCCTTGCGCAGCACGAAAGGATGGCAGCCCAGGGGTTGTCGGCCCTACATCCGCCTCGGTACCCACTGCTTCCGCTTCCCGCAGCGCCGCTCCTTCCGCTTCGGCCCCTGCGCTGTTGTTCCTGCTGCCCCTACCCGGGCTCTTGTTCCCAGTATCTTTGCCTCTCCCGCTGCTGCTGTTTCGGGCAACCGGCATTGCACCGACACCCTCTATCGAACCGCACGACATGAACCTATCGGGCGTTGTATTCGGCGAACCAGCTGCTACAGCTACGGTTGAATCTGCTTTGGCCGTTGCGGTGGCTGCTGCAACGCCTGGGGCGGGAGTGACGATGATGGACGCGTGGTGTGCCGGCGAAGCATTTTCGACAGCCTCGTCAACCTCCTCCCGCCGACCCTTTCGAACAAGGCTTCGTAAACGCGTCAGGAATGCCGTACTGCAGTCGTACCCGTCGTCCCCTGCCGGTGTTAACGGGGTTGCAGCGGGAGAAGCTAACGTTTTGGCATCCGAGTCGGTTTTCACATGGCGGGCTACATGACCCGTGGGTCGCTGAGCTGGTGCTGGCGCTGATGGTCCCGCCGCCGCAGGAGGAGCTAGGGCCGTCGCCGGAGGGCTTCTTGCTGGCACCATCGTGATATCTGGCTCTGGCGTTGCGTTTGGCGTCAGTGGCATGAGGGTTTGTAAGGAAGGCGCCGCGTTCGCTGCACACGAGCTCATGCCTGCTTCCGGCAACGTGGGAGAAATATTAGACGACGAGGCTGCAGTCGCTGAAAGGATTGTCATCCTTGATCGGCGTGGGCCAGGTGGTGCTGCTTGCAAAGGAACGGTATCAACGTTCCTGTCAGCATTTTGCGGTGGTTCCGAGGCCAAGCAACGCCTCTTGGCTTGATGCATATTGCAATGTGAGACATCCTCCATTGTAGCAGAGGGCTATGGTTGGCGAGAACTCATTCAGATCCCGAACTGGGGTCCCGAATTAGAGTACAACACCCTTTCACTTTGCCCACGCGTAAGGCAAACCCTAAAGCCCGAGGATATAGACCAGAAGTACAATAGAATATCGGATAACAGCAACAGTGCAAAGTTTGCCTTTAGAGTGTCGGATGTTAAGTGCCGTACGCTCCTTGCCCGTATGCCAGCTCAGAATACAAAGGGCCAATTTCTAATCCTTCATTTAGGTAGCTCGCCAGTATAGACAGCTGCCTCGCTCGCCTTACTTCAGCGGCTGAAGTGGCTTGCAGCTGCCAATTGTAGCAGAATGCCAGCCTACGTTCCGCCTGCTCTGCGCGGGGTTGTTGGACAGCAGGCAGATGGGCAGTCCAGGCTGAGTGAGAGAATCTGGCGTGTAAAGCTTGAATACAGTACTGGCGGTCCGTTCGACGCGGTGGAATGCCCCGAAACATTGCTGGACGCTGCTGATGCTGATCAAACGCCAGAGGTGCGCTCCGATAGGCGTAGATGAGCTGGTGCTGCCGAAGCGCTTGGGATGCTATCCAGTTGGCCTGGCGCCAGTTTTTCCATGTTGTTCGTGGCAAAAAAGTGCACTTAAGTAAAGATCGGTTTGTTGTCTACCTTCTTACAATTTGCCCGTCGATGCCGCGGACCAGCGCTGGGGGGGCAGTTAGCGTCCGCTGGTATCTGCATAAACGTTTTGCCTCCGCCACTGATTCTGTTTCTCTATCTATTCGCATCCCCTTTTCTCGTGTTTCGGCCACATTGCCTGTTCCTAGCAGTTTACCGTCCGCCAATTCGAGTTGCCTTCTGAAGCTAGCACCGGCGAACTTCGGCAGCTGCTAGAATGGTTCAAGAAGGCTAGCTCAGCGACGTCCGAGCAGTTTCCACACGGCGATCCCAGGTCTGTGCGTGGCCCAAGAGGAGGAGGGAAGGTGAAATGCTGCAATTGTTCGCGCGCGCCACCACCTGAAGAAAATGAAACGCATGCCATTGGCTGCTTTCGTCACTTATGGAACGACATTTTCCTCAGCCCAGCAGACGTTCATGGAAACGCCTTCTGAAATACGTTTGCCAGGTGGCCAACAGTCGGCATGCCATCTCTGCTTGTACGCAGGTGCCAGCTGCTCTTCCCGTCCTCCCTCAGCAAGGATGCACGCAAGCTCCTGCACCAGATGGCTCAGGGCATGCAGCTGCCGACCTTCAGCAAGGTAAGGAGGCAACGGTTCCGCCGCTTTTACCCCTAGCCGGCGTTACTCTTGAGACATTGCCTTACTCGGCATGCCCTCCGTGCTCTATATATTGCGATCCCTCCTCGGGTATTCAGCTATCTCAAACCCGCACACTCCGGTTTTACTATCCATCGTACAGAAGCCCAACCCTTTACTTCCGGCCCTCATTGCACGCCGTACCGCACTCCCGCGCCTCCGCCTTCCTCACCTCTCATACCGCCTCCACCCCACCGCCCCATCCGCAATCTTGCCTAACGCAGGGCCTGGGTGATGAGCGGCGGCTGGCGGTGCACGGCTGCGGCTTCCGCGACACCCCCGAGATGGAGGCGGAGGTGGCTGCGGCGACGGCACGCAGGCGGGCTCCAATGGCGGTGCGGGAGCGAGCCAAGCAGATCTGGAAGTGGTGCCAGGTAGGAGAAGGGTGGGGCATGGGAGGAGAGGGGGGCGTGGGAAGGGAGGGGGACGCGGGGGTGTAGGGGGGAGGAAAGAGGATGGAGGAGGGGCTCTGGAGTCCGGTAGCGAGTTGACTGATTAATGATTAGGGTTGATGAGGAAGGAGATGGGGTGCAGATACCAGGGTGTAAGGATCGGATATGGTGCCGTCCAATTCATCGTCTTGTGCGTGAAACCTCCCCCTCCCTCCACACGCACACAGGCTGACGGCGGGGCGCTCTGGTCGCTGAGCCAAGGCGAGCTTGAGGTGGGAAGGTTGGGGGGCGTGGGTGGGGTTGTGCAGGATGTCTCTGTGTAGGCGTTTGGGGAAATGGGAAAGGCTGGTGTGTTTGCATGGGATACGAGAGGAGGTGGAACACGGCTGCTGATCCGTGTGCTGGGAACCCGCAGCGGCTTTCAGAGTTGTTCCAGGGTCCTCCATCCCGCCAGCCCGCCGAACAGCTCCCCTCTCCTCGTTGAATCCGCGCCGACCATGCATGTTAGCCCTCCAGTGCCTCACACCTCATTATTATCGCCCCCCGCAGGAGGCCCTGATGGCGGCCCCGGGCGAGGCGGCGCTGCCCCCCGCCGTGAAGGACCTACTGGAGCGCAGGTGGGGGGTCGGGGGTCTGAGGTGAAGAGGGAGGGAGGGGAAGGGGGGAAGGAAGGGACGAGGATTCGTACATAGAGAAGTCAGTTAGGGGGGTAGAATGGGGATCGCGTGAATCCACAATTGCATTGTTACGTTCGTAGGCCCCGCTTGCTGCTACTTGCCCGCTCCCTTTGTGTGCTCCCATTCACGTACAGGCGGTCTTTGCCTGTAGGGTTTAGGTGTGTTACCCCTTGATTTCCGATTCTCGCGGTGCTTCTCTCCCTTTCCGAAGTCCTTTCCGACCTTCCTTCCAATATCTTCTGCCTCCCTGCCGTCAACCTCTCCCAGGGAGCACGGTGCGGCCCTCATTGCCGCCATCCGCAACGGCGACTCGGCCACTGCGCTGGCGCTGCTGGAGGCGCACCCGCGGGCCGCGTGGATCCGCTACGAGGAGGTGGTGCCGGCCCCCGCTGCTGCTGGGGCTGGGGCTGGGACTGGGGCTGGGGGCAGTGCCGGCCCTGCCAGCCGCGGCGGCAGCGGGGGTGGAGCACCCCTACAGGCAGCACCCGCAGCTGCAGGACCCGCTGCTGCTGGCGGCAGCCCTCCTGGTGCCTCCCCCGCTGCCCTGCCTGCCTCCCCTGCTGCCCTGCTGGCCGACTCGGCGCTGCAGCAGCACGGGTACTACCCGCTGCACCTGGCGGCGCTGGCGGGGCTTGGGCAGGTGGTGGAGCGGATCGCGGCGCAGCCTGGGGCGGTGGAGCAGCGCGACCGCATGTACGCCACACCCCTCAAGGTGTGGGGGGGCTGAGAATACGAGGGCTGGGGTTGAACAGGATTGCATGTTGGTTGCATTGGCTCGTGAGTCGCCGCATGCGGGGCTGCTTTCACACCTACCTATGATTGGGGTGGGGTCTTAGCATAGACGGGCGGTTCAACTATGTGAGTGGTGCGAGGATCAGGTCGGCTTACCCGCTGGATCTCCCTACTCTGCTGTCCCTGCTGCCCCCCATCCTACCTTCCCGTCCCCATGCCATCCTCTGACGCGCCTCCCCAGGTGGCCAAGAAGGCGGGCCGCACTGACATGGTGGAGATCCTGCTGAGGCACGGAGCAAAGGTGGGTGGGCTGGATCTTCTCATTAGGCTGGTAAAAGCTGGGATGCGTCTTTAGCTATTTGCCTGTAAATACAATAATGTTCTGGGAATGCGGCCAGGGACCAAGAGCCTTTCGTGACTGGCCGCTCTGCGCCCTCCCGCTCCTCTCCCGCTCCCTCCCCGCCCCGCCCTCAGGACTACGAAATCAACCAGGCCGCCCACAAGACCGCAGCCGTCGGCATCCCCAACCAGCCCCAGCAGCACTCCAACCAGCGCCGCCCCTCGTACGGCAGCTACTCCGGGTCCCCGCACAACCACCCCCAGCCGCACCACCACCTGCAGCAGCAGCACCATGTGGGGTCGCCTGCGGGCGGCCTGGGCACCTCGCCCCACACCCCCACCACCGGCGGGGCCTACATGGCAGCACATGCTGCAACACGCCAGCAGCGCCGTATGAGCGGTGGGGAGGCGTCCGCGGCCGCTTCAGGAGGTGCAGGAAGCGCGGGTCACAGGGCTGGAGCGCCCCCGCTACCGCCGCAGCACACGCAGCAGCATGGTCATGCGCAGCAGCACCAGCACCAGCAGCAACACGGCCAGCAGCATGCGCATGCGCATGCGCAGAATCAGCAGCAGCAGCAGCAGCACGCCCGGCGCCGCAGCCACGACGAGCACACCGTGGTGCACCACGCGCAAGGTGCCGCTGAAGATCCGACTCTGAACCCCTTTGCCGTACTTGCCACACCAGACAGCAGCAGCGGCGGGGCTCCCCCCACTCCGCCGCCTGCCGCGCCTGCAGCAGGAGGTGCTGGCGGGGGCGCCGCCACCCCTGGCGGAGGCCGCCGGAACTCCAGTTCTACCGGCAGTGGCCTGCCGCCACGGCCGCCAGCAAATGACGTTACTTCTGTCGCTGCCAGCACTGGCGCCATTCCCGCACCCGCAGCTGGCGGCAGCGACAGCGACAGCAGCGGCACTGGTGGACGTGCCGCTCGGGCCAACCGTGCCAAGGGTCAAAACTCGCGTTGTTTCCTGCCGCCTATCATGTCGGGAGAGGTTTCGGAGGCTAGCGTGCTGGCGGCCTTGGGCGCCATTCAGGTTTCGGCAAAGCCGGTGCCGCGGCCTGTAGCTGAGGTGAAAGAAGGCTCCGGCGGGGGTGCTAGCAGCGGCCGCGGTAGTGGCGGAGGCGGAGGCAGCGATGACGAAAATAGTGCATCTGGGGATGATGCAGCCGCTGCTGGTGGTGACGGTGGCGGCGGTGGCGCGGAGGAGGGGCCGCGGAAGCGCAAGACACGGCGGGGACGTCGGGGCAGGGGCAGCCGCCGTCACTCCGTCGCGACAACGGACGAAGCGGTTGCCGTGGCGACGGCGGCGGCGGCCAACGCGGAATTCGCTGATACTGTTCTGGGTGGGCAGCCGCCGGCGGGCAAGCGTCGTAGCAGCAGCGGCGGCGGCGGTTTCATAGGCTCTGCGCCGACAGGAGCATCAGGCGCCCAGCTCATGTCTGCCTTCATGTCCCGTCGCAGTGGCGGCGGTGCCGGTAGCGGTGGCGGCGCCAAGCCAGGCGGCAGCAGCGTCGGCGGCGAGAGCAGCGATGGCAGCGGCAGTGATGGAAGCGACAGCGATGCCAGCGGCGGCGGTTCCCGTAGCCGGCGCGGCGGCCAGCCCGCCAGGGCGCGTCGCCACGAGCGCCGTCGGGCCGCGCGCGTTAGCGGCGCGGACGGCGGCGGCAGCGACCGCCACCGTCGCAGCAGCGGCGCGGACTACGCCAGCTTCCACCAGGGTCACGGCCACGGCAAGGGAAGCCACCCCGGCGGCCCCGGTGGGCACTACCACGTGTACGGCGGCTCGCATCACGGCCATGCTGACGACGCCACCAGGTGGCGCCGCGACGCGCCGGCTGGTATTGCGCCGCCGTCGCCGTTGCGTAGCGGAGGAGCCCCAGGAGGGGAGGAGCCCCGGCAGCCGTTGGCGGCGACGGGACGGCCGCCGGCACCTCGGCGCGCGAGTGCGGGGTCGGCCGCGACACCGCCGCTGCCGCCTTCAACGGTGGCCGCCGCCGCTGGCAGCGCTGGAGGTAGCGGTGCGTACCACCCTTTGGAGGCCCCAACCAGTAATTCGCTCCATTCGGCATCGCATGGGCCGCGGGTAGGTGCTTGACCGACTTGGTGCTCCCGTAACCAGAGCTTGCCTTTCTCTTCTTTCTGTGCCTAAATTGAACATGTGGTTGCGGACCTGGTCGTGCAACTAAATATGACCGATATGACACATTTTTCCTATGCCACGTCGCAGGAGCATGTTGCAGCAGGGCCAGCTGCCGGGGTTGGCTTTGGCTTCGGGCGGGGCCGCGGTCGCGGCACGGCTGCTCCGGCGGCCCCCGGTAGTGGCAGCGGAGGCGGCGGCCTACCCTCGGCCCCCGGCTCGCCCATGCGCGCATCGAGCAGCATTGCTGCGGCAGCTGCTGCTCCGCTGGCGCCTGGGGCACATTGAAAGGGAAATATGCCGGGATTTCCGAGTTTCCTTTGGCAGGGGCGTGTTGTTGGCTTTGGTGATGTTTAACAGGTACTGCACCTGTACTCGTTGCCGTTTGCAGGATGTTCATTCCGCCAGGCATGTAATGATCATTTGCTCTCTTGGTGCGGACACCCAGCTCGACGGCTCCAGCTCGGCGGTAGTGCATTAGTGGTGTAGGGTACCCGAACAAAGTGCCGAGCTTTGACAAGACGGAAATAAGCCCTGTCGATGGCCGTTGTTGGGCTGTAAAATTGTGGTAGAGAGGGGTTTGGGAGGGGAGTGAGGGCAGTAGGTTCTTAGGCATGGCTGGGCGTAATAGCGTGCTCACCTTTTTCGCTCGTCCTTCCATTGAAGGTAAAGCCTTGTGCACGTTACATTCATGCAGTTCTCTTATATGACGCACGCAGCAAGTCTTACGCAACTAGGGTTTGGATTGAACAGCCAAAGGGAGTTGTTTGGTGTGCTTCGTGTCGCTCTACCAAAGCAGCCGATAGACCGATCCGCTGTTGGCGAAAGGTGTTGCTGATTGCACGGAGTTGGCCCATAAGTCGGCCTTTTATTGGAGGTTAATCGTTTTAGGCCACCGTGGGTCCACCGTGTTTGAAATGCGGCATGTGGTGTGCGAATATGTTGCTGTTTGGTGCCTAAGGCGGAAGTAAGGTTCCTGGGATCATGAGGATTTAGAGAGGGGCGGTCGGGTCGAGATTTCCTTTCATGCATGCCATAACTTGTTTTCGGCAGGGGGTGTTTAGACATGATATCCAATTCCCTCGCCGTGTTTCAAGTGGTTTAGGGAGAGGTGCGTGGGTTGTAGGTGCGGTTTGTTGCGGGCGGATGCATCAGGACTTCACCAGGTTTACAGGCATCTTATTGGTCTTAGCGTACCTCGGTACTGATCCTAGCATTCCTCGTAACGGGACGGGCGTGGGCCCATGCAATGTAAATATATACGAAGCATAACCAAAATTTAACACAACACACTCACAGAAAGGACCGCTGCTGTACAGGCAGCAGCCATTGACCCAGAAGATAGAACTTCATAGGCAGCCCTCCTGGTGAGGTGTACTGAAACAGTAAACCAGCAAGCAGGATTCAGCGATCACCACTTAAAACTTTGGCTGGGACAAGACTCCCTACCGTGTTGCCCAAAATTAAACTGACAAAAATAAAATGTTTTGAGTTTTGTCAAATGTCAAACGGGGCTAGAAATATGCTGACAAGCCGTCAATTGGGGGCACAATTTTCCGGTGCCCTCGGTCCTCACCGCGCCATGCCCAATCGAGTCAATATGGTGTCCCACGTATCCTTCTAGGGCTGCACAGCGGCATACAGCTCCTTTTCGTATTACGTCCTCTAAGGCGGCTTTTGGGGTGTTTTTGGCGCATGTTAAATGGGGCCCCAAACCGTTATGTATCGCCGTTTGCCTCTTGTAAGCGCCGCAAGCCAGGAACTGTAGCCCCCTTGCACGGCTGGGCCACGTACGCATCCAATAAACCTCAGTATGTTTTAGGTGGGGGGAGGGGTTGCGTACAAGATAGCAACACAACTGTGCCCAAGGGACACAGCGTGCCGTACTCTCAGCACGCAGCCAGGTGTTGGCAGACAAAACGTAGCCAGGGAACAGCATATTATTGCATGCATGTGCTTAAATTGCATGGCCGCAGGATAAGGGGGCAATCATGGATACCCCAAACCGTCGGTTTGCTATCTATCAGGTGCCTGTACGGCCACGTCAGAAATGCGCCATTGTTTGGAAGCCTTACTTTAATGCACGCCCCTAGGAGTGAGCGAGCAGAAGGGTACGGCAGCAAACAATCGTACAAAATCTAAACACGCAAAGTGAACCGCCGCTGTAAGCGGCAACATACCATAAGTAATCCAACAAGCAGGATTCGGCGACCGCCACTTACTCCAACTTTGGCTGGGATTAATAGACGTTGATCGCAGGCAGGTGCCTATTACATGTCAACCGTCGACATGACATAGGTGTTGGCAAAATTATAGTCTTTGTTACTCCCTACCTATGTGCAACTTGGATCGTTCGGATGTGATCGAATTTTATCCAGCCAACGGTTGCCAACGGAAATTTGTCACGTCAGTCGCGTCCTGACAGGGCCCGCAGTCAAGTCCGCCAGCTCTGCGGGTAGTATAAATGCGCGACTGTATTTTCTTGTATTTATCCTCCACTGCTCAAAGCATATACAAGGCAGTAGCCTTCCTAGCTAGCACTCATCCCCGATCCCTAGTATTTTCTCGTTCGTTGGCAAGAGACCAACCAAGCCCCTCGAGTATAGCAAGTGTCCCCATACAGCGCCCCTTTTGGCACACGCACGTCATTATGGCTGCCAGTAGTCACCCACCCGGCGCATGCCGCCGCAACCTCCTGGCGGCATCCATGTTGCTGTTTGCCCCGCTGCTGCTGCTATTGCTGGTGCCTCTAGCCCACGCGGCGCCCGGCTGCGACCCCTACACCTACCCTTACAAGACTCTCTCCCACTACAACCCGGACGACTGCCGGACCTACTACCTGTTCGACGTGGATGCGGGCTGCATGCCCAACTGGGCCACCGCAAAGGAAGTTTGCGCACGCCGTGGGCTGGAGCTTGCACCTGTGGATGACGACGAGTCCATGGGTAAGGGAATGCGGTACCCATGCATGCAGCACTCTTCCTGCCGAAACATTCTGCACAATGTGGCCGCCCTTCTATCTGGTACGCGAGCGACCCCTCCTTATCCGAGTTTACCGATGCTTCCAACTGACCCTACCCTCCGCAGACTCGCTGCATGAGCTGTGCGCCGAGAACCACTACACGTGCTGGATGGACGGCGAGTGCAATCCCGGCCTGTGCTACCTAATGAGCCAGGAGGGCTTTACGCTGAAGCAGGGGTGCGAACAGCCTGTCCGCTTCGTCTGCCGTACCAAGGGTAAGGGCGTACACGTGTACAACAGTGGCCAAATCCTTAGACGCAACCCTAGCCGGATCAATATGGAGGAACCCACCCAGGGCGTCATGGCTGCTGTCTGCGTCAGACCAACATCTTGTTCCCCAATTTATCCCGTGTCTTTGCAGAGTCCCCGAGGTGGTGCCCCGACAGGAAGCCTCACCCGCCGCGGCATGGCCCCAAGCCTGGTACGTAGGGCCGTCGCTAGCTAGTACATGCCGTGCCCGATTATCAGAATCCTGATGTCGGACCTGCCAACGTCTGCATGTGTACATACAGCCCACCTTGTAAACAAGTGCCCGCAAGCAGCATGCGCACAACTAACGCCTCCCACAATCCGTTTTCCCGTGCGTCTTTCAGACAACAACGTGCTCAGGCTGTTCAAGCACGGCTATGTGTACCGCATGTACACCGTGGATGCCACACAGCGCTTGCCGAACACGGGAGCCGAGAAGTTCTGCCAAGACCTGGGTTTCGGCTGGGACCTGGTACCTTACGGTGATATGTCAGGCTACGACGCCCTCAACCACCTGTGCGCCACGAACCACTACACATGCTGGTTCAAGAAGGCCAAGGATGATACCCTGTGCCCGCTTATTGATGCTGAGGGCAAGCTGCAGATGCAAGGCTGCGAGCAAGACGTGCGATTTGTGTGCCGCAAGCGGGTTGACTAGAAGTTTCCTATCGTGAATGACACGCGTGGTGCATGATGCGCGCAATCTAGGTGTGACGCTTCGGGCTCCATGTTGATGGCCATTCATTTTCCGGCTCTAGGCTCTAGGCTCCGGCGGAGAGACAACGACCATGGGTGTTGCTTTCCGAGCAAACAATAAAGTGTATATAGTTTCTACGCGTCGCTTAGCGTGCTCAAAACAATCATGACTTCAATTTGCTCGGCTCTGTGTTGGGAACCGGTTCCCGTGTTCGCATGATGTAAACTATGGGCGGCAATGCTTGCCCCAAACCGTTATGTATCGCCGTTTGCCTCTTGTAAGCGCCGCAAGCCAGGAACTGTAGCCCCCTTGCACGGCTGGGCCACGTACGCATCCAAGATACCTCAGCCGGGGTATAATATTATTTGTTTGGGGGGGAGGGGTGGCGTACAAGATAGCAACACAACGGTGCCCAAGGGACACAGCGTGCCGTACTCTCAGCACGCAGCCAGGTGTTGGCAGACAAAACGTAGCCATGGAACAGCATATTATTGCATGCATGTGCTTAAATTGCATGGCCGCAGGAGAAGGGGGCAATCATGGATACCCTAAACCGTCGGTTTGCTATCTATCAGGTGCCTGTACGGCCACGTCAGAAATGCGCCATTGTTTGGAAGCCTTACTTTAATGCACGCCCCTAGGAGTGAGCGAGCAGAAGGGTACGGCAGCAAACAATCGTACAAAATCTAAACACGCAAAGTGAACCGCCGCTGTAAGCGGCAACATACCATAAGTAATCCAACAAGCAGGATTCGGCGACCGCCACTTACTCCAACTTTGGCTGGGATTAATAGACGTTGATCGCAGGCAGGTGCCTATTACATGTCAACCGTCGACATGACATAGGTGTTGGCAAAATTATAGTCTTTGTTACTCCCTACCTATGTGCAACTTGGATCGTTCGGATGTGATCGAATTTTATCCAGCCAACGGTTGCCAACGGAAATTTGTCACGTCAGTCGCGTCCTGACAGGGCCCGCAGTCAAGTCCGCCAGCTCTGCGGGTAGTATAAATGCGCGACTGTATTTTCTTGTATTTATCCTCCACTGCTCAAAGCATATACAAGGCAGTAGCCTTCCTAGCTAGCACTCATCCCCGATCCCTAGTCGTATTTTCTCGTTCGTTGGCAAGAGACCAACCAAGCCCCTCGAGTATAGCAACTGTCCCCATACAGCGCCCCTTTTGGCACACGCACGTCATTATGGCTGCCAGTAGTCACCCACCCGGCGCATGCCGCCGCAACCTCCTGGCGGCATCCATGTTGCTGTCGGCCCCGCTGCTGCTGCTATTGCTGGTGCCTCTAGCCCACGCGGCGCCCGGCTGCGACCCCTACACCTACCCTTACAAGACTCTCTCCCACTACAACCCGGACGACTGCCGGACCTACTACCTGTTCGACGTGGATGCGGGCTGCATGCCCAACTGGGCCACCGCAAAGGAAGTTTGCGCACGCCGTGGGCTGGAGCTTGCACCTGTGGATGACGACGAGTCCATGGGTAAGGGAATGCGGTACCCATGCATGCAGCACTCTTCCTGCCGAAACATTCTGCGCAATGTGGCCGCCCTTCTATCTGGTACGCGAGCGACCCCTCCTTATCCGAGTTTACCGATGCTTCCAACTGACCCTACCCTCCGCAGACTCGCTGCATGAGCTGTGCGCCGAGAACCACTACACGTGCTGGATGGACGGCGAGTGCAATCCCGGCCTGTGCTACCTAATGAGCCAGGAGGGCTTTACGCTGAAGCAGGGGTGCGAACAGCCTGTCCGCTTCGTCTGCCGTACCAAGGGTAAGGGCGTACACGTGTACAACAGTGGCCAAATCCTTAGACGCAACCCTAGCCGGATCAATATGGAGGAACCCACCCAGGGCGTCATGGCTGCTGTCTGCGTCAGACCAACATCTTGTTCCCCAATTTATCCCGTGTCTTTGCAGAGTCCCCGAGGTGGTGCCCTGACAGGAAGCCTCACCCGCCGCGGCATGGCCCCAAGCCTGGTACGTAGGGCCGTCGCTAGCTAGTACATGCCGTGCCCGATTATCAGAATCCTGATGTCGGACCTGCCAACGTCTGCATGTGTACATACAGCCCACCTTGTAAACAAGTGCCCGCAAGCAGCATGCGCACAACTAACGCCTCCCACAATCCGTTTTCCCGTGCGTCTTTCAGACAACAACGTGCTCAGGCTGTTCAAGCACGGCTATGTGTACCGCATGTACACCGTGGATGCCACACAGCGCTTGCCGAACACGGGAGCCGAGAAGTTCTGCCAAGACCTGGGTTTCGGCTGGGACCTGGTACCTTACGGTGATATGTCAGGCTACGACGCCC